TCACGCACAAACTTGAGGCGCACATCGATGTGCTTGGCTTTCAGGGATGACGCCTCGCCGTCCAGCTGCTTGGTTGTCGACGTGGAGCGTCATCGGCAGTCCGGGTGGCAACCCAACTTTGCACAGCATCTGTCGAATGCCAAGCAACTCACGCGCCTGCTCCGACGCTGCGACAAACTCTGCCTCCATGGTGGAGAGTGCGACGCCACCTTGTTTCTTGGCCGTCCAGCTTACTGCCATCCCGTTCAGGCGAATGACCCCGCCAATCAGCGACTTCCGATCCGCCTTGTCGGCAGCAAAGTCTGCGTCTGAGTACGACTCCAAAGTCACCGACTTGCCTGCATTCTTCGTTGGTGTCATACGTAAGTTGTATTTCCGGGTACCCTTCAGGTATCGCGCAATGCGCTTCGCGAGTTTGAAGTCGTGGACGCGCCGCTGGTGCGTCTGGCGCGTCGCCTTGTGGACAGCGAACTCAATATCTGGCCGTGTGCAGCGCGCCACCCACAGTAGGCTGCCAATGAGCGACTGGAAGCTCCGGATGCTAGAGCCCCCACCTTCTTCGGCGATCTGCAGCGCGCTGTCTGTCGTTGGGACTTCGTAGCAGTCCGCGCCAATGGGAGTGCGTGTCGAGTTCGCGTCGTCGAGTCCATGCTCTCTCAGGAGGTCATATATGGCGCCTTCTTGGTCGATCATGTAGCTGCCGTCGTCGTCGACCGCTACTCGCATCCCCAAAAATATGTTCACGGGACCTAGGTCCTTAATGGACAGGCTGCCAAGACTCGTAAAGAAGCTATCAACCGCTGCCGCATTCGTACCGGTTGCGAGTAGGTCATCAGCGTAGACCCCTACCACCACGAGATCGCTTCCATCTTGCTTCCAGTACAGACACATGTCTGACTCGCACTGATCGAAACTGGCGTCGAGAAGTCGAGTGTAAAGCAATTGGCTCCACAGTCGGCCGGCCTGTTTGAGGCCGTACAAGCTCTTACGAAGTTGCAACGCAAGCTCGCTTACGTTCGTTGCTTCCAATTCCTTGACAGTGTCGCCGCTCACGTCCATTCCCTTGGGCACTTGCAGGAGGATTTCGAGATCGGCCTCTTTGTCTGCCTTCACGTAGGCGTTTGGTATATCGCCATGCTTTGCGCCTATTCCCCACGTCGCCGCGAGAGCCAGGATAATTTTGACGGTCGACATATCCATCACAGCAGCAAATGTGAGGACATAGTCAACTCCAAAATCTTGCTCGTTCCCGCACGCTACGAGCCGCGCTTTCAGGCGTTCGACGTCTCCATCTGCAGTCGTCTTCGTCTTGTACACCCACTTCGTGTGGAGTGCATTGCTGTCTCTTGGACGTTTAATCAGGCGCCAGACGTCGTTTCTTTCGAGCGCTTCCAATTCTTCGCGCATTGCTTTCTCCCAGTCGTTCTTTTCGAGCTTCGCATCGCCTCGCCATAGTTCTTCGGATTACGCTCGTACACGTGGTTGACAGTGCTTGTGTTGCTCACTGGCTCCTCTGTGCCGCGCTTCGCTGCGCCGCGCGTACCGTGTGACGAGCGCGTCCACGACTTCGTCTTTCGCTGCCCGCTGCTCAAAACTGTCGTTGCTGTTTGCATCGTTGCTGATGCAGTTGCGCGTGATTTCGTTGACGCCGCTGCAGACTCCGTTCCCTCAGCTGCAGTTGGCGCGTCTTGATCGTCGTATTCGAGTGCGCGCTGGAGCTGACAGTTCTGCTCGTCGCTAAGCGTCGCAATGTTCTTCACGTGCTGTGTGACGACCACGACGTTGTCTTTCTGCAAAAAAACTCGATACCCTTTGGTCTCGTCGCTTCTCCCGACGATGATACCCACTTGTGCCCTCTGCGCGAGCAAATTCTTGCGTGGGTCTCGGTAGACCGTGCAGGTCGAGCCGAAAACAACTACGTCGCGTAGGTCAGGGGCCACCTCCGTGAGTACCTGTAGTGGCGATGCGCGGCGCAGGTTTGCGCTTGTCGGGCTTCGGTTCAAGATGTATACCGCTTATTCGACGGCATCGCCCCAGAAAGTCAAAAGTAGGCGACTTGCGAGGATCATGGATCGAGCCATGATAAGAACCGTCTGATGCATCCGCTATGCCTTTCCGTTCGACGCTTAATTTCTCGCTTCTGAGACTCAACGCATGACTCAAGTGCGCTTACAAAACAGGTCAACGTTCTGATACTGCCGCCGCCGTCCATTCGTAGTACGTGAATTCGACAATTGAATCGCCTTTCGAAAAACACTAGAAAATGTTCAAACTTCTTCGCTGCGCGGTCCTTTGTCGGAGCCAGAAACACGCGGCAGTAGTTGGACTTGTGGTCTACAAAGTTCACAAGGTATCGGTTTCCTTGGCGGTCCTTTGGCGTCACGGGTCCCTTCAGGTCCGAACAGATGAACCCCCCAATCCTATCGATTGGCGAGTTCATGCCAGTGTCTTTGCGCGATTGAGCATTCTTCGTCTGCTTTCCTTCGGCACACGACAGACACGTGAGTCTGCGTCGGCCCGTGAGTTTGATTCCTGACGCAAGATCCTTCGCCATTCGCTCCACCGTGTCATACGACAGATGTCGGAGCCGCTGGTGAAATGCGTGAGAGTCCCACTTTGCGTGTCTGACGTTGAGTCCACCATAGCTTCATCGGACAAGATCGCCATAAGAACGTCAGCTGGCGTGCCTATAACGCAGGATGGCGACACTGTCTGTACGTAGAGTACATTGTTCAGCATTGTCAAGTCGAAGGGCACTTCCCTGTTGCTGCGTTTGACGAGTGCGCGCGTCGCACCGTCGTACACCAGGCCGAACCCCTTAAGTTCGAGTTTGCCGTACAACACAATGTTGCGCTCGAGTTGAGTCGCAAGGTAAACGTCGGTGAGCTTGACCGTGCGCTCCTTTCCACCTGCCATTACACATAGTCGAACGCTTCCAGCTTTTGACAGCGACAATGTCTCTCCATCCGCCATGTTGCATTCGTGGCTGCAGTCCCGTGCATTCTCTAACAGACTATCGTTGTTCACGAGGTGTCGACTTGATCCACTGTCTAAGATCCATTCGCATTTCTTGTCGTTCGCATCTTCGACATCGAGGACCAGATCCGTTCTCTTTCCGTTGGGTGTCGGGCTCTTGTTCTTGCCTCCGACGTCGTTGATTGCCAGAACCAGATCTGCACCAACTCTAACACGACGTTCACCGTGGTTCTTCCTGTCTTTGCTGCGACAGTCGCTTTTAATGTGGCCAACTTTGCCACACCCGAAACACGTGAGTGTCTCTTTCTTCGTTGAGGCCTCGTCGACGTGAGCCACAACGTCTCGTCCGAGCGCACGACCCTTGCGCGACTCGACCTCCACAGACTGCGCGAAGTGTGCGAGCTCCTCAGCTTGGCACAAATGGTCGACCCGCGAGTTGTCTTACTTAGCCATGAGCACTGTGCTCAGGTCTGCTGACGCGTAGTGCACGATGTTGTTGAGCACCTGTTGGTCCGCACCGCCGCACGCGTCGCTGACTGCAACCAAGTACAGATAGTGCTCTGGCCAGCTTCGCTTCGAGTCTTTACGCGCCGTAAAGAGCTGTATCGACTGCGATGCCGTGATCGTGGTCTTGAAAGTCTGCAGGAGCCTTTCCATGACGTGGTCTAGCGTCGGTAGTTGCGTCCACCACACCTCAAGCTGCTTGTTGTAGTAGCGTTCTGCGGTACCGCTCAAGTAGTGTCCAAGCAAGTCTGCTTTGGCGTCCTCAGACCAGGCAAAGCCGCATGCGTGCTGGGCCATCGTTACCTGTCGGAGAAACGTACGCCCCCAGTCAAGGAAGTCGGAGCCGAGCCCATGGTACAGCTCGCTACCGTCGAACTTCCTGATTGTCAGCTTTCGCTGACGCGCATCCGGCACTCGATGCGCAGGACCCGCCGCCTGCTGTTCTTGCTGCGGCGCCTGCTGCATTGGAAAGCGCTGTCGCGGTTCCGGTGCGACGTATTGAGGCCCGAGCGGTTCGACGTGCGCAGCATGCGCTGGTGACGCTACTTGTCGCCTCTGTGGCGAGTTCCCAAGTGCGTCCAGGTGCAATGGGCCAGCGTTGCCCATGTTGCGACCGAGCAGAGAGGTAAAAAGTCCACTCTCGATAGCTCCTCGGAGTCGTTCGTTTTCGTCAATCTGCATCTGGGACGCCTCCATGCGCTCCATGCGGCCTTCGAGTCCCATCAGCATCTAAAGAATCCTCTCGTTTACGTCCGCGCCCCTTTCGTGGGTTGGCGGGTCAACGACCATGGCAGGCGCCGTCACGGCCCTTTCGTGACCGGTGGCTGGCGGCGCCTGTGCCGTGTCGGTGGCGTTGTCGATGTTATCGGCGTTTGGGCTCATAACCTGTTCGTGATACGTTAACACTGTAGTAAAAAGGATTCTGACATTATGTTTTCGCTTACCTTCAGCCCGGTCACTTGCGTGCCCCAAGCTGCGCTCACCCCGTGAGTTTCCTGTCCACTCAATTGGTTGGTTGGTGCACTAACACCTTGTCTACTCTATCTACATGCTAGGAGAACAGTGTCGCCAGCCGCCTCTCGTACCTTTTCGTGTCCAGATGCAAATCTTCATTTAACAGCTCCAACAGGTCAAAACCCAGCAACATGCCCTCATATTCCGCCTCATTCACTGTAGATTTAGCGAGGCTCTTTGAGGCAGCTTCGACTATAGTCCATATAGGAAATTTACATATAATAGCGCTACAGGCCCCACACCAGCTTTTATGTTGCTTTCATCGTACTTATGATGTTAGCCGTTACGTTTACAAGGCATCGCACTGCAGTGACTTGCCCCCCCCCCACAATTGTTTACTTAAATGAAACATGTTGTCCTTAATTTTACCAAGTTAAGCTTCATAGAGCCTCTTGACCCGCTCTACATATCGGTATAGCAAGCACATCAAGCCCATAACAATACAGTTTGAAATTAAGGAAACTACAAATTCTTTTTAATGATCCCTCAATTAAAATCTTAAACGCCTAGAGAATGGTGGTGGTCACGGTGACCACGAAAACACCTGCCCAGACGGCAACCATACTGACACTGGTGGCGCCCGATGTCGTTTCGGCCGGGCCGTCGTCCGAGTTACCTGTCGGGGTAGTAACTGGCTTGACAGTGTTGTCGTCCGAAGCATCTGGCGTGGGAGTGGTAGTGTCGTCCTTATTATCTGGCAAGGAAGTGGTCTGCTTGACAGTGGCGTCGTTCTTACCATTTTCTGACGAGGTAGGGCCCTGCTTGACAGTGGCGTCGTCCTTACTATTTTCTGACGAGGTAGGGCCCTGCTTGACAGTGGCGTCGTCCTTGCCATTTTCTGGCGAGCCAGATGTCTGCTTGACAGTGGCGGTTTCCTTACCATTTTCTGACGAGTCAGGGCCCCGCTTGACAGCGGTGTCGTCCTTAGCATCTGGCGTAAAAGCATACGTATGGTCGTCCGAGGTCGTGGGGGCTTTCGAGTCCGGTTCCGTAACTTTGGAAGTCGTGGGATTCGGAGACGCGTTATCGGACTTCACAGTGGTGTCAGGCGGGCCCATAGGACCATCATTCAACGAGCCAGCACGTTTGCAGTAGTCAGTCATCGGGTTGATCAGGTCATCGTACAGCAAGAAGGCGCCTAGCTCGCACTCCTTAGGGGCGAGCTTTTTGATCTGCGACAGAACCGATTGGCAGGCAGCGATGGGGCACATGACGTTCAGCTGGGCTTCGGTAGGTGTTTTGAGCGAGGTCACCACGTAACCGGACTCTTCACCGCACGTTTTGGTGTCCGGCGAGACCAGAACCTCCTGGAGCGGTTTCACGTCGCACATGTCCGCCTTGGTGACGGCAGCGAGAGCAGCAGCAGAGACGATGGCAGCGAGTTTCATGGCAAAGTGGGGATGGGAAGAGTAAAATGATCGGGATAGATGCTTGACGTGCAGAGTGAAAGTTTGGAAGTGAGGTGTTAGAGGTACTGACTGCCTCGCAACGTCAGCCATTGGCTTTAACGCGCTGATCCGCGGCGCAACAGGTTTGTGTGTCACGAAGGCCTTGAGACATTTACTTTAGGAGCATACAAACACGAAGTGCCAATTCCGGCTTGACAGTGATTACTGCAGCTAGGATACACTTGACCGTTCATGAACAAGTCGTAAAATGTGCTGCTTTAGCAATTTTGCTGCACAGTCAGAGAGCTTCTGGCAGAAATCCAACGAATTTGCACTTGATTGCTTCGCTTACTTTCTGCCGCTGCCTTGATGAACACTCACGACGCCTTTGAGGCTACGTCCTACATAATGCAACAAAGCTCCATGGGGGCGTCTGCGTATCTACGCCCCTTTCCACGTCCCGTGAATCTGATCGGTATTCCATGTATATGCATGATGAACGTTGTACTTGTTGTACCAGACGTTGAACATTGGGCCAAGAACATTAAGAAAGTCAACCATAATACTCAATTCTGGGACAATTAACACTATACCATTATTTGAAAGCAGTTTAAAGCGTGCTTTTTCTTTCTTAGCATTGCATGGTCCAATCGACGTAGTGTATAACTCGGACGCAATTAGATCCAGTGCGTCGATAGCGCAAATAAAATGGAGGAAGTACTCGTGCATCTTCTCTCGTTTTTTTAGACTGGTCCGGATTATATGATTCTGTCTGATCATGCGCTTCTGTCTGATCATGTGCTTCTGCCGGATCATATTTTGGTACATAGCAAATGCTGGACACACATAAAAGGAGGCAAGAGTGATCTACCCAGCTACCGCCCAGAGAAATTACCGCGTCAACTTCAATCGTCTGCATGTCCACTCAACTCGCTTTCCTACGCCACGCAGATATACGCTACAGCCCATAAAGGTCTTCACAACTTCACTCATTAATGATGCCATCTTAATTGCCTAATGACACTGCGTCTATGATGACGTCCAGCCAATCCAACGCGCGCATGCGGCTCTGGTTGCTCATTTCTTCCTCGCTTAAAATATGAAAATGGGATCACGTTATCTGGCGTCACTTCCAGACGACCTCACCACCATTTCCGAAGTAGTTCATGGTCTGCACTTTTTCCCTGTACCCGGACCTTCTCACATCCATGACCATACAGCTCCCCTTCGACCATGCAGCTCCTCTTTAGCTGTCACAAACGATCAGCGTCGGTACCTACTGCCTCAACCGCACTAAAGGAAAGACAGTCTTACATGTTGTGGTGTTAGGTCACACACGACCGCGAAACGTAGATCAAATAAGAGCTATTTGTCTTTAAAGTGGCTCAAAATGCTGCAACCTGTAACATTGGTGGTGTCTTCTTGGCATAAAAAACTGAACAGACAGTCTGCCCAAGAATACGCGTCTTCTGCAGGAACACGGACTGGCTTCAGCTGCCTGGACCATCCCGTGTCACTATGTTTGTTGACATGGAAGTGCAGCAGCTCGTGCGTGTCCAGCTCTGCTCTGACACTACAAGAAAACACGTCACCGTATTATGACCTCAGGAATAATCCAAAAGCCTTCCAACTCCATTTTCGCAAAGCTCCAAAATCGGGAAATCCTTGCATCTAGAGCTTCCGTGAGTACAATGTTATGCTTTTTGAGGTCACGATGCAGCACCAGGGGCTCGAGATTACAAGTAGATCAGTGTGTAGTGCTACTAGGATCTTAGTAGGCTCAAAGCCCAGCTCACAATATGTGAAAGTTATTACATCAAAGGGGTGTGTGAAGGTCGCCGCCCTCGAACACGGCATACCGCACTAGACTGTACGATCTGCGAATGCTCATCTAACTGGATTTCGGCCAGAAAGCTTAAATGCGAGAAAGCGACGATGATGGGATCGTCTCATAGACTGAACCATCGGGTATTGAGCCCGGAACGACAATGTTCCGTGATTACCTGCTACTCCGTGTCTGCAGGAGAATGGCTTAACTCAAGTAGCCGATTCTGTTTTTGGCAATCATAAGCTTTGTGAAGAAGCGTCACTTACTCGGTGTTTTCCGCAGCGCTGCTGCACATCGCACAAGAAGACATTGAGGAACACAACAACACGAGCATAAAGACCACCGATGTAGTTCTGACGCCAATGACGCTGGTACCTTTGGCGAATTGGTGGAGTTTAAACAGAAAATTGTCTGACTGGACGGCCACGTAGTGTACGACGTGGTGCCGTCACCCCTGCGCCGTCTGCGTAATCTACACAGTTTGATGTACTCGTGTTCACTTCGGGAGGCATCGCAGGCGAGTAGAGGGGTCCACCATAGGCGCTGCTGTGTTGAGACTTGATGTCGTTCGATGATTGCTCCACGAAAACGCCGCTGACGCTATCGAGGTAGATCTAGGAGCTGTCGATTCTGTTGTTTCGGGAGCTAGTGGCGTCAATTGCCGGCACCGTTGTCGTTGGAGAAGACGTGGGGGTGGTTCGCGGAGTCTTCGATGGCATTATGATTTCTGGCATTGTATCGACATTGCCGGCACTGTTGCTGATGACATCGTGCATGTCGGAGCAGTCGACGTCAGCGCGTCGTCGTTTACGATGCGGTTGCTTGAGTAGTACCTGTCGGTGTCGGAGTGTCATGGTTTGCGTGGTGACATCTTATCATCCTTTACCTGCAAAAAATAACAACAAGAACGTAGACTTGTTGTTATTTTTTTACACCAAAAATGACGTATCGCATTCCTAAGAAAGCGACGTGAACGATGAACAGGCATTGGGCTGCGTGACGCCGCCTTCTTCGACGTCCAGATGCCATTCGACTTCAAGGTTGCAGAGCTTTCAATAATGGATGCACAAGACGGGAAAAAAACACATCCTTTTAGCCTTCTCGGATACCTTAATTTGCTTGTGCAGTGGTCGACTGGGTAGGCATGCACCCCACCCCAATATTTGCTCCAAATTAGTACTACTAACTTGCGGTCTCGTATATTAGCGCCACATACCGTCATTATCCGATCGTAACGTTACTCCTTGTTTGAATAGAAATCCGGCCGCTTACTGTCCCTGACGCTGGCGTGGCGCGCACTTAATAATGTCGTCTACCCTGAGAATCATCTCAGCGGCCTCGGCTGCTGAGAACAGCACTTGCGTCTTGCTCTTAAGCGCTTCGCGGATGCCGAGCGACTCCATGTCGCCCACGCAGCCAGTGCGCATGTCCAGACCCGCTGTCGTCTCTCCACGATGGTGTGCCGCGCGAAGCTGCGTCACCAGTTCCGTGCTGTCAAATCCGCCGTTGTCAGCAATGATGCTTGGAAGCTGACGCAGTGCGCGTGCGAATGCCTCCATTGCCAATGCCTTTTTGCCGGGCACGGACGGCGCCTTGTTGTCGATGGCCTGCGCCATCAGTACCTCCGTGCAGCCGCCGCCCATTACAGTCTGCGAGTGCTTGACTGTCTGTGTCAGCACGGCCAGCGCATCGTGAAGCGAGCGCTCAGCCTCGTCCAGTAGATGTGAGCTGGCACCGCGAAGCACTACAGAGCAGGCCGTGCCCGTTTTGACGCCCGAAAACCGCAGCATTCGGTCCTCGCCGATAATAATTTCCTCGATCAACTTGCACTCACCAACTTGCACTGCGTCCGGGTTGTCAAACGTAGACGCGATCTCGCCTCCCGTGACCGCAGCCAGGTGCTCAATGCCGTCGAAATCGGCGTGCTCGATAGCCATGATGCCCTTGTCCGAGAAAATCTGCTCGGGATAGTTGTAGATAAGTTGTCGGTTCACGAAGCAATTGATGCCAAAGCTGGCAATCTTTTCCACCTTGGCCTTCATTTTGGCCTTTTCAGCGTCCTCAATTGCCGATACCTTGTCCATCGAGTCCACCTTGACACGCGCACCGTAGATCTTGATCTTGTCCGTGTCCATTCCCGTGTTGGCCACCAGAATTTTGGCATTTTCAATACGCTTGGGCTGTCCCACACCGATCTTTTTGTCGAGGATAAAACCTTCATCCAGGTACGAGTCGCGGAGAGAGCCACCGGCTTTTTTGATGATTTGGATGTAGTCCAAATTGCTGGATCCACGCAGACGTAGCACGGCATCCACCGCTAGTTGGGCGAAATGGTCCTTCTCGTAAGTCAGCAGCTTGGAACTGAGAGTCGTGCGCGCAATGTTTATAAGATCTTCACGGAACTTGTCGGCATCATGTGAGTTGTCCTTGGCCGAAGCTACGAGTGCCTCATTGGCTGTGGTTAGAGCGATACGCCAACCGTCGATGACGGTTTGAGGATGAATACGCTGGTCAATGAGTTTCTCGGCCTCGCGTAATAATTCGCCACAGAGAACAGCGACACTCGTAGTGCCATCACCAACCTCCTCATCCTGCGTTTTAGCAATGTCCACAAGGACCTTTGCAGCCGCATTATCCACATAGACGCTGCGTAAGATTGTGGCACCATCGTTGGTAACCGAGATGTTCTTGTCGGGGCCGCCCATCGACTGCAAGATTTTGTCCATTCCCTTAGGGCCTAATGTTGTCTTTACCATATCAGCAATGGCAATAGCACCTACAAATGATGACAAACGGGCATTCTCGCCTTTTTCCACTTGTGACTCCGGGTCAAGGACAGCCTGCTGCATTTTGACTGTTAACTTTAAGAGGACCTTTGTATGGAGATGCTTGCTTTGGAACCAAGATATGCCCCCTCCACACAACTAGCCTATGGGAGCGCATGAAAAAGGTAGTTAGATAGGCACAACTAGCTTATAAGAACGCATAATAGAGGTAGTTAAACAGGTAGCTCTTATAAATCTCTTAGCTCATTTTGTATCTGGAGTAAGAGAAGATGTTCTACATATCCAAAGCAGAGCTTACGCTCCCCAGACTTGTGTCTCTTAGCTAAGCTAACTTGGAGCAATAATACCAACAGAGCAACAGCGTGTTGAAGGTGGTACTCAGCCACTGAGAGCGGAGCTTGACCATGGTAAATTATCATTGTTGACGACTCGTGTTTGCCGTGTTCTCATTCAAGTGCACCTAGACGTGCAAGCAATTATTCTCAAGCGTGAGCGTCGTAGTGATCCACTTATGTTGGGCTATCGTCCCTGACTTTCTGTATGAAGTTGCTCAACTTTTGTGCCCACATAATGAATATACAAAGTATAATTATTCGGATTCTAGTCGAGGTGCGTCAGCAAACACGTCGGTAAAGCCCACTTCACCGTCGAACAGTGACTGAACGGCGCGAGCGTTTTCGTGCTAATCAGTGCAATCAAGCGTGTTTCAGTCAATATGCTAGCTGTAAAGCAAATTCGTCAATCTTGTGCGCAGCTTCATGTGCTCGTACATCTAGATCCAATAGCCGTGCAGCTTATCTCTGCAACTGGAAGGTAGTCGATTGTTACGATAGATATAATCGCGCTGCTGTGCCGTTGCTGCCATCAATCTCAACCGAACTAGCAGCTCATGTAACATAATACTGAACTAGAAAATTTCTTTGTACATGTGTCTTTCCTGACCAACCATATTATTCTTTACAACCGTTAGAATGTTCAAGGTGTTTTTTCTCGACAGCAACAATGTCAATTGATGCGCCGAAGATGGAAGATTGCCTCGGGTAAGCACACCTTCCCGTATTGATTGCAATCTGTTCTTGCAAGATAACGCTTGCATTACTCTTGCACAAAGTAGCTGTCGCCTTACCGGTTCCATCACACTGCTGGGCGTTGGAGCCTATTTCTTCAACGAGGTGCGGCACCACCTTGTCCATCAAATATCAATACGATCGCACGCTAATTAACACGGATGTACCATGTAATGCTAGCGCTCTAAACTACCCCGACACGACTTCGGACAGCGACGATGGTTACTTGCATGTGCGGGTACATTTGCCGCCGCAGGAGTTTGCCGAGCGACGACCCACTTGTTCGACAGTCCGACACATTCGCCGGTAGACGGCGCGTCAGCTAACGCACAACAATAATACTCCTGTGAGGGCTGCAATCAAAACGCTCGAGTCTGATTTGGTATGAACAAGAAGTTTACGCGAGGTCCGCACCATGTCAATGATAAATAGCGCCCATTTGTGCTTTTAATATGCTAATTCTGGTTGCTCTTTCTTGTCAGTGAACCTCACTCGCCACGATCGTTGCGGTGAGGCTTCGTATGGTACAGCTCAAGTAAAAGATAAAGCCTAAACATGCAGAGGTGGACAACAGGAGCTATGAAATCGTCTCCACCTCACTAACCCGCCTTGCGCGTAGTTAGCTGCTTTGCAAATGATACATATTCGAACGTCCACTCCATCCCGTGCCAAGATGTGCGCGCTGAGAAATCTGCACATCGAGCAACTTGTGGAGTGAGCACACAGTGAGTAAAAGCCTCTGCTGACAGAAGAGCTCGCCTCAGTCCGCTACAGCCACTTTGAAAGTGGAAATCATGACAGCGGCAGAAGGCTGCAATGCAGATTGGCAGGGCGGTGCATGCTATCGTGCACCATTGCAACTGACACAAATACCTGCAGAGATGCAACCCAGCAAAGGTTGAGGATCAGAATAAAAGATGCACTACACTGGCAACCAAGACAAACATCGTACCTTCCTGTCGCCAGTGCTCGAGAAATGCCACATCATCTTTCTCTGCGCTGACGCCATTTCGCAAGAGAGGATCTTGCTCACGAGGGCATACATTTTGGGTGCTTCCATAGCCGTGCACATTGTGTAGAGACTATGTAGCCGAAGCTCGTCGATGTTCTTGCAGCATAGCTCCAGGAACAGCGCATTCGCTTCGACAATGGTGCCGTCTAGTTTCGCCAAGAGACTAGGCATACTACTATTGGCAAACACGTCGCGATAGGAAGCCGATGAACCCTCAATCTCATTAACATCCCCGTTTGAAGCGCCATTTGTAGCTCCGCCATACATATTGTCCATATCCAGTGGGTACGAAGTCTGATGTTGCATCCCTGGCATGGACAGTGCTGGAATTGGAGATGGCATGCTGTCGATCATGAAAGCTTGGCCTTTATTGTCAGCGTGGCCGGATGACGGCGCCGAGATGGACAAACGACCACTCGAGTCGCTGCACGGAGATGGGAATTGACGCGAAACACCATTCGGGTGAGGCGAAGGGTGCTGCAGGTGGTGCTGCATCTGCGGGTGGATCGCTATGCCGCCAATCTGGTTGCGCTCGAGGTTCGAAATGTAATCAAGCGTAGCTTGAAGTACACTGTACTTGTCTTTTTTGGAAGAAGAGTATCCTGCCGTCTCAAGCTTGTTACGAAGAATATCAAACTGATTACTGATGCGCAAAATACGCCTCTGCTCCCGCAAATTGTGCCGCTGCTTTTTGCTCAAGTCACCACCGCTGGACGAGTACCCACTAGGGGTCATGGGAGCCATCGGATAAGGACTCTCACATGGTGTCGAGTCGCCATTAGTGGAGAGACTAGAAGTCAGCGGATTCTGGTCGATAAGGTTAAGTTTAATGTGCATAGGGTACTGCGGCTGTTCAACCTTGGGAGAGATGGTGCTATAGGCGATCTCTAAAGCTGAGGCGTCCTGCAACGGAGGACGTCCATTTGAAAGCAAAGCCGAGGTCATAGCCATTGAATTCGAAATCGAGGGGGTGGAGACGACAGTAGCGGAAGTGGTTGAGGCAGAGGGTGGTGAGCAAGCCATGGCGTCGTTTCTAGTAGAAATAGAAACGACAGACTCAAACTGCTGCTGCTGCGAATCCATTTAGACTGTAAAGGATAATAGCGAGATAGAATTAGTGTCATAAAAAATAGGTCCAGGGAGAGCTACTATGACTACTATGACTACTATGACTACTGCACACGTACGAGGGGCAGCTGCGGGGGCGGAAGGAAGCTCGTTTTGTGACCCCCAAGTCTTCTTTCCACTCGCAGTTTACTCCATATTGTTACTTTCGTGTACCTCCTCTGCCAAAAATGGGCATTTTGAAGAGTGGAATTGTCAACAAATTAAAAATATATAATGGGTAACTCATGCTTTTTATGCACCCTACCGACTAAAAAGCTGGTCGGTAATCTATTATATATATTTTTTAGAAATTTAGGGCATTAAATTCAACGTGCTCTTAAGATTATGTCCGTAGAGAGTTGATATCAGTCGTAACGTTACTTCAGGTAGCTGATAGGTCAGACGATTTCTTAACAGACATATTTTAAACAATCATAAGAGAGAGGTGCAGACGTGTTTACCAAACCTTTAGTGGTTGCAGGATGTCTGGTAGATCCTAAGCCTGATTAGCAACGCCAGATTCCGGTTAGCAAGGCCGATTACGCTCGAGTCCGGTGGTTGTACGGGACTTGTCTCTACGGTGACGGCTTTCAGGGTTATTTTATCAATTATAAGGATCTAATAGACAGACTGATCATCATTATTACGTCCATTTCTTGCTAAAAATGCACTGGCCGCAATCAGTGCTGCATGATTTGCACATCGTTTGATCCGAGCACCAAGCTGTCACGCTACAGTGAAGCGACAAGGACAAGCTGTCTGAACAGATGATGAGTTGCTTCATTGCATATTATCAGTACTGGTTTGGTGTGGAATGCTGCCACAAGTAGCAAAAGCAATGCAGCCACTTGGTACATCCCAAGGTAAAAAGCCATGTTTACGCTGTGCCGCCGGCTTTTTCTCCTAATCGATCAACCATCTCGAGATTGTGATTCAAGAGACGCCCACCCCAGGAAGTGGAGGCAGCCAACGCCGGCAAACTGAACAAAGGTACTACCGTACTCGTATAAAATTTAACAACAACAAAACGGTCACTGATAACAACGGTCACTAATAACAACGGTCACTCGAACCTCCTGCGCGGGGGTGAGATGCACATTAAAACGAATTGACGAAGCGAAGAAATCGCGCGATTTATGCACTGAAAAATATAGGAAACGACGATGGCGGCTCGTTTATATGTCATGCCTTGGTGAAAATGCAAATGGCTCACTAGTTTCTAAACACGAATTTAAGGATCTACATGGGTACCATACCCTCTTACCGACCCATAACCATAAGTATATGGCTGGGAAGTGGACAGCTTCTACCCATACCCATTGGTATATAGGTGGGTAGTGGCTTCCTTACTTCTTCAAGCCGCATGTCATCAGCGACCTACCTTTCTTGCAATCAAATCGCGACATTTGTAAATAGAACATTTCCATATGTTCGCCAAGTTTTATCGTCTAAGTCATGGGTATGGGACGGTTAATTGGGTATGGGACGGTTAATTGGGTATGGGACGGTTAATTGGGTACGGCGGCAAACATGATGGGTATGAGTGGGTATGGCGTACCCCACGTGTAACGGGGTTACATGACGGTTGGAATATCATACCGAAAGTACATCACGGTTTCTATATTGCATATCATGTATTCTTAATACTAACCCTTTTTAAAAGGGTATTATATATAAGTGATACTATAAGGTATTAGTAATACCTTATGCTATCAGTATCGGTTCTATAAGCCCGGAAGTCCTCAATGCTCGCCTTGAGGCCTTAATGCGTTATGAGGCAACGCTACTCGGGCAGGTCCACGACCAGGAAGCGTCAGACGCGCCTACACAGTATATCCCGGTACCTGTGCCCGATGCAGAGCAAAAGGCTCGCCCACTCGTTTTAAACTTAAAAACCTTTGAGGGGAAGGAAGGAAAAAATCTTCTCTGGATACGAGAGGTTGAAACGGCAAAGGATGCCGCCATGCTCGTGTCAGAGAAGCAACGGGTTGGCCTGGCCATTTTTTAACTAGGTGGAAGAGCTAGAGAGTGGGCTCTAACGAGCGATGTCTCTGTAAATGCCGCATTTCCCTCGTGGAATATGCATAAAAGGCAATTAACATCGTGTGTTAATTGCGTGTTTGCACCGCCTAATCAGGTTAATCGTATGCGATCACGCTTCTTATGTAATAGGGCGACCTGTTACATGAGTAGTTATAGGGATAATACATTATTACATAAGTAGGCATAGGGCAGTATCCGATTAGCGGATACTGCGCGTCATTTTATTATTGATTTATTATTGGGGTGCCAGATCCAATAATTAACCAATAATAAATTGACTTTCATATTGAGTGGTTCCCATGAGCTAGGGAAGATATTCGCACTTCCTGCGAATTAAAACAAAACAAAAATAAAACAGAGTTATATTTACGAGTTGATTAAGAGCGCTTCCTCAACGCCCTTTTATTGTAAGACGGTTACGGGTTCTTAGCCATTTACACTTGGTAGTGTGGTGAAGTGGTTTCCTAAATTGGGAAGAATCTAGGGTCCAGTTGGATTGAAGGAACAAAGGGCCGTGGACTAGGGAGAAGGGACCACGCACTCGAGAGAAGGGACCGGAGATAATGGGAACCTCGGAGTGAAGCGACCGTTGGCTGAGAATTTGGAAGACAAACAAAGGAGAGGTCATTACCAGGGTACTGTTTAACCGGTACCGAAGGGAGTCGACCATGGCCCTCATTGGTCGACCCGGTCCATCATTGGTCGAACAGGTCCCTCATCGGTAGACCTGGGTCCCTCATCGGTAGACCTCGGTCCCTCGTCGGTAGACCCAGTCTCTCATCGGTCGACCCGGTCCCTCATTGGTAGACCCGGTCCCTCATTGGTCGACCCGGTCCCTCGTCGGTAGACTTGGGTCCCTCATTGGTCGACCCGGTCCCTCATCGGTCGACCCGGTCCCTCGTTGGTAGACCTGGGTCCCTCATTGGTCGACCCGGTCCCTCGCTGGTAGACCTGGGTCCCTCATTGGTCGACCTGGGTCCCTCATTGGTCGACCTCGGCCCCTCGGGGTTCAGCCACTCCTGACCAGTTAATACAAGGATCAGACCAGTCGACGCAAGGAATCAGAGCTTCAGGCAAGGATAGAGTAAAGGAGGTAAAAGGATAGGACTATATTAAATACTACTCAATTTGCGATCTACGTGGCACGACTCCGCCACCCAAGAAGGACTTGTTCTAAGCTACTCACTGTTCCGGGAAGGGATATATTTTGGCCCCCCGTCGAAGACAGTTGTGTAGCGAAGTTCAAGGGCGAATAGAGCTCCAGGATATATTTGGCCTGTGAGCTCGTTCGAGTAGCAACACCCCCCCCCAAGACCCGCTATCGGAAGCGGTCTCCCTCACCTCAAGGTCCGGGAGCAACGTAAAGGTCAGGTGGTTGATACCCCTGAAACAGAAGGAAAAGGCCAGGGACGACAAGCGCCCCTGAAGAATTTGGCTCTAAGTCCACTCTCGACAAGGTCGATCGAGTGGCCACCTACCGGCCCACCGAGTGAAGCATATCCACTCGAGGCCCCCCCAGGTCTACCTCCCTCAAGGCAGACATCTACATCGTCACCAAGTCCTCCAAAGAGTGCAACCCTCCAGCCGACGGGTACACAAGGTGAGAGAAGGTTCATACGCGGCATCGGGGTACCCCCTCCGACAGTCGGCAGTCCGGCACAGTGAGTGGTTTGGGGTCTCATCATACAATTTTGAGAACCCACTCCACCACAATGGTGCGCGTGCCCGGATCTTCGGAAGACGCGGGATTTCACCGCGAGTCCCAAGACGATAAAGATGTTCAAGTCAAGAAGGAGCACAAGACCGAAGAGTCGCTGGAAGACCGATCGCCAGTGACTCAAGAAGAAACAAACAAAGGATCGAAGGACCGACCGGGCCTTGGGAGGGGCCGGTCAACATGGTCGAGGTTGAATTCATTGAAGAAAAACCTAAATACCCTCCCTATGTCCTTGTAGAGGACACCTTGGGTCATGACGCCTATCATGATCCAGAGGACCATCAGCCGACGGTGAAAACCGAGAGGCTAAGGTCCCCGAAAAAACAACAAAGCAAGATCGCGCAGTCCAAGCCGACGAAGTTCCGGATGAAGGCACCCGGAAACACCAAGTCGATAGGCCCCGAGAAGGCAGGACTGGCGTCATGGACAGACGCTGATGTCACGAGGACCTATCACCAACGCAAGCTGAACGCGTTCCTGGAGAGCGACCCCTTCGCAAAGATCCTGGAGATCCGGCAGCTGGGTCAACTCACTGGGCCGGTGTCGACCCTGCCACGGCTGCACTCCGTCACGGACGCGATCACAGCGCTGGTCACCATGCTTCGTGAAGCGAACATGGTCGCAGGGCGGCTCGACCCGGATGACCTGCTATCCCTGGGATTCGACAGAATCACAAAAGCGTTAGAACATATGCACAAGCGTCTGTCGATCCTGGTGGGTACCACGCCAGCAACGGAACACCCACCTCTGGTGACACCCACACAAACACGGTCCAAGGACAGCCAGATGACGCTTCAAGACATCACGGTGGATCCTCACATGTCCGGAGCCGCCGGTCACCCAGGGGCGAATTAAGGCCCATCCCAACACCTGACGTCAAGCGGCCAAATAGCAGCAGCAACATGTTCCCCAGAATCGTCCTCGACTGGGTCGGTCACTAGGATGCCCCTAGGCCCTACTGGAGCGGCGCTGCTCCAGGCCCGAGCGCGCAGCGCGGAACAGGAACCACGTGGTCTCGGAACGGCGACGCGTGGCAAGAATGAAAATCATTCCGATTTTTAGCCAATGGAAAATCAGCAAGTAAAAAAGTTGGAATTTGCTCTGCCCCGTGACGAAGACGCTGGGGGGGGAAGGGCCTACCTACCCGGTAGGCGATCTGCAGACCCTCTTCGACGCAGCGATGGCAAGATTTTGAATGAACGCCAAGTACCGCGGGCACACCCAAACGCGAGTGTAGCAGGAGGAAGACCAGGGGCGCGAAGCAGGAACAGCGAGCTCACGAAACGGTGACGCGTGGACGACCAACAAAATTTCAGGTTTCTGATTGGTTGAATTTTCAGCCAATAGAAAACTCCTTGGATGGTTGGTCATGGTCCCTCGCCGGTCGACCTCGGCCCCTCGTCGATAGACCCGGTCCCTCATTGGTAGACCTAAGTCCCTCGTCGGTCGACCTCGACCCCTCGTCGGTAGACCCGGTCCCTCATCGGTATACCCGGTCCCTCGTTGGTAGACCTGGGTCCTTCAAGAATTTAGCTCAATGTATCGAAGACTGAAACCAAGCTGGAGTGACCCAGGTTGGCCACGGACTACCTAAGAAAGAGCAAGCAGAAAACCCTACGTGATTGACGAGGGAATACATGCGCGTGCTCAAACCGCTGTACGGCTGAGCAAGTGCAAGGGGCGGCTGTGGTGAAGTGGTTTCCTAAATTGTGAAGAATCTAGGGTCCAGTTGGATTGAAGGGACAAAGGGCCGTGGACTAGGGAGAAGGGACCACGCACTCGAGAGAAGGGACCGGAGATAATGGGAACCTCGGAGTGAAGCGACCGTTGGCTGAGAATTTGGAAGACAAACAAAGGAGAGGTCATTACCAGGGTACTGTTTAACCGGTACCGAAGGGAGTCGACCATGGCCCTCATTGGTCGACCCGGTCCATCATTGGTCGAACAGGTCCCTCATCGGTAGACCTGGGTCCCTCATCGGTAGACCTCGGCCCCTCGTCGGTAGACCCAGTCTCTCATCGGTCGACCCGGTCCCTCATTGGTAGACCCGGTCCCTCATTGGTCGACCCGGTCCCTCGTCGGTAGACTTGGGTCCCTCATTGGTCGACCCGGTCCCTCGTTGGTAGACCCGGTCCCTCGTTGGTAGACCTGGGTCCCTCATTGGTCGACCCGGTCCCTCGCTGGTAGACCTGGGTCCCTCATTGGTCGACCTGGGTCCCTCATTGGTCGACCTCGGCCCCTCGGGGTTCAGCCACTCCTGACCAGTTAATACAAGGATCAGACCAGTCGACGCAAGGAATCAGAGCTTCAGGCAAGGATAGAGTAAAGGAGGTAAAAGGATAGGACTATATTAAATACTACTCAATTTGCGATCTACGTGGCACGACTCCGCCACCCAAGAAGGACTTGTTCTAAGCTACTCACTGTTCCGGGAAGGGATATATTTTGGCCCCCCGTCGAAGACAGTTGTGTAGCGAAGTTCAAGGGCGAATAGAGCTCCAGGATATATTTGGCCTGTGAGCTCGTTCGAGTAGCAACACCCCCCCCAAGACCCGCTATCGGAAGCGGTCTCCCTCACCTCAAGGTCCGGGAGCAACGTAAAGGTCAGGTGGTTGATACCCCTGAAACAGAAGGAAAAGGCCAGGGACGACAAGCGCCCCTGAAGAATTTGGCTCTAAGTCCACTCTCGACAAGGTCGATCGAGTGGCCACCTACCGGCCCACCGAGTGAAGCATATCCACTCGAGGCCCCCCCAGGTCTACCTCCCTCAAGGCAGACATCTACATCGTCACCAAGTCCTCCAAAGAGTGCAACCCTCCAGCCGACGGGTACACAAGGTGAGAGAAGGTTCATACGCGGCATCGGGGTACCCCCTCCGACAGTCGGCAGTCCGGCACAGTGAGTGGTTTGGGGTCTCATCATACAATTTTGAGAACCCACTCCACCACAGTAGCACTTAGTAGTCCTTTCAATGACCAGATTCGAGATGAACATGGACGAGTCTTCGGTGGCTCCAGCGGTCTCGCTGGAGCATTCTGATTTTCCACATCTCACCTCGGTGGAGTGGCAGGCACTACATCGCCTCGCGGCGGTGTCTCGTGAAACTATTATGACGTCGCTGTACTCCCTCGCGCACTTCGCACCATGACGCTATCAAGATGGAGACGTCAACGTACTCTGGTGATGGTCCGGATCGTCTCCCCCTTAATCGCTGGTTTCGCGAGGTGGATATTGCGATAGCGTCAAATTGATCGATTCTTGGAAGACCAAGGTCAATGTGGAGAAGTGCCAGAGAAATGGGGGGCCCTTCGTAGTTATTATAATAACTGGCGTGAAAGATCTCGGTCACTCTCTTGAATGAGTGACAGGGAGTGACCAGGGCCCCGAACTGGTTCAAGGTCCCGAGTTCGGAGAAGGTACTAGGATGTCCTACACTACAGACTAAAGGACCAGTGCTGCTAGGGCAGCTTAGGTTGACCCCAGGTAACAGGTGGGTCCCAGACAACAGGTGGACCCAGGTGACCGGTGGACCTCAGGTGACAGGTTGACCCAGGTGACCAGTAGACCCCAGGCAACAGGTGGACCCAGGTGACCGGTGGACCCCAGGTGACAGGTGGACCCAGGTGACCGGTGGACCTCAGGTGACAGGTTTACCCAGGTGACCAGTGGACCCCAGGCAACTGGTGGACCCAGGTGACCGGTGGACCCAGGTGGACAGTGGACCCCAGGTGACAGGTGGACCCCAGGTAACAGTGGTACCGGGGCCCAGGGGTACCGGGGTACCGGGGTACCGGGCCCAGGGGTACCGAGGCCCAGGGGTACCAGGGCCCAATGTCCGAGGGTGCAGAACCGGTACACAGAATATCGAAGATTACAGAAAGTACAGGGTACCAAGGAGCCAGTTCTTCCTCCAAGAGTCGGCACGCGGCACTATCCAGATCAAAGGGTTAGGGTTAGGCAAGAAAAGCATACAAGGTATAAGATGAATAAACACACTCGAATTTGCATTACACGTGGCAGCTTTAAGCGCCCCTCCTAAGCTTCTCCGTCGCTTCACCTCTTCCGGGCGGGATACCCTTTGGCCCCCCGACGTCCAGAAGGTGGTAGACGGCTCAAGCTGCGCAGGTTGAACCTCAGAATAGCTGGCCTGAGGTGTCAAAAAACATCCAACACCCGCTACAGGAAGCGATTTCCCTACGGGGAAGAACACAAAGGGGTCCAAGGACCAAGAACAGTCATCCACCAAAGGGGTACATAGTACCAGGTGCATTGCTCTCGACTTAGTCGATCGAGTCGAAGAAACCCGGTCCCGAGTGAAGCATATCCACTCGAGGACCACCAAGTCCAAGTCTTATACACATACCAAGTCTTTAAGTCTTCTGCGTCAACCGAGGAGCAAGACCAGCCAAGCCGGCGGGTACACAAGGTAAGACCCAATGTTAACACGACACGGTATCGGGGTACCCCCTCCGTAAGTCGGCAGCCCGGCGCTGTGTGTGTTTGTGGTTCTCTCACGTCGTTTGAGAATCCACTCCACCACAATGGTGCGCGTGCCCGGATCTTCGGAAGACGCGGGATTTCACCGTGAGTCCCACGAAGAAGAAAAGACATCGGTCAAGATAGACCAAGGGACAACCAAGACACTGGAAACCGGATCGCCAGTGATCAAGAGGGAAGAAGGATCGGAGGACCTGCAGAGCCCGGGAAGGAGCTCTGCTATTGAGGTCAAGGTGGAATATGAAGAAAAACCACAAAGTCCTCTCCCTTATGTCTTCGTTGAAGAAGACAACATGGGCCATAATAAATATTATGGTCCAGGGGTCCCAAGTTTGACAGCGAAAGCTAAAAAACAAGGGACCCCGAAAAAAGTCTCCCAACCTACCACTCAAGAGCCAAAGGTGCCCAAGAACAAGCAAAAAAAGCAGAAACATACCAAGTTGAAGGCACCGAGAGGCGGAGACACGAAGGACGAGTCGGGAGAGAGCCAAGGCGTGGCTAGCAAGGACTGGACAGAAGAAAATTTGGAAGAAGCCTACCATCGGAATAAATTGAAGAAGTTTCTTCGAAAGGACCCGGTGATGAAGGCGCTCAAGGTCAAGCTTCTGGACCAGGTCCACGGTCCGATAACGGCTCTTCCCACCACGACCACAGACCTGGAGGTCCTCAAGGCCGTAATGAATATGCTACATGAAGCTGGGATGGATGCTGGGAACTTCACCGCTGAGACCCTCTTCGATTTCGGGTTCGAGACCTTGAAGAAGACCTTAGTGACCCTGCATGGTCACCTCAAGACGTTAGTGGGGGAGTTCCTCCCAAAGGAAGTACCTCGTCAAGATGGAGGAGTAGTGGATCCTGGTGTGGGCTCTCCTTCTGCGTCACTCGGTGAATCGTCACCAAGGTCTCAATACGAATCAGCCACCTCATCTATGATGTCGGCCCTGATGGATACGGTGGACCGAATGCAACTGGGTCCAGCTGGTGCAGCGTTGTTAGAAGCACGAATTCGCGAAACTGGCCATATGGACACAGCAACCCCATGGGTCCAGCGCCAAGCACAGGAGGAGACGGAAGCCCGGTGCAAAGTGGAGCCAAGGTTGGTGGGGCAAAAACGGATCAGGAAACAAAGACTGAGTCAGTTTCCCCTAGCGCCCTCCAGTCGTACTTTGATAAGGCGATGACCAAGTTCCTTGAAGAGCAAGGCTCCACAAAAGATGCAGTGGACAGGGGATACACCACGAAGGGTCAAGGACCAGTTCATCCCAGGTCCTCCCAGCGAATTGAGCGCCTAAGACCACTAGGCGATATCCCTGATGTGGACATGGAGTCTGTGGGGTCAACCCATGATGAATACGATCCAGATGATTTGACGTTCCCGATGATTTCAGCGCGAGCGACTGTGGCCGCGGCTACGGCAGGAGGACCCCCTACTGTTGTTCCACACATTAGGGTATCGGCCTCGTCGGATCTGAAGGAATTTAGCGGAAGGGACCACGATGAAGATCGTGCCAGAAGCTGGAGCACTAAGGTAAAGACGGCTTTCCTCCGAGACCAGGCACCAGACAGCGAGAAGTGTCTCATTTTTGGGTCCCTGCTCACAGGTCCAGCTCATAATTGGTATCGACAGCTAGGTCGAACAGTGCGCGTTGATTGGAAACTGCTGCTGCGAGAGTTCCAAGCACAACTTTGCGGCTTGGGGGTGTCGGTGGCCCGACAATATTATCACGCCAGAAAGATGACCCTTGGAATATTTGTACCGTCTGAACGTGGCAGGGATCAGGGCCAAGCTAGATATTAAGGGTGGACCCCCCAGTGTAAAGCGTGAACACGTGGACCATTACGTGGAAACCTTGGATGATCGAGAATTAGCGGACCAGCTTACATTGCTCCGACTTTTTTATGCAGATGACCTGGAGGAAGTCCTTCTGGCTCGTCAGAGAGCGAAGACGCGTCAAAAAAGGATCTTGTTCGGGTCCAGCAAGTTTCGCCAGAAGGCCCCAACCACTCCAGACCACACCAAGAGTCAGCTGAGAAGACCCGTCCAAGTCATCCGAGCCACTTCTGAAAGTGAAAATGACCAAGGGTCCAGCTCCAGTGGGTCCGAGGGAGAAGGTGACCTCAGAAGAATTTACGCGGCGGCGAGTAAACCTTACACTGGTAGGGCGAGGAACGCAGATGACCCCCGGGATCATCAGGACCCAGACCCAGACCGAGGTCGACGCATGGCAGAGGGACCTGGACAAAAGGTGGTCCCATGGTCACCCGTGACAAAGTGTACTCATTGTGGATCTAGGAAGCATGTGGATCTGGAATGTTGGAAGCGACTCGTTTGCGAGTGCTGTGGAAAGAAGGGTCACCCAGCCGACCACTGCCTGTCTGTGTGTCGCGGTTGCGGCAAGGTTCATGACGTCGGCAAGTGCCCGATGGAAGAGTTCTACAACTTGATTCGACAGTGATACAACCCGACCAAATACGCGGGGCAGCTTCCTGAGGCCGCGGAGAAGATGTTAAATTAGAACGCTCGCCAGGTTTGAATCTGGTACGAGCCGAGCGTTCTAATTGTTGCATTTATGCATTTGTGGAAAAACACCCCGGGGAGAAGGTCAATAAGTTGGATGAATTGATTGGAAATACATCGGGCTTTTGCATTAATTCTGTCGCTGCTGTGGCCAATGCATGTATACCTCACGTTTATTCCCGAGGAGAGACTATGATGACATTGGATTTATTGCCGGGGGAGTCAAGAGGATACTGGAAACACCATGCCCCAGGAAAGTGGTTTAAGCAAGCCAAGGCCTCTGGGAAAGTTAACAATATTTGTGCGAATCTACTGTTTGATTCTGATGCCGAGGTATCGATTTTAGATATCGCCTTTGCTCGTAAGGCAGGCTGTCAGATTAACACAAGCAAAAAACAAGAGTGCGTGGGCATTGGAGAAGCAGTTTACACCACGGAAGGGAGAACGAAGTAAAGATAAGTATTAGTATACTTCTTCAATGTGTGGGTCGGGTCCATGGCCGGCCAGGATGTACTACTAGGGATGGACTTTATGGTGCCAGCTGGAATTCGTTTGGACATGGCGGATGGAACTATTTGCTTGCCAGACGAAGTTCGAATCCAGCTGACAGGTCGCAAGACCTTATATAGTGGCCATATTTCTGAGGTAAAATTGGGCCAGTACGTGAATTTACCGGCGACAAAATATGTCGAGGTTCCGCTGAAGAGGGTTACGTCGGACCAGTCGAAATTATAAATGACCCGTGGAGACAGATGGGTGACTACGATGATCCAAGGACATGGATATCGCCAATTCTTGAGGGTCACCAATGTGAGTGACAAGGACCTGATCCTACACGAGGATACCAAGCTGGGCATTTGGCTGGCTAAGGACCGGGTTCCCCGGGCCCAAGGATTCGTGTAAGTTGGTTCTAGGAGGTACGCTGAATGGAAAAATCTAGCCTACCAAGCAACCACCGATGAGGAGGATGCAGAAACTACTCAAGAAGAAGTATACCAAGGTCCGATGGTCGAGAAACCTCAGTACGCGACTCCACAGAAAATGTTGCTACGGACGAGGACCCAAGTGCCAGTGATTAACGCGGTGCACGAGTCTGTTATGAGGGACCCTGAGTCATTACCATCAGATCAGGAGTCTGGAGGGGAAGCCCTCGATAGAGGCCGACCAGCTAGAGCTAGCGTGGGCAAAGAAGTATCATCGAAGGATAGGACCGATATGGAGAGGGTCCACCTAGAGGGGGGTCCGCGGGTCCACCCGGAGGGGTCTACAGGTCCACCCAGAGGGGGGTCCACCGGTCCACCCAGAGGAGGGTCCACCGGTCCACCCAGAGGGGGGTCCACCTGTACACCCAGAGGAGGGTCCACCGGTCATCGAGGCTGAAGTAGATAGTTCCGATGACCCCAAGTCTGTGGTCACGAGAGTGGAGATTTATGTGCAGAGGATATCGACAAAAATTGGTCTGTTTTCCCTGAGGTCACCCCATCTACAAACGAAGTTATATTGGAAGACATCCAGATCCCAGACCCCGGTGATACCCCAAAGGAGGAGGTAGACCGCCTCCGCCAGATTATATGGAGAAAACGACATTTGCTGATGGGAAAAGGTCCCGGTGGCTCGAGGAGCAGTGTGCGACATTGATGTTGGGAACGCACGGCTAATCGCCCAACGGGTACAGAAGGTGGCCCCTCAATTTAAGGAGAAGCTGGCAGACCTGATAAAAGGCCTCTTGTCATCCAAGATAATCCAGCATTCCACCTCCCCATGAGCCAGCCCAATTGTAGTTATTGTTAAGAAGAATGGGGTGTATATAAGGCTGTGCATTGACTACCGGATGGTGAATGACTTAACGCGGCTTATGGTGTACCCTATGCCTCTCGTGAATGAGTTGCTGGAAGACTTAGATAAGGTCTTGTGGTACTGCTCACTGGATATGGCTAGCGGTTTTTGGGTGGTCAGCATGACCGAACGAGCTCGTTTAATCTCGGCGTTTGTAACCCCGCTAGGATTGTTTGAGTGGAGACGAATGCCGTTTGGACTGTAGAATGCACCACAGATCTATCAGAGACTGTTGGATAACGCTCTATATGGATTCCTAACGATTTCCTCGAAGTCCAACACTGAGAAACAGGTTAACCTGTTCGAAATAGGTCAACCTGAAGCGGACCACGAGGAGTCCATATTAGGACGCCGGTCTTATATCGATGATATTTTGGTAACCTCTGGATCATGGGATGACCTATGCTTAAAAGTGGAAAGACTATTGGAGGTTTGTGATAAGTGGAATTTATCGATCAGCGCGGTCAAAAGTTCATGGGAATGAAAAAAGTTGATTATCTGGGGCATCGAGTGTCTGCGGAGGGGTTGGAGTCCCATCCTAATGATCTTCAGTCATTGGTGGACTTACCGTTTCCCGCCACCCTAAAAGCCATGCAGTCGTTTCTTGGAAGTCTCAATTACTATAGCCGGTTTCTAGAAGACTACGCGATTTATGCGTCCATATTGTACGAGCTAAGAGAAGTGGATTATCACGTGTTACGACGCCGGATGAGTGAGACTGAGGACACCCAGAGGAGTGACCAGGAGGAAGACCGATGGACTCGGGTGCAGGTGGCCTTTGCGATATTGAAGAATAAGATAGCCACCGCCCCAAACCTCCGCCATTTTGATCCAGACCGGGAACCTGTCATTATCGTCTATGCCAGTGAGTGGGCCATCTCGGCATCCCTGGTGCAGGAGTATGAGGGGGTGTATATGCCGGTCACTTTCACGAGTCGGACTTTGAAGCCAAACGAGATCAACTATGGGCTGGTGGACAAGGAAGTGTTGGCGCTATTGCGGATACTAGACCTTTGTTACACGTCGCTGGTCACCCGACCTATTAAGATTTTGACCCGACACTCAACACTGGCGTGGTTAGTCCGGCCACCTGGTCTACAAGGTCGCCTTGGAAATGGGTTGCGCTCCTGTCCCAATGGACGTTAGAAGTGGTCAAGTGTAAGCGCGGCGAATATGAAATACTGGGGACATTAGCGGCAAGCATTACGCCTCGCGAAAATGTGGACTCTTTTTTATCTTCAATCGCCCCCAAGAAACACCCGCGCCAAGCTATCACGGTGGTTCCTCCTACAGTCGAACTTGAGGAAGTCTTGTACGTGGTCAGTTTCGATGGGTCTGCACGAGTTAAACGTGGGGGCGGAGCCTGCAGTGCTATCGTATGGCAACTCCCAGGGTGGACCGTGATTGCAGCAGCGTCGAGATATTTAACGGAGGCAACGGTAAACGAAGCAGAGTATGAGGGCCTTTTGTTATGTTTCAGCCTACTGGAGAAATTGGATCGTAGAAGTCTGGTGGTGTGCGGTGATTCCAATCTGGTAATCCTTCAGATGCGAGGAGAAATTAAATGCAAGGCACCAGGTCTCACGGTACGAAGGTTGAAGGCCCTGGACCTGCTTCTTTCCTGGCCAGCCCATGAGTTTCTACACATGAAGCGTGAATGGAACCAGAGTGCGAACCGTCTCGCTAACGCGGCCCTGCATCAGCAACAAGGTGTCGAAAATTACCTGAGGAAGAGTGGAAAAACCTCGAAGAGATTAATCGTCTGCCTGAACTCTTGGTACTAAAAAATCCCAGCCTAGCAATGCGAATTACAGCTGTCACGAGGTCTCGGGTCCGGTCCAGGATGCCGACAGAGGTTTTGCAAGAAGAGGTGGTGCAACGGATACGGATTGAGCGAATTTAGGCTGCCCAAGACGAAGAAATGTGGATACGCGATTTGAAGATCTACTTACGGGGTGAGTGGACCTCAGAAGTGGCGTTGGCGTGTGGCAAGATCGAGATGAATTACGCTTTGGATGATGATGGACTTCTGTTGTATTGCCCGGGCCTGGGGACAGCTGAAGAGGATCGCTATGGGTGGATCCGGCTAGTGATACCCGAAAGCCTACAACTAGATTTACTACACCACTACCATACGAGTCTTGAAGGGGGACACCAAGGAATCGGCCGCACGTACCAGCGGATACGAAGACATTTCCATTGGAGAGGGCTATTTCGAAGCGTACAACGCTTCGTTGGTACTTGGGTCGACTGTGAGACCGGAAAAGGTGGACCCACCTTACGAGGGAAGACCCCAGGGAATGTTCGGGCAACTTACCCATTTCAGGTCATCGCAATGGATCATATTACATCGTTGCCCAAGTCGTTCAAGGGAAACACGGAGCTGTTGATATGAGTGGACCTGTTTACTGGTTATGTAATTGTGGTGAAGTGCTTTCCTAAATTGTGAAAGACCCAGGGTCCCGTTGGATTGAAGGGACAAGGGGCCGTGGACGAGGGAGAAGGGACCACGCACTCGAGAGAAGGGACCGGAGATAATGGGAACCTCGGAGTGAAGCGACCGTTGGCTGAGAATTTGGAAGACAAACAAAGGAGAGGTCATTACCAGGGTAACGTTTAACCTGTACCGAAGGGAGTCGACCATGGCCCTCATTGGTCGACCCGGTCCCTCATTGGTCGAACAGGTCCCTCATCGGTAGACCTGGGTCCCTCGTCGCTCGACCCGGTCCCTCATCGGTCGACCCGGTCCCTCATTGGTAGACCTGGGTCCCTCATCGGTAGACCCGGTACCTCGTCGGTAGACCTGGGTCCCTCATTGGTCGAACAGGTTCCTCATCGATAGACCTGGGTCCCTCATTGGTCGACCAGGTCCCTCATCGGTAGACCTGGGTCCCTCATTGGTCGATCAGGTCCCTCATTGGTCGACCCGGTCCCTCATTGGTCGACCCGGTCCCTCATCGGTAGACCTGGGTCCCTCATTGGTCGACCAGGCCCCTCGGGGTTCAGCCACTCCTGACCAGTTAATACAAGGATCAGACCAGTCGACGCAAGGAATCAGAGCTTCAGGCAAGGATAGAGTAAAGGAGTTAAAAGGATAGGACTATATTAAATACTACTCAATTTGCGATCTACTTGGCAAGTCTTCGTCGCGCTGTAAAGGAACTCTAGTCTGGCCACACGCCTGTTCCGGGGAAGGGATATATTTGGCCCCCCCCCGTTGAAGACAGGCGTGTGGTCCGAGCCAAGTGCGAGCTGAACCCCACGTGGCACGACTCCGTCACCCAAGAAGAACTTGCTCTAAGCTACTCACTGTTCCGGGAAGGGATGAATTTTGGCCCCCCGTCGAAGACAGTTGTGTAGCGAAGTTCAAGGGCGAATAGAGCTCCAGGATATATTTGGCCTGTGAGCTCGTTCGAGTAGCAACACCCCCCAAGACCCGCTATCGGAAGCGGTCTCCCTCACCTCAAGGTCCGGGAGCAACGTAAAGGTCAGGTGGTTGATACCCCTGAAACAGAAGGAAAAGGCCAGGGACGACAAGCTCCCTGAAGAATTTGGCTCTAAGTCCACTCTCGACAAGGTCGATCGAGTGGCCACCTACCGGCCCACCGAGTGAAGCATATCCACTCGAGGCCCCCCCAGGTCTACCTCCCTCAAGGCAGACATCTACATCGTCACCAAGTCCTCCAAAGAGTGCAACCCTCCAGCCGACGGGTACACAAGGTGAGAGAAGGTTCATACGCGGCATCGGGGTACCCCCTCCGACAGTCGGCAGTCCGGCACAGTGAGTGGTTTGGGGTCTCATCATACAATTTTGAGAACCCACTCCACCACAATGGTGCGCGTGCCCGGATCTTCGGAAGACGCGGGATTTCACCGCGAGTCCCAAGACGATAAAGATGTTCAAGTCAAGAAGGAGCACAAGACCGAAGAGTCGCTGGAAGACCGATCGCCAGTGACTCAAGAAGAAACAAACAAAGGATCGAAGGACCGACCGGGCCTTGGGAGGGGCCGGTCAACATGGTCAAGGTTGAATTCATTGAAGAAAAACCTAAATACCCTCCCTATGTCCTTGTAGAGGACACCTTGGGTCATGACGCCTATCATGATCCAGAGGACCATCAGCCGACGGTGAAAACCGAGAGGCTAAGGTCCCCGAAAAAACAACAAAGCAAGATCGCGCAGTCCAAGCCGACGAAGTTCCGGATGAAGGCACCCGGAAACACCAAGTCGATAGGCCCCGAGAAGGCAGGACTGGCGTCATGGACAGACGCTGATGTCACGAGGACCTATCACCAACGCAAGCTGAACGCGTTCCTGGAGAGCGACCCCTTCGCAAAGATCCTGGAGATCCGGCAGCTGGGTCAACTCACTGGGCCGGTGTCGACCCTGCCACGGCTGCACTCCGTCACGGACGCGATCACAGCGCTGGTCACCATGCTTCGTGAAGCGAACATGGTCGCAGGGCGGCTCGACCCGGATGACCTGCTATCCCTGGGATTCGACAGAATCACAAAAGCGTTAGAACATATACACAAGCGTCTGTCGATCCTAGTTGGTACCACGCCAGCAACGGAACACCCACCTCTGGTGACACCCACACAAACACGGTCCAAGGACAGCCAGATGACGCTTCAAGACATCACGGTGGATCCTCAAATGTCCGGAGCCGCCGGTCACCCAGGGGCGAATTAAGGCCCATCCCAACACTTGACGTCAAGCGGCCAAATAGCAGCAGCAACATGTTCCCCAGAATCGTCCTCGACTGGGTCGGTCACTAGGATGCCCCTAGGCCCTACTGGAGCGGCGCTGCTCCAGGCCCGAGCGCGCAGCGCGGAACAGGAACCACGTGGTCTCGGAACGGCGACGCGTGGCAAGAATGAAAATCATTCCGATTTTTAGCCAATGGAAAATCAGCAAGTAAAAAAGTTGGAATTTGCTCTGCCCCGTGACGAAGACGCTGGGGGGGGAAGGGCCTACCTACCCGGTAGGCGATCTGCAGACCCTCTTCGACGCAGCGATGGCAAGATTTTGAATGAACGCCAAGTACCGCGGGCACACCCAAACGCGAGTGTAGCAGGAGGAAGACCAGGGGCGCGAAGCAGGAACAGCGAGCTCACGAAACGGTGACGCGTGGACGACCAACAAAATTTCAGGTTTCTGATTGGTTGAATTTTCAGCCAATAGAAAACTCCTTGGATGGTTGGTCATGGTTCCTCGCCGGTCGACCTCGGCCCCTCGTCGATAGACCCGGTCCCTCATTGGTAGACCTAAGTCCCTCGTCGGTCGACCTCGACCCCTCGTCGGTAGACCCGGTCCCTCATCGGTATACCCGGTCCCTCGTTGGTAGACCTGGGTCCTTCAAGAATTTAGCTCAATGTATCGAAGACTGAAACCAAGCTGGAGTGACCCAGGTTGGCCACGGACTACCTAAGAAAGAGCAAGCAGAAAACCCTACGTGATTGACGAGGGAATACATGCGCGTGCTCAAACCGCTGTACGGCTGAGCAAGTGCAAGGGGCGGCTGTGGTGAAGTGCTTTCCTAAATTGTGAAGAATCTAGGGTCCCGTTGGATTGAAGGGACAAGGGGCCGTGGACTAGGGAGAAGGGACCACGCACCAGAGAGAACGGACCGGAGATAATGGGAACCTCGGAGTGAAGCGACCGTTGGCTGAGAATTTGGAAGACAAACAAAGGAGAGGTCATTACCAGGGTAACGTTTAACCTGTACCGAAGGGAGTCGACCATGGCCCTCATTGGTCGACCCGGTCCCTCATTGGTCGAACAGGTCCCTCATCGGTAGACCTGGGTCCCTCGTCGCTCGACCCGGTCCCTCATCGGTCGACCCGGTCCCTCGTTGGTAGACCTGGGTCCCTCATCGGTAGACCCGGTACCTCGTCGGTAGACCTGGGTCCCTCATTGGTCGAACAGGTTCCTCATCGATAGACCTGGGTCCCTCATTGGTCGACCAGGTCCCTCATCGGTAGACCTGGGTCCCTCATTGGTCGATCAGGTCCCTCATTGGTCGACCCGGTCCCTCATTGGTCGACCCGGTCCCTCATCGGTAGACCTGGGTCCCTCATTGGTCGACCAGGCCCCTCGGGGTTCAGCCACTCCTGACCAGTTAATACAAGGATCAGACCAGTCGACGCAAGGAATCAGAGCTTCAGGCAAGGATAGAGTAAAGGAGTTAAAAGGATAGGACTATATTAAATACTACTCAATTTGCGATCTACTTGGCAAGTCTTCGTCGCGCTGTAAAGGAACTCTAGTCTGGCCACACGCCTGTTCCGGGGAAGGGATATATTTGGCCCCCCCCGTTGAAGACAGGCGTGTGGTCCGAGCCAAGTGCGAGCTGAACCCCACGTGGCACGACTCCGTCACCCAAGAAGAACTTGCTCTAAGCTACTCACTGTTCCGGGAAGGGATGAATTTTGGCCCCCCGTCGAAGACAGTTGTGTAGCGAAGTTCAAGGGCGAATAGAGCTCCAGGATATATTTGGCCTGTGAGCTCGTTCGAGTAGCAACACCCCCCAAGACCCGCTATCGGAAGCGGTCTCCCTCACCTCAAGGTCCGGGAGCAACGTAAAGGTCAGGTGGTTGATACCCCTGAAACAGAAGGAAAAGGCCAGGGACGACAAGCTCCCTGAAGAATTTGGCTCTAAGTCCACTCTCGACAAGGTCGATCGAGTGGCCACCTACCGGCCCACCGAGTGAAGCATATCCACTCGAGGCCCCCCAGGTCTACCTCCCTCAAGGCAGACATCTACATCGTCACCAAGTCCTCCGAAGAGTGCAACCCGCCAGCCGACGGGTACACAAGGTGAGAGAAGGTTCATACGCGGCATCGGGGTACCCCCTCCGACAGTCGGCAGTCCGGCACAGTGAGTGGTTTGGGGTCTCATCATACAATTTTGAGAACCCACTCCACCACATAATTGCTAAGGTCAGCTCGTCGAGTTCGGCTCAAACCGTGGCAGAAGGGTACGAAGAATGTGTATTTCGAAGGTTTGGGGCCAGTGAGGCGATCCGACACGACAGGTAACCAAGTTTCATGTCGGATTTCTTTCGCGCTTTCAACCGCATGATTGGGCAAAAGCAGCGGGCCACCATGGCCTACCGGCCGCAGGCCAATGGAACTGCGGAAAGGATGGTACAGACGATCACCCGAGCTATCAAGATGTATGTGTCGAAGGTGGACCAGAAAGATTGGGATGCATATGCGGAACGGCTCACATTTGCGCTGAACACGGCGCATGGACCGGGTCCGAAAAGAGACTCCGTTCTACCTGGTGCACGGTTGGGACGCACGAAGCACGTTGGAGGCCACTATACCGCTGGGTAGTACCAGGAGGCGTGACTGTGACCCCCGCCGGTGGCGATATGGCGTACAGCGACAGTATCGCCGGGCAAGGGAACAAGTCAACGAGTTATTGCGATCAGCAATGGAAAGTCGAGCCGAGATCCACAATGAAGAGGTGGCGGATAGCATGATTGAGGCAATATCTCAGGTGTTGTTGTATCTAGACCGGGTCAAGGAAGGCTATGCCCGGAAATTGGCCCACATATGGCATGGTCCATTCCGAGTACGGGAGATGGTGGGGGACCATGCAGCTCGCCTGGATATCAGTGGGACCGATTACCGCATTTACCCGTTGGTGCACCTTTCGAAGTTGGAGCTAGTCCGGCAATATCCCGACAGACCGAATACAGTGTTGGTGGTGGACGAAACAGATCGAGTGGATTTTGACGAAGCCCTGTTACCAGAGGATAGCTGGGATGTGGAATTGGAAGACAATGAGTATGAAGTGGAGATGATTCTTGACAAGCGCATGGAAAGAAAAACTCGGTATGGTCGTATTCAATGTGAATACCTGGTGCAGTGGAAAGGATACTCCGATCCGTCGTGGGTAGACGAGGTGGACCTCAATTGCGGTGGACTACTTGAGGACTACGAACGCAGGCAAGTCACTCGTAATCGTTTTGAGGTGATGCAGAGCCATGAGGAGTAGAGGGGAGAGATCATCTTGGGAAGGCCAAGATGATGCAAGAAGGAGGTGTTATTTGTTGCATGCACAGAAATTGGTCAAGTTATGTATTCGAGAAGTGCAGCAGAACAAGAAGAGTGAAGTATTGCTAACCTGTATAGGACACCGAGGGACTACCTAAGATATGGCACCAAAGAGGAAGATCGAGAATGTGCTAGGGATTTCGAGGTGAAATGGCATTATCAGCTTATTAAGGATACACTTAAAGCTAGAGATAACCCTCAGGCGGTGTCGGGCGGAGAAAACTTGCCATGGAGACGGGAAACCCCGAAAGCGGGATGCTCGTGGATGGTCTTGTGGTAAAAGATGCGCCACGGTTCGACATCATCCACCACCTGCAACGCCTCCATCAGCCCCGGTTGAGAACTCTCCTGGTTGACCCTATTGCGACTTGCACAACGTCAGCCGCAATTGATCGTAACGTTCAAGCTCTGCAGTCATAACTGGGGTCCAGTAAGACAGTTGACGCGTGTGGGTAACGGGCTGGAAGAAGGGGTCCAGCAGGATGTCCAAGTCACAGTGACCTGCTACCATCCCCTGCAGGACCTTCTTCAGCACTCCCATCCAAGCCTGCGTCGCCTTGGCCCGTCGTTTTTTCTGGCGTTGTAAATGCGGGAGATGTACGCACTGCCGGAACGAATAGCTATGGAGAAATGAAGACGGTGCCGGTCCTCCCACAAACTCTGGAGCGATGCGTCTACGTAGGCATCGTGGAGCTCCACCAGTCCAACAAACCAGCCGTTTACGGTGAACGAGAGAGATACTCAGACATCGTCTGCTTCTCCCATGGGCGCGAGTTCATCAACAGCCGGAGCTGAGATTCCGTTACGAGACTATTAGTCTCGCCCAGGCGGTCCTTGTATCTTTTGTCTAAAGGGGGCCCGGACTCATCCACGAAGCTGGAAGGGTTATGCGGGACCGCAGGTCCTTCACGCTTAATTGCGAGATCGCAAGGGGGTCCACCATAGAGACGGGCCATGGGGCAACGTCTTCGGTCTTGAACACACTTGGCTGGGCGTATCCCGGAATGGATAGGCCCCAGGCATTGGAACCGGAGGGACCTTTGGATGCTAGCACCCCTTGATCATCAGAGTCGAGACTCTCAGTATCGGACTCAGAAGGACCGAAAAGCTGGATGAACAGGTCGGAATGAGGCGTCGGCGTCTTTTCCGAGCTGGAAGAAGCAGCAGGTGACGTCTCTACTTCGGGAGGAGGCTTGGCCATTGGTTTCCCAGTGGACCCCGCCGGTCTAGGAAGAGGCTTGGACGTTGGTTTCCCAGTGGACCCCGCCGGTCTAGGAAGAGGCTTGGATGTTGGTTTCCCAGTGGACCCCGCCGGTTTAGGAAGAGGCTTGGACGTTGGTTTCCCAGTGGACCCCGCTGGTTTCGTTGGTTTTCCAGTAGACCCCGCCGGTTTAGGAAGAGACTTGGACGTTGGTTTCCCAGTGGACCCCGCCGGTTTGGGAAGAGGATTGACTTTTGGTTTTTCAGTGGAACCCACCGGTTTGGACTCTGTTGATGTTGGGAGAGGACCGGACTTGGGTGTCCCAGTAGATCCCACGGACGTCGAAGAAGGGCCGGATGTCGTTTTACGAGATAAGTCCACCACCTCTGGAGCGGGTTTCCCCACGGAAGTCACCGGGCTACCACGACGACGAGAAGCACGTGACCGAGCCATCGCCGCTAGCAGAGACTCATCGCTGCTACTGGACTCGTCTTCAGGGAAACTTGGGGCACGGGTGGTCCGACGCTTCTTCGATGTGGAAGGGGCTGGAACTTCGGCAGTAGGAGACCGAGATCTTTTAGCCCTGGAAGGTCCTGGGACCTTAGTCTTAGGCGGGGCAGACCTATCCGCGGCGGTCCGAGCTACGGTCAGCTGTTTCTGGAGTTGGTCCCGTTGGCAGGCGACTTGCTTCACGAGGGCTTTGGAGCGGGCCAGCTCATCTCGAAGTAGTGATACTTGAGATACTGTGGACCGAAGATCGGCCGTGGTGGTATCCAACTTGGCCTCCAGCTCTTCTATCTGGAGTGTGAAGCTCGTCACCGTGGCCTCATACTGGCCCCTCCAGTACCGAATCTTGGACCGAGACGCTTCAACCTCAAGGCGATAATCCTTCCGGGTGGCGAGCGCATCTCGGTATTCCGCAATAGTTAGCTGGTCGGTTTCGTGATCGCGGAAGAGATTCCGAATTCGAGCCTCGATTCGGTGAAGATCAACTTTTTCAAACCGGATGACCTCGTCAACGTGGCTCTGCAAGTCTTGGGCCCGGCGATGCTCAGCCTGATAGGCCTGCTGGCCCTATATTTGTCAGCAAGGGTCTCCATAACTTAGGCTCGTTCCATCGCCAGCTGGATCGCTTCCCACGCCCGGGTGACACTCGCATAATCGGGGGGCTCCCCGACGAGGTCTACAGTCGGAATAACCAAGGCAGGGTCAGGCCCAGGCAGTGGAGGGGTAGACCAACGGCCAGGTGCTAGGGGTTCGTCAGAGAAAGAACTGGAAGAGGTCACTGGTGAATAAAGGGTGAGTGAGTCGGTGAATACGGAAGATCGTCAAGCACATGGACACCTACTTATATGTTGAGGAGACGGGACAAGGATGCACGGGGTCTTGCCGCAGTTCGGAAGACCAGCGCGCAGGTGACAGCTGTGGAGAAGTGCCAGAGAAATGGGGGGCCCTTCGTAGTTATTATAATAACTGGCGTGAAAGATCTCGGTCACTCTCTTGAATGAGTGACAGGGAGTGACCAGGGCCCCGAACTGGTCCAAGGTCCCGATTTCGGAGAAGGTACTAGGATGTCCTACACTACAGACCAAAGGACCAGTGCTGCTAGGGCAGCTTAGGTTGACCCCAGGTAACAGGTGGGTCCCAGACAACAGGTGGACCCAGGTGACCGGTGGACCTCAGGTGACAGGTTGACCCAGGTGACCAGTAGACCCCAGGCAACAGGTGGACCCAGGTGACCGGTGGACCCCAGGTGACAGGTGGACCCAGGTGACCGGTGGACCTCAGGTGACAGGTTTACCCAGGTGACCAGTGGACCCCAGGCAACTGGTGGACCCAGGTGACCGGTGGACCCAGGTGGACAGTGGACCCCAGGTGACAGGTGGACCCCAGGTGACAGGTGGACCCCAGGTAACAGTGGTACCGGGGCCCAGGGGTACCGGGGTACCGGGGCCCAGGGTGTTGGGGCCCAGGGTACCGAGGCCCAGGGGTACCAGGGCCCAATGTCCGAGGGTGCAGAATCGGTACACAGAATATCGAAGATTACAGAAAGTACAGGGTACCAAGGAGCCAGTCCTTCCTCCAAGAGTCGGCACGTGGCACTTTCCAGATCAAAGGGTTAGGGTTAGGCAAGAAAAGCATACAGAGAATAAGATAAATAAACACACTCGAATTTGCATTACACGTGGCAGCTTTAAGCGCCCCTCCTAAGCTTCTCCGTCGCTACACCTCTTCCGGGCGGGATATCCTTTGGCCCCCCGACGTCCAGCAGGTGGTAGACGGCTCAAGCTGCGCAGGTTGAACCTCAGAATAGCTGGCCTGAGGTGTCAAAAAACATCCAACACCCGCTACAGGAAGCGATTTCCCTACGGGGAAGAACACAAAGGGGTCCAAGGACCAAGAACAGTCAGCCACCAAAGGGGTACATAGTACCAGGTGCATTGCTCTCGACTTAGTCGATCGAGTCGAAGAAACCCGGTCCCGAGTGAAGCATATCCACTCGAGGACCACCAAGTCCAAGTCTTATACACATACCAAGTCTTTAAGGCTTCTGCGTCAACCGAGGAGCAAGACCAGCCAAGCCGGCGAGTACACAAGGTAAGACCCAATGTTAACACGACACGGTATCGGGGTACCCCCTCCGTAAGTCGGCAGTCCGGCGCTGTATGTGTTTGTGGTTCTCTCACGTCGTTTGAGAATCCACTCCACCACATCAATTTCCTGCTGTCTCGGCTTGCTGGCAAAGCCAAGGAATGGTCACTCGGAATGATCGTCGTAGATGAGACGACTCGTTCTGCGCTGCAGACATCCAGCGTACTTACGACTGGCATTCGAGTCTCCTCAAGATGAATCTCGCTTGCGTGCAGATTTCTTCTCACTCAGACAGGGCAAGCTGTCGATGCGTGACTACGTGCAGAAGACACGTCTTCTTGCCTCGTGTATTACCACGCAGCCAATTGACATGTCTTTACAAGTCCATTTCTCTATATTTGGTATGGAGGGCATGACGCGTACACGTGCTGAACCAAAGTCCCTCGAGGAGGCATTTTTCCTCGCGCTTCATGAGGATTACACTGTTGCGTCGTCTTACCTGCACGAAGCGTCACAACATCCCCGGACTTCTGGCCCAGAGCCAATGGAACTTGATGCAATTGAGTCCTCTCGTGGTCGATGCAAATCATTAGGCCGCGACATTCGCAATCCTAACACGATGAAGTGTTTTCTCTGTGGCAAGACAGGCCATCGTGCGGCTGTCTGTCGAGCACCTGCGCCGGTGAATATGAACACAGTTGTCTCAAGAGGAGATAATGTGTCGTCGGTGGTCTCGCCAAAAACGAGCGGTTCCAGTAGACGCGGGGCGCCCTACTGGCAAGAATGGAGTACTCGGGTCTCCAGAGTACTCAGATGAAAGCTCGGGCTCTTAGCCCCGAAATGATTCATACTCACTTTAATGCCACCACCATGCGCGATGATTCGAGACTGATTATTATCAGTCTCATCGTCGCTGGAGTGAAGCGACCACTTCGAGCGTTGTTGGATTCTTGCGCTTCCAACAACTTCTTTCGTGCATCCTTTTTGTCCCTTCTCCCGTCCACTGTCACGGTTCGAGAAGGTCCAGGTGACATCGTTTTCAATCTTGCCGATGGACAACCAAAACGTGTCCCGCGTAAAACAGTGGTTTTACCGTACATTTTTGACGGTTTCCAGAGCAACGACAAATTTTTAGTGTACGAGATGATGCATTTGACTGCATGCTTGGGCTACCGTGGCTGTCACGGTTTCAGCAGAAGATAGATTGGCTATCTCGGTCCGTCAAACGACGAAGCGTTATGACGTCAGTGAAGTGTTTACTCATTTGTTGGTCGCTACATCCGATTGTCCTCACGTCAGGCTCGTGAACGAACTTGCCACGACTAGTAGTCAACACAGAGAGAGCGATGACCCTTTGTGCGCAGTATGTTCCGTTACACTGATGGAGCCACAGAACGAGGCGGTCGAACAGCGGCTCCCGCACACACAGACATCGGTCGAACAGGGGTTCCCGATTCTCAACGAGGCGGTCGAGCAGGGGCTCCCGCATACAAGCACATCGGGCGAGCAGAGGCTCCCAATCAATTTCGAGGCGGTCGAGCAGGTGCTCCCGCATACAAGCACATCGGAAGAGCAGAGGCTTCCGATAAATATCGAGGCGGTCGAGCAGGGGCTCCCGCGTACAAGCACATCGGACGAGCAGAGGCTTCCGATCAATATCGAGGCGGTCGAGCAGGGACTCCCGCAAAACAAGTGAGGCGGTCGAAGACGAGCTCCCGCCTATAATTGACGAGAATGGGCGGACTCTGGATCCGCATGAGACCGACGTGGTGGAGACAAAGCTCCCACGTCTAGAGGGGGTACATTATCCTCTTGTGATAGCGACGTGACAGTCTCGAGCAAGGGCTCGAGACGCAAATGAAAACGCAAGAAAGGAGCACGGCGATCACCGAGACGACGAAATTCACGCTAAATAGCTGATGCAGATGATTCTGTAGTGACGGAATCCGTATGCGCGCTTGAATATGTGGAGGGATCTCCACATCGTGGCGCTACATTGAGGTAGCGAGCCCACCGTGCACTGCTGCAGAGATCACATTTTTGTCATACCTTTCATGAAAAGATTTTCTTCACGACCTCAAGGCCGGCGACATCAAGCAGGTGTGCATCGTTTCAGCCTCCGAAGCAGCCAGTGAAGAAGTTCTGAAGGCTCGTCCGAAGAGCGCCGAGCCTAAGTCAGCGCGCGAAGAACGCTTTGCGGCACAGTCTTGGGATGCTCTTCGTGCTTCGGGCAACCTTGTATACAATATCGCCCGTGAGGACGCCAATATTTTCCCGAAGAAAATTCCAGCTGAGCTTCCGGGGGATCGTGGTGTGCGGCACGAGATATATCTCGTTCCAGGATCGAAATATTGCGTGACACGGCAGTGGCCGTTACCGCGCGACCAAGTCATCGCTATTGATGAATTTTTCGAGGGTCGCCGCAAGGCTGGCCATGTCCGCGAGAGTATCTCGCCACATTCGAGTCCGACTTTCTGTGTGAAGAAAGCCACCGGCGGTTGGCGCATTGTGCACGCCTTCAACAAGCTGAATGACGCCACTATCCCGGCTCAAACGCCTATCCCTTGAAAAGACATGGTATCAAATACCATGTTCGGGAGCGAGATCTACAGCGCCATAGATCTGACAGACAATTTCTATCAGATCCTCATGAGGGACAGTGACATTCCGTTCACTGCGGTCAGCACCTCAAGCGGGATGCTTTGGGAGTGGCTAGTCATGCCACAAGGTCTTAAGAATGCTCCATCTACGTTCAATCGGATGGTGACACAAGTACTTCGTCCACTTCGCGACTTTGCACCGAGATACTTTGACGACATCTTTGTTCACAGCCGCGTTGATCAAAAGCTCAGCGCTACGTAGGTACACATTCGACACTTGAAGCAGGTATTTCAAGTTATGCGCGAGAATAAATTGTATGTTAATTTAAAGAAATGTGTCTTCTGCGCTCCCGAGATTCCAGTACTCGGTTACTACGTCAGCAAGGAAGGTGTCCGCGCTGATCCTGAGAAGATCTCATCGATCTGTTCCTGGCCAACGCCCAGGAACCAAACTGAATTACGTCAATGGCTCGGTCTGGCGAATTAATTGCATAAGTATACGAAGAACTATGCTGAGCTAATTCAGCCATTATCGACTTTGCTCAAGAAAGACGCGGTATGGCTATGGAAGGCAGAACATCAATCTGCCTTCGACTCCGCGAAGAAGAGCTTGTCCGAGGTAACTTTGCTGATGCTACCTGATGACTCCAAGCCATTACACGTCGTATGTGACACGAGAAATTTTGCTATACGATGTGCCCTCATGCAATTTGATGACGAGGGTCGAGAGCGCATCGTGAGTTTTCAATCACGACAGATTAAACCTGCCGAGAAAAATCATCCGGTACACGACAAGGAACTTTTGGCTATGCGCTACGCGCTACGCGCTAATCAAGTTTAGAGTATATTTGCTCGGCGAAATGATGTTTTCTATCTACACAGATCATGCATCATTGCGTACCGCCGTCAAGAGTCCTCACTTGTCCCAGCGTATGGCACGGTGGTTGTCATTTTCGCCGAGTATAATTTTGTGGTGCATTACAAGCCTGGCAAAAATAATATTCTCGCTGACGCGCTTTCTCGTCGTCCTGATTACGGCCCTCGACGCGACATAAGTCATCAAACGAAGAATGTTGATGACGACGATGATATCTGTGTGTGTTGTATTGACCTGGGGCTCAATGCGATGATTTCGACACCCGTGCTGTCGATACGAATTGAAATCGCTGAATCCTACGCGAATGATTCCTTTTATGCAGGAATCATCAATTATCTCAGGGACCCGAGCAAAAAATTACTCGCGAAGTTGACGAAACCAACACGCAACAACATCAAGCCTTACGCGCTTGACGGTCCGTTGCTGACGTACACGATGGACGTCTTTGATTCCCCGCGTGTCGTCATCCCTGCCGATGACGACCTTCGAGCCCGATTGGTTCATGAATTCACGACAGCCCAGCTGGCGGACACCTGGGTCGCGAAAAGACGTTTGCGGCTATTTCTCGCGTATTAATCTGGCCGCGAATGTATAAGTACATCGAGAAATGAGTACGCTCCTGTCAGCGTGTAAAGCCCGAGCCGTCTTCACAAGCCCCATTGCGTCCGCTTCCGATTGCTACGGAAGCCTGGCGCTCGGTCAGCATGGATTTTATCGTTGGACTTCCACCGAATGAACAGAGACGCACAGGCGTATTGATTCTAGTGGATCGATTCAGCAAAATGGTGCATTTTGCTCCGGTCTCCGACTACATTACGGCGGCAACGACAGCGAAGATCTTCATTGATCTTATCTTCAGGCATCGGCTTGCCAGAATATATTGTTTCGAACCGTGATCGTCGTTTCACTTCGGCTTTCTGGGCCGAATTATACCAGCTACTAGGCACTCGGGTGCTTATGTCTACGGCGGACCATACAGAGACGGATAGGCAAAAGAAGCGTGTGAACAGAGTGCTCGAAGATGTCTTGCGCACTTATGCAACATCGTTCTCGTCATGGGGTTCGTTTCTTCAATTTGCAGAGTTTGCAATCAACAATGCAGTCCATGCGTCAACCGGGTTGACGCCCTTTTTTCGTTAACAGCGTGAGGCATCCTCGCGTTCCGGCGCTACTTGCTCTCTGATCTTCAGAGCACCCTGTCTCAAAGCTTGATGGGGGGTATCTACTGATGGGATTGCGCCTATTGATGGTTTATACGATGCGGATAAGGTTGCTGCCGATGCAACTCCTGCTGGTAATTTTGTGGCCAACGGCATATCGACTCCTGACGCGATGCATTCCATCGCGTCTCCGTTGCTAATTTTGCTCCTAAAGAGGATTCGTCGCCTGTCAGTTCGGCTGCAGTAACCGAATTTCTGCTATTACGACAAGGAATCACGCGTTTTGTGGGTGATGCCTTACAAGAGGCAGTCGACAAGCAAAAGTAGAATGCAGACAGAAGAGGTCGAAAGAATATATTGACATTTCGAGAAGGCGACAGAGTCTTATTATCAACAAGTGGATTACCGAACACCTCAGTGACGAATTTGGGCGCTAATAAGTTAGCGCCAAGATATGCTGGCCAATTTCGGGTTGTTAAGATGCATGGTGACGCTTACACGCTAGACATACCTGCATCTATGCGTTTGCACCCGACGTTCTACGTCGGGCGCCTCAAAGCTTACCTACCGGCGGATCTTCCTTCGAATCTTCCCCGCTCCTCTGTGCCGGCTCACATCCGACACGCCTTGATGACGACTGGGAACAAGTCCTACTCGAACGCGTGCAGAATCGATCTGCTGGGGTTCTCCTAACGCGGTCGTCTAGGCGCTCAACCATTACCCGCTGCTCACGTCGATCTCGCTCAGCAGTCTCAGTCGTAGCGACCGCACGATCTTGAGCTCTCTCAGCCATCTCACGAGCATCAAGTAGGGCATTCTTCGACTCCCCGGCTTCAGCGCGAAGAAGGCACAGCTCGTCATTCGACTGTACAGGCTCCCGATTGCGAGAATCGGCGCTCATCGCCAGAGGCCCTCCGTCGTGATTCTCCTCCGCCCTTGATTGGTACATCGGGTGCGCGACGTTGAATTGTTGACCGTATTGTCGATCACGAGAATCACAATCCCCAGGCGCCGAGTAATGACTCGGCGCCCACGGACAACCATGTCAAGAAACATTACAGGGCTCGCTAATTGGGATATTCCCCGGCGGACGGTACATGGGAGCCATCGATTACGCGGATCCAAGATGTCCCGGACGTGGTCGAGGACTATGAGTCCCGTAGAAAGACGGCGATCGCGACCGAAGCTGCCGGTTCCATCTTCGATCTCGCGAGCCATAATGCTCGTGAGCAACGAAACCACGACGACCTATCGAGCGACTCCGAGACCGAGACCTATTACGAAGCTCAAGAGCATACGGATGATAAGGTTGACGCTTTCGGCTACGGCTACGTGAACGCCCAAGGCGATCGTAAGGACGCGCTCTCACTCGCCGTAGCTCGGACACATGAAGCTCCGAAAGGCTCTTCTTATAACGGGCAATCCATGGACGAATATGATCTGGCATGCCTCGCGTACACACCAAGTTGTCCCATTCCTGCCGGACCGGTCACGATCTGCCCATGTTGAACGTTGGACATCCCTCACGAACGTGGACGTAACAAAGGTGATACTCGTCACAAGTCATGCGACAGATGCGTCGGCGCAGGTTGCCAATAGCGTGTCTATCACGCGTTCCCTCGCGAACATCTAACCAGGAGGTGAAGGACATTCCTTCACGTAGGCTTGCGTTCCAGCGCCTGATGAAGGCACACCAAGATCTCCGCAACGCATCGTCAGTATATGCGTTGCTCGTCGCTTTGCCTCTCATTGTACAGTATCGCGTGAAAAGGTCCTTCATGACCTCCAGCGACTCGGGTTCGACAGCACCTTCAAGACCATACAAGCGCCCGGTTTCAAGTCACCATCCATGACCTGCGGCGCCTGCTCTCTTCGGATTGTCACTTGGTGTTCCCAGTTATGGTTGTCAGAGACATTATTTCGTGGACGCTCAGGGTCCATGATGCTCAGTGATGTCTAACTGAAAAGTTTAGAAGTTACGCCGTTGGTCGAGAAGATACTTTATACGGTTCGCGCTTACGCTGAGGTAAGCGCAACTTAAAGAGGAGGGTGATGTAATGGGGCAACCTATTACATAAGTAGTTATAGGGATATTACATAATTACATAAGTAGGCATAGGGCAGTATTCGACTAGCGGATACTGCGCGTCATTTTATTATTGGTTTATTATTGGGGTGCCAGACCCAATAATTAGCCAATAATAAATTGACTTTCATATTGAGTGGTTCGCATGAGCTAGGGAAAATATTCGCACTTCCTGCAAATCTAAACTAAACAAAAATAAAAAGAGTTATATATACGAGTTGATTAAGAGCGCTTCCTCAACGCCCTTTTAGTGTAAGACGGTTACGGGTCCTTAGCCCGATACAAAGTGAATGTGCATTCATCCATCGATATCACATTAACGAGGGTGGGTCACATCGATGTGCCACATCCAAGTGGCAGGCCTAAAGGGTACGAGGTACCTTAGGCCTGCCACTTGAATGTGGCACACCGTCAAGTATTCGATTCTTAACAAAATGTGTAACTTTTAGCCCGTTACAATACAGGTTTTAGAAGTCATCAGAAGAAGTCCCGCCTCTGCCACCTGTCAACATTGGTAACGACAAGAGATATGACGACATGGAGCCAGATATCTTCGCCTTTGGTAAAAAAGATTACTACAGACCACAGTGAGCAAAGTCGAGGAAGCAGCTCAAACTTATCTTGCTCTTTTGCCTGTTCACAGAGTCCAGTCACCATTGGAGTGGTGGCACTGCATCAGCTGCAATTCCAGACACTCGTAAGGATAGCAAGATTTATCTGGACATCCACGCGTCTTCAGCTTCGTCTGAGAGAGTTTTATCTCAAGGTAGAAGGGCTTACCGGTGGGATAGAACTTTGCTTTCCCCTAAAGCTTTAAGAGGCTCCTGTGCCTCAAGGATTCGATAAGAACACAGGGCCGCGTTCCTTTGTCGGCAAGGAACTATTTTAATTCTTTGTCAGCCCGCTTAAACTTCCCACGCGAGACGTAGAGTGTGGATACTTTTATTACCAGTTTTCATAATGTTTTCTCCCTTTAAAATTGTAACAGAGCATCCAGTTACACGTAGACATTAAGTAATATACTTCATGTTTGGTCTAAAAGTATCCACGATTACTTTTGACCTGTCACTTGGGTGCGATACACAAAGTGATCCACCCTCGTAAATGTGATATCCATTTATGGATTCACATGAGAAGAGATGACGCTAGTTGAAGCTAGGCATCGCGACGTCTCAGAAAGACGTCAGTTGCGATCTTAATTCTAGATTTAAGTTCATGCGACAGGATACGCTTCTAAAGAGTCGCGTATCCGATCTATATATATATATATATATAGCCAATCAGTAGTTAAATATTATATTTAGTTATAATTCATTAAATATAGCTCAGTCTTGAATTTGCTTAAACATACGCACCACGCACGAGAAGTTGAAAAGCTTTTGCGTGACGTCGGTGCCTTCTTGTTAAGAAGTTCGTTGCACTCTCGCTTAAGCGAGAGGAAACTGGTAGTATGACTGCTTAAGCAGTCGACCAACCACACAACCACCCTCGCACGCGAAGGTAAGACGATCTAACCGCTTCCTCGCTTGTGCTGAAGGTGTGTGCTAAGTAGCACGAGGCAAATTCATAGAAGTGCCCGTCTACACTTAGTAGCACTAGTAGTCCTTCCCACGACCCGTCTTTCTGAGCGTGCGTGTGGTTAAGATGGTCCTTCATATGGACTGGAGTGACTTCCCTCACCTCTCCCAACACCATAGAGCATATGGTGCAGGGACTTGGTGAACGAGCCCTGGTCAACCTCTTGCATTGTCCTCCTGAGCAACATGTTGCTCAGTTGGAGCAATTTGAGGCGTTTGTGCTCGGACAGCGTAGAAACGCGTCCGAGGTAAACAGTTAAGCCACCGCTGAGTCCATCACTAAGGCTCAGAATGAGCTTAGGCTTGAGTAGGCTCGTAATGAGGCGCTCAACAGGACTGTTGAGACGCTCTCTGCCCGGCCTACTCAACCGAGGCCCATTCGGATGGACCCTCCGAAGTTCAATGGAACTAGCCCTCACACTGGCTATTATCAGCTGAGCAATGTGGAGTGGCGCAGCTCATCGAAGACAACACCAGAATGGTGTCGTATGCCATGTCCAACTTGCGTGGCAAAGCGTCAGAGTGGGCATACTCTGCGCTGATGGCTAATGCAGATGTATTTCCATCATGGGCGATCTTTAAGGCAAAGATTCGCGCCATGTATCAGCCTCCTAACAACGAAGTGTTGCTTATGGCGCGCTTCTTTGGAGCACGACAGGCGAAACGCTCTCTGCAAGAATTTGTGCAGGAGATGCGTTCGCTGTCGGCGTCCATTAATGGGGAACCGATACCGGAACGTATCAAGGTGGCCACGTTCATGAATGGACTTAGGCACGGCCCATCGCGTCAGGCCCTTTTTAGAAAGGTGCCAGCGACGATGGAAGAGGCAATTGACATTGCCTTAGTTGAGGAGCAATCCTACAACAGCGCCTCGGCGACAGCCTATTACAAGCCGTCGTCCGAGAAGTCTGATGCCACTCCTATGGAGTTAGGCAATGCAGACGTAATTTGCTACAAGTGCGGCAAGCGAGGTCATATGATGGCTCGCTGCTATGCCAAAGTAGCTGCTAATGCTAAGACAGCCAGCAAAAAGTCTCCCAACCCGAAGGGTGGTTCGAAGAATCGTGCACGTCGCACGGGTTCCGATTTGACCCCCGACAAGTCGGGAAATGCGGGAGCGCAGTAGGGGAGGGATGCCCTACTGTCGCGGACTCTGAAGCTACCCCTAAGTTCAGAGTGATCGAACAAATGGGTAGCATAGTCCCTGAGGTTCCGAAAGGTCGGACCTCAACCCTTTTGGTCTATAAAGCTCGAGTACGAGGCCTGTTTACCTCTACCTCCAGGAGGTAGAGGTAAACAGGGCTTAGCCCCCAGGTGGTGCAGCACAAAACTTTGTGGAAGTCGCGGCTCTGAAAAAGAGACTGGCGAGTTATGAGTCGCTTTGCCAGGATGACAAGCGAGAAGAGGCGATCGTTCGTTTAGCGAACGGCGCGCTCGTAAATCAGAGAGATTTCAAGTTGAACTCGCCTTCAGTTTCAGTGACTTCTCTTGTAAAGAGAAGGTCACAGTGCTAGGTATGGAGAGTCCGTATGAACCTCATCCTAGGCATGCCTTGGTTGGCTTAACACCAAACATGTATAGACTGGAGTACACGCACAGTCGCTAGCTCTACGCAAGACACCGGAAAGGATGTGCTCTTGCGAGAGGCTTATGTGACTGATGCTGTGTCCAACACAGTCGAGGGTGCGATGACGGTATGTCAATCGACACCAGGAACTACTCAGCTCGAAAGGAGTGGTGTAGTTGGGAGTGCACTGCCGGAAAGCCAGGTGACACATATTCCTACCCAGGTCGAAAAGACTGGTGTAGTGATTGGGGCGATGACAGATAGTCATGCGTCCAATGTTCCTGAACAGAGCCGAGAGCCTGTGGCAGTTGATGGTGGGCGGACAGAAAGTCAAGCGCCACAAGAACCGGCACAGATCCATGAGCCTGGTGCGGTTGGAAGGAGTGCGTTATCTAAGATAGCAACGACACCTTCTTCCAGGTCAAAGGTCGTGGTGACTCGAAGAACGAGCACCAGACGTATTAAGACGATCAAGGGCACGTCGAAACGAGTGACCCTTGGATCAGTCTCGGTCCAAGAGGACGGACCTACGAACGAGTTGTTCGAGGCCGTCGAAGAAAAAATGCCGGAGGCATTCTCAGTTGAGGTGCTCCAACTTGTCTTGGCATCTGCCGAGGAGATACTGAAATTCTCGGAGATGACGTGGGATCTGTTCCTGTCCGAACTAAAGGAAGGAAAGATCCACGAGATAGTCGCACCAGCTCCAGAATAGAACGTGGTGGACTGTTGCTCTTCATCCACAATGGACGAGATCGTCTTGGAAACCGACAAAAAGAAACGGTTGCTGCTCAAGGCTGGGATGCCTTGAAGGAAAGCCCTTTCTATGGTGTTCTGTCGAACATTGTGATGTGTTTCCAGCAGAAGTGCCGAGCCGTCTACCGGCCGATAGGGGCATCAGGCATGAGATTGACCTGGAGCCTGGCAACAAGTATTTTGTGACCAGGAAATGGCCGTTGCCGAAGGAACAAGTCGATTACATCGATGAGTTCTTCGACAAGCGAGCCAAGACGGGACATGTACGTGAGAGCAAGTCGCCTCACTGCAGCCCGACCTTCTGTGTGCGTAAAGCAACAGGTGGATGGCTCGTGATTCATGATTATAACAAGCTGAACACGTCCACCATTCCGGCTCAAACGCCGATCCCGCGGAAAGATGTCTTGTTGAATTCCATGGGAAAGTCAACTATCTTTTCCGCTTTGGAACTGAAGAATGGCTACTATCAGGTTCTCATTAGAGATACCGATGTAGCCAAAACAGTGATCGCACCACAAGCGGTATGCTATGGGAGTGGTTTGTGATGCCACAAGGGTTAGAAATGCTCCGGCAACATTCAACCGAGTGGTGGCTCACGTGATTCGTCAGCACCGTGCCTACGCGACCCATTACTTTTAAAGATGTATTCGTGCATAGTAGGGCGGAGGACGGTCTGAGCGCAATAGAGTCGCACAAGCGTCATTTATACGCTGTGTTGCAGACTCTGGGTGACGCCCAACTATACGTTATCTTGCAAAAGGGCGTGATAGGGGTCCCCGAGATACCTGTACTGGGCTACATCGTAGGTGCACATGGTGTACGAGCAGACCCAGAAAAGGTAAAGGCTGTAAAGGAATGGCCAGTCTCACGTAATGTGAAGGATCTACGCCAATTCCTTGGGCTCGCTAATTACTTGCATAAGTACAGCAAGAATTATGCGGAGCAGACCAAGCCATTGTCTGAACTTTTGAAAAAGGATACAGAATGAACTTGGTCAAAGGAACAAGAAGATGCGTTCACTTCAGTGAAGCAATCTCTTGTAGAGGCACCGGTCTTGGCATTGCCTGACGCAGATAAGCCCTATAGCGTCGTCTGCGATGCAAGCAACTTTGCAATCGGCAGCGCTTATGCAGAAGGATGACAACGGCGTTGACCGTGTCATATCGTATCAGTCTCGGCTTTTAAAAGCTGCCGAGATGAATTACCCTGTGCATGACAAGGAGCTACTTTCAATTAAGTATGACCTTGTAAAGTTTCGGGTGCACCTCTTGGGCACCGAACCTTTTGTGGTTTATACGGATCACGCATCACTGCGGACCGCTATAAATTCACCGCACCTCTCGCCGAGAATGGCGAGATGGCTAACATTCTTCTCTGAATTTAATTTCAAAGTTGAATATAAGCCGGGTAAGTCGAATGTCTTGGCTGACGCGTTATCGCGCAGACCAGACTTCGAGGCAAGACACCAGGATAGTGTGTCTCGTGCGAAAGCGCAAGCTGAGTCGTCAACATTGGCAGCCATGAAGGCCTACCATGTGACGACCTCAATGGCCTCCGATATCAAGGAGTGTTACAGTCAGGACGAACATTGTCGCCTGCTGTTGGATCATTTTAGTGGACGAAAGGTTACCCTTCCGTCGCACCTCAAAGCGAAACTAAATCGCTTTAGTTACAGTGATGGCCTGTTATGGCATCAGCTGTCACCTTGTGGCCCCTTGAGAATCTATGTCCCTCATGGCACAGATCTCAAGCTGATGATACTTCACGAGTGCCATGATGCGCCATCTAGTAGGCATCTGGGCCGTGAAAAGACATTCTTACGAGTGTCAGAGGAATTTTGGTGGCCCCATGGGTGGCCAACTATATTCGCTCTTGCGAAGAGTGTCAGCGCATAAAGCCTGCACCTTCGAACAGTGCGCCACTGAAGCCACTGCCGATTCCAACTGAATGTTGGAAGTCGGTCAGTTTGGACTTCATGTTTGGCTTACCGCCTGACCATAAAGGCAGGACGGGGCTCGTCGTCTTTGTAGACATACTGAGCAAGATGGTGCATTTGGCACCATGTAGCACCAAGATCTCAGGAAAGAGGCTGCCCTTTTGTTTCTGGATCACGTGTATCGAGTACACGGGATGCCCGAGTCCATAGTATCGGACCGGGATCCGCGTTTTACGTCGGGTTTTGGCGAAATGTGCTCGAGCTGCTGGGAAGCAAGCTTCACATGTCAATAGCCGATCATCCCCAGACCGATGGCCAAACAGAACGTGACAATCGAGTCGTGTCGGATGTATTGAGTACTGTAGCGACTCCTAAAGAATGGAGCAAGCAATTGCCATTCGTGGAGTTCGCTACTAACAACAGTGTTCACGCCTGTAAGGGTGAAACACCGTTTTACATTAACGGACTGCGTCATCCTCGAACGCCAGTCTCGTTTGTACGCAGCCCGAGTCTTAGTGAGGGAGGCCCCTCACTTCGCTCGGTGCGAATGCCAAAGAGGGACAAGGTTGCCCTAGTGACATTGTTAATTTAGCAGTGGTCACGTCACCTATAGGTGTCACAGAGGAGGCATGGCAAGAAATGCCAGCGCTCCTTGATGATGACACTATAGTGTTATCAACAGCGTCGACCCATGAACGACCTCTTGGAGGCGTCATAGGCGAGCTGGATGCTAAAAGCGTGAGCGAAGCTCAGCGCTTTGTAGATGAGCGATTAGCCATGACACGTAAAGTCCGTGACGCGATGGCAAGCGCACAGAACACGCAAAAACAATATGCAGACCAGCATGGTCGCACAAACAATGAACACTTTAGTGTGGGGGACAAAGTGCTATTAAGTACTGCTCTCTCTATCTCCTAGGCTATTTTTTACAAAATGTAAAAATCGTTTCAAAACGGGGGATGGTGTAACAGGGCATCTAGTTACACGTAATCATTAAGTAATATACTTCATGTTTGGTCTAAAAGTATCCATGATTACTTTTGACCTGTCACTTGGGTGCGGTACACAAACGTGATCCACCCTCGTGAATGTGATATCCATTTATGGATTCACGTCTCACCCAAGCGATAGGTGTTAACTACTTACGTACCTTTTAGACCTGCCCTGTTCTTTATGTATCGCATAATTAATGAATACGTGTAACGTTAAGCCCGTTACACCTTTTTACCGCTAAGCAACGGCAGCTGTCCATTGACTACAAACAGCACTACTTCATCAAGCCACTGCAAGACTTCGTACAAAAACGCTTTGCTTCTTTTTGGTTCTATTTCTCAAGTGTTTTATAGACACGAATACATGATTTCTATCTATGAGGCCAGTGCACGCGAGCGGTTTTGTAGAAATGATATATAAGCTGAAGGATTGCAACGGTGGTCGGTACATGTATTTTATCTGAAAGCTGGCGAAATACAATATAATACCTTGAAGTGTTTTTGTTTTCTAAGCTTTGCAACAGGAAGATACAACGGTCCTATCTGCTATCTCTATAGTTCGCCAAAATACGTTCAATCTCGTCAGCCATTTCCTTAGCGGTCGGGCGTTTCTTAGGATCGTTGTCCCATCCTCTGACGATAAGATCTTGCATTTCCTGAGGATAGTCGCTCATTTCCTCCACTGACGGCCGAACACCTTTTGGCACCATCTCGTATACCTTACTTTTCGAGTACATCCGAAACGGCTTGACCCGTGCTCGAAGTGTCCATAACACTAGTGATAAGCTGTAAATATCCAGCTTTTCATCTTGAAGCAGATGCTGGTACTCTTCTGGGGACCGCCACTTTCCCTTGGCGACTTCAGATCCAAACATACACTTTTCACCACTTGGTACACCGTCCACCAAACGCAGTCCCGCGTACTTTACACGATTAAAGTCGTTCAGCTTCAACGTGCCGTTGGCATCGACCAGAAACTGGCGCACTTGCAGATCCGTGTGCGCGAAGGGGCCTCCTGGAGCATTGTGCAGCTGTGCGACACCTCGCGCAGCATCACGCGCTAGCTCCAGAGCACGGCGAACCGATATTGGTTCCTTCGACTCAAACACCAGCTTGTCAAGCTGATGGGGGATGTACTCCACCACCACCGTTGTTTTGCACCAGCCCACCAATTTTACGATATTGGGTTGGTTGCGTATTGGAAAAATAGAAGCGCATTCCTCCACATGACGAGTAACAATGTCCGTTCGATTCACGTGAATCTCCTTGACATATTTCACTGCTACCTCCCGTCCTTCAGCATAAAAAACAGCAGCACGTCAAATTTACTTTTAACCAAAGCAAATTTCCTGTCAACTATAAACACGTTACCCTTCCATTTCGTCTTGTATACTTCTCTCCAGAATCCTTTGCCCAGAAACTCACCCTTTTCTAACTTGTCCATATTAACACAATTAAGCTCCAGTTCTTCGGGCTTAAATAATGCCACCGCCGCCGAGAAATCACAGCCATGCTATTGCATATAAGCATATCAATACGATATAATACTCATGTCTCATGTATATATATGGCCATACCTTTCTTCCATATGTCTCTGGTCGCAGCCACCAGGCTTTTTCGCTGGCTCGAACCGCTTGAATGTGAGCGGCGGCATCGGTATTATCCGGAGGATCACTTGAGCGCAGAGAGGGCGTCCTGGTGTTCGGAAGATATGCAATTATCGTCACGTTTAAGAAGAGGTAAGCAACCAGAGACAAGACAGCAAGCAATTTCAGTAAAAGTGATAGCTGTCGATGCCAGGGAGAGCGAGCGTCACGGTTTGAGCGCATCATTTTGGAGCTACTTAAAGGGGTACAAATACATTAATGGACAATATTAGCCGAGACAGGTTCGTTTTTTGTCACCAAGTGAGTGTAAAATGACCAATAATGATCGATCATCTGATTCCATTACGTTATATGATAATTTCCGCGTCGTTGAAGTTGACTGGCTAAGTTCGTTTTTCAGGTCAAGTACGCATTTCTTCTTGTATTTCAACCAATCCAATTGCATCTTGTACATTGCCGTTTTCCCATTCATCACGGAGCAGTCAAGAATGAACGTCTGCCGCGTTGCCCCGCCGCGCTCTCGTCCTTCCCGTTATTGGAAATACAGTCACTCTCCCGTCGATCTCACATGTCTCTTACAGGAACGTGAAATACGTGGCAATTCTCGTGTAATTAACGTCGCCTGTCAAAGCCACGGAAGTCTCGTCCGTCGTCTCGAATGTCAAATCACATTAAAAGGTCATCATGGATGTGTCAATACACTCCAATGGAATAAAACCGGTACATTGCTGGCATCTGGTTCCGATGACCGTAAATTGATCATTTGGAGCTACGAACAACATAAGAAACTCGAGGAGATCGAAACGGGCCATCAGCTGAATATTTTTGCCGTTTGTTTCGTCCCGGGCACAGACAATCATGTGTTAGCTACAGGAGCGATGGACCATGATGTCCGTATCCATTATGCACCATTTCGTGAAGTTTCATCCAAGATTTATCGAGTTCATCGAGGACGAGTCAAAGATATTGGTAGCTCGTATGCTGTGCCTAAAGTTTTCTGGACCGCAGCAGAAGATGGACTAGTGTATCAATTTGATCTTCGAGCACTACCCAAGACCAATGGAGTGTGTGAGACTCCGGATACATCCGGGGTCTTGATTAATTTAGGAAGAGACAGGAACGGGAATGTACTGAAAGCAATGGGGATGACAGTGCATCCATTGGACCCAATGAAGGTCGCAGTAGCCTGTGGGGACTTTTACACGAGGATGTACGACCGACGTATGCTGAGAGTACAGCAGTATGCAAGAGCTACCGGAGCTACGAGTCCGGTGGAGGTTTTTGCACCGCCACATTTGCATTTGGATGCGTTTTGCGACAAAAAGACAAAGAGATTTCATGACAAATGTCATGGGACGAGTATTCAATTCAGCAATGACGGATTAGAAATTCTTGCCAATTACCACAATGATCATATTTATCTGTTTAAAGTGGGCTCGGATGAGACAGTGGTATTCAAGAAGGATAATAAGAGTGAACCTCAAATCCAGCCATTAGTGTGGCTCAATGGAGCGCATATGGATGAGCCAAGATTGTCACCAGATTTGCATTTGGAAGAAGTGCAGATGCTGCATGATCGGGGAAAAGAAGCACTTGATAAAAGCGAGTATATGCACGCACTGAAGCCGCTCAATGTAGCTTGTGCTGCTCGTGGAGTGATTAAAATGACACCGACACGACGCAAAGATCTTCACCACGACTGCGCGAAAGCTTATTTAGGAAGACGGTGGAACGCAGATACTTATTTGGCTGCTGTGCAATGCAAAAAGGCGCTGGAGCTTGACCCGAATGACCGAGAGGTTGCATTGTCGTATATCAAGGCACTAAGTGCAGGACGACGACAACCACAAGCAAGGTGGCAGTCCCGACGATACAAGGAAAAGTATCCAGATCACGAGGCGGACGTCATTCCATTCTTGAATGGTAGTGCGTCGGTTACAGACGGTGGTCGTTCGCTACAGCACATGCTCCGCCCGGGGAGATCATCCAGCGACGACGCATCTATCAACAGCGAGGAAGTTTCACATGGCAGCAGCCAGAGTGATGACTCAGAAGACGGGTTACCTGATGATGACGACAGTTTTTGGGAGGGTGACTTGGTGAACAGCACACCGGTAAATTGTGATGTCCTCCGTCGTTACATTGGGTATTGTAATGTGCAAACGGACATTAAAGAGGCCTCGTTCTTTGGAAAGAACGACGCGTACATTATCGCAGGGAGTGATGATGGGCGTGCGTTAGTGTGGGACAAGGCAACTGGGGAGTTGGTGAATGCAATTAAAGCAGACGCGGACATTGTGAATTGTGTTCAGCCCCATCCTTTTGATGCGTGTGTGGCGACAAGTGGTATCGAAGATGTCATTCGTTTATGGAGCCCGACCAGTGGCGAGGAGAATACTCCAACAAAATCTGAATTGGAAGACATCTTGACGAGAAATCAGAGTCAAATGGATAGTATGGCGGTTTCGTTTGAAGGAGATCTACACAACATGGTTCGCCTCGTCTTCCAGTCAGGCGGAGATCACCAGGCCATTCAAGAGTGTGCGACTAGCTAAGAAAGAAGTCGTTTGCGTCCATGTGCTTCAGTTTGAAAGCGCTGTCTTCCGGTATTATGTGTAAACATCAATACGGATCATCAATGGCACTCCATAATAGTATTTTAAGCTTTTCTTCTGTCGAAGTGATTTGCTTTTTGACGGTGAGTAGTCATTCGCTTGGCTGACATATAACTTTTCTTACAACCGTTGTAGCCACATACGAGACGACAAGTGGTAGTTGACGGGACGGTACTTTTAGTCGCGTGTTCCTTCATGTGCTGGTTAAACTTGTGCAGACCAATGAATGATGCTTGACAAGAGAATTCCGTGCACGTAAATCGCTTGTGTTTTGCTTCATGGACTTTATGTTCGCTTGCAGATTTAAATACCTGATTGCAGCCGCAATACGTGCACATCTGTGGGATGAACGTCGCGATGCGGTTGTTGGACGAAAAAGCCTCGCCGCTTAATTGCACCGCTTCGATCGCGCGACGCTGCATACGACGCAGTCTTCGCAGCACTATCCACCGCTCCTGATACATTTGACGCCAGTTGTGCTTGTAGCTGTCACCGTGGCGGCATTCTACTGGCGAAGCAGGTAAAACGCTTTGCTTCTTACCGATAGGAGACCCGATTCGTAAATACAATTGGCGCCACAGTGACGCGCTGTGGCTTAGCTTTGCAAAATCTCGGCACACGAGGGTCATTCGGCAAAGTCGCTTTGCACTCATAAAGGAGCAAACTCGTTCCATTACATCCGGTAGCAGCAGCACATCAAACGAACGCTCTAGCTGCTCGGGATTGTTGTTCGTCGTCGACATTTTTTCTGTCCGCCGACGCTTTTGTCCTCGAATAATTAGTCCGTGTTCATCATTCAGGTCTGCGAGCGGTGAAGATATCAAGTGCGGGTTCACCAAAGTTTTCATCTGCGGAAACCGCAAAAATGACGGCAGTTTGAAAGCGATCAGCGCTTCCCGCGCTTGCCACGTTGTCATTCGTTTCTTAAACTCTTGCTCGGTATCCGTATCATTTTCTTGAGCTTCGGACACAAAGGATTGTACATCTTCGTCTGACAGGAAGACCCAATGTTTCCAAACCCGAGCCATCCAATGCACAGGGGCAGCGAATTGGAAGTCCTTGTAAGCTATTTCACTGCAAAGCTGCATCTGAAACTGCTTCAAGAGCTCTAATATTGCCGCTGCATCGGAGCTGACTTCTTGACGTAAGCTGTCGACACTTTCGCTTCGAAGCAACGTCACATACACGATATAAAATACCAGCTCGCGCTGCCGCTGTCTCTGATGTTCAGGGTTGACAGCATGATGAGCTGCTGCCTTGTACGATGTCACAAGCATTTTGAGTACCTCGAGCACCGATGGAAGACGCACCAAGTCGACATGAGCACAGAAACCCACAAGAAACGTCAGCAGAGGGTGTTGACCTCTCTCGCTTAACGTATCCAGATCATTGATCTGCTTCATCACCATCGAAACAATATCAACTGCAAGGTCTTTCACGAGCATGCACCCAGCAGTTGTGAAAACGACAACTCGTTGTGGCACAGCTCCGATCTGTGCTCCACATGCTGTACGACCCAATGCTTCCTGTAGTGTACCAAAAATCGTCTGCTTGAGTATCTCATCAGCTCGCCGACTTTTGAACGAGAACTTTTGCATCCCAGTGAAAAACTTTTCTAGTAGTTGGTCATCAAGGTGCGAGTGTACCGACATTTTGTCGTCTTTCGCATTTTTGCAACAGAGTAGCATTCTATCACTTGCAAAGCTTAGCAAACTTACCATCACGTCCGACACCGCTCTCTGTTTCTCCTTGTCACCTCGATCCAACTCTTCCACAAGTCTCCAGATGCCTGTTACCAGTGCAAAATCACAATTCACTCGATGGATTGTTCTTTCCAAGCATCGATGTTCCTTCATCACTTGTTGAAACACGTCCGGGAATTGAATTCCAATCAGTGCTGCAAACGGCATCAGGGATGACCACACTGGGAAGCACGTCATGGCATGGAATCTGGGTTTGTGCTGCAGCGGGTTCCATCTACAGGCGTCAGGAGCTTGTCCGAGTCTCCGGGCACATGGTGACAGCAATGCATCAAGCAGTATGTGCATAATGAGCTCTGCTGCCGAGGAATATATTGTTTTATTGTAATCCTGAACGCCATTGTCACTGTCCTGTCGTGCAAGTCGCACCAGTTGCTGGCATAGCAGCGCCGAGATGCCGCTCTGTCGAGCACTACGACTCAACCACTGAGCTTCTGGATGATGGAAAGCGTGTCGCACTAGCGATGATGGTGGAGCACCAATGCTCTTGTTATTTGAAGTGAAAGTTCTTGGCAGGAGCGAGTCCACAAAGAGGCAGAGCTCGGGTAATAGTCGACGAGTGTCAGAAAGTGAACACTGTAGCATCTCAGTAAGCGTCACCTGTTGTGTATACATACGACGTGCTGAAATACTTACGCAATCGTTTAGCCGCTGCAACAGAGAGACCACTTCTCGTAGCTCTCGACGCTGCATGGTCGGTCGATACTGCTATAATGTATACATGATCAAGAATTAATTATTGCAGGTTCTAGAACCGCTCACGCGTTGTAACAGCAGATGACAGGTGACGTACCACTAATCAACTCTGTATCCTGCCTGTCTTTGCCCATTGAGTAGTATACTATCCTACAGTAATTTAAATAAACGGTCTCTCCAGCATCTCGATAGAGTCATCCTTTCGTTTCAATGGACCCATTTGTGTATATAAAATGGTTATACAACTGCACTATATTTTCCTTCTCTTCCAAGGAAAGATTCTCGAAGGTCTTCTCCCCTCGTCAAGAGCATACCGCTTGTATAGAACCCTTGCTTCCCTCTCCAAAATACTGGGACCGCCAGTTTGGATGTAGTAGTAGCGGAGCGTGTCCGTGCTGTACCGTGTGCACTCTGTATCTTGGTAGTTTTTGAATGCACACTGAACTAGTGTATTGATACGCTCGGAACCATCCGGCAGCGTAGAAAAGAACTTAAAAGTTGACGTTGCTCTCTGTGGGTGCTTTAATATTCTTCTCCTCTTGTCTCGTGCTTAAACTGAATGCCTTCCTCCAACTTGCTTCACTCGTATTTCCAAGGTAGTGCTCCCCAGCACAAACCGTCCACAACACCGCAGTAGCCTTCATCATCGTCACTTCGATGATCCGGTACACACCCTCAGGTTCCGTCTTACTGAAGACGAGGCTGTACAGTCGGCTCAGTAGCGAATTGTCCAGACCTTGCAGGGGGCGTGATGAGCTGCTGCAGAAGCAGCAATACCAGTAGACACACGCATGGTGTCCACCGCGACGTAGCCGGTGCTGAGGGTGCTCAGGAACTCGTCTGTGATGGTGGTTTACAATGTGGAGCATGTAATTCATGTCCTACATTGTAAAACACCATCACACACTTCTATAACGCTGTTGAGGTAGATTGTACGTTTCTGCGGGATTAAGGCGACCATCATTTACGACTGCTTTAACGAGCCCCGTTGGTCATGATTCGCTCTTCAACCGAATGGGTAGACAATGTCAGTGTTAAAGCAGTTGAAGATACTTTGCAATCGAACGGTTTCTGGACGACCCTCTTGACCGGTTACCGGGTCACGCGGGTCATTGAGGTCAAGCAGCGCTTCCAATCGATGGGAAAGAGTCTGGGACTACGTGCAGAAAAACCACCTGCTGCAGAAGGCAATCTCGCTCACTTGGCCGACGTGCTCGATTTCAAGAGCAAAAATGCGCAGTATGAAGTGCTGGAAAAGACCAAGACGGCAAAGACCACCAAGTTTCAGCTGAAAACGGCTGTTTGCGAGTCTAGTTGTTCTACGATGGACTCCGTATGCTCGGAACGATGACGAAAATGACGTATGTAACGGCAAGGTGAACCGCCTCAATGTCGAGGTGCTGCTACCGCTTAACGAGTAGGTCCCAATCAAGCCGGCTGTGTACTTCAAGCACGAGACTGTTGCTCCACATATACGGAATTCAAGAAGGTTGTTGTCAAGAAGTCCACCGTAAAGTTCCGCTTCGAGCCGTCTTGTCCGGCTCATCGAAGCGCCATCGACGCCATCATCGATCAGGCCTTCACCAACTTCCAAGTCGCTGAATGCCGCAAGCACATGAAGGACATGGCAAGATTAGGACCAACCTACAGTTGCTTGATGCTGCGAAGAACAGACTGTGAAATCCAACTTCTCAGTTCTCTCTGTGCCGTGGTAGACTTCACTGTATCAACTTAATTTCACAAGATCGTTCATTCACACACAGCTGTTGAGTTATTGTTACGGTGTCACCCACTCACCATTAAAGGTGGTCCCACAACTTTGTTTTCCCATCGCAAAGCAAGCGACAAGATCTCAAGCATCCACACACGTGTATCAGCAGCCGGTGTGCTATACACGATCCCACCGTAGCTAAAGATCACAGCATTACCATTGTCTGGTTCGTCTTCAAATAAAGTCCTGCACGTGTCAATTCTGTTAGCAACGGTGCAGCCAAACGGATTACTCATTACTAAAATCAACGTACCATGTGAACATGTCAAGCCACTTGACCTGTGTTCCTCCACCTTGTGTATCCCAAGTCCCGATACTACCGTCTGGGTGAATCCTTCGCAGCCGATTGTGGTCTACTGATCGGAAGAGTATAATGTACCCGTTCGCCATGTGAAAGCGCGTGACCAGGAACAACGACTGGACAGTGGCCATCGTATTTGTGTTTGTGATGACACGATACATGATTACATTATGATCATCCACAACCTGCAACACTTTGATCGACAAGCGCATCGTGGACGAGTACAGTCCCATTAGACCTCGAGGCGAAGACAACACGCGCCAGCCACGGGCTGACATTTCCATAGAATTGACGCCGGGAAAGCGCTTTTTGAGCGTGAACTTGACATGATCCGGCGCCTCTCGTCGCTGTTCACGCCATCCAAACAGCTCGAGACCGGAGGTCAGGTAGCTATTGCTTTGCAAGAAACTACGGATCTCTTGGTATGCATCGAGGGCAATCTGATGGCACTCTGGAACTGAAAAAGACTCCAATGTTATTTCGTTCACCTGGAATGCACGGGATGGTGAGTACTCAAGCAATTACATTCTTCTGAGTCTCACACCCTCAAGAGGGCTTCTTTAGCTGAACGCCTACAGATAGAGTTGACAAGTATTACCGTAATTGGAGGTGGCTCTAGTGTCAGTTTGGGCTTCGAGTCCAGGAAGTTTTGCATCTTGAACTGGAACGTCGCATGCTTAGCCACTATAAGCGCCAGCTCCTGATTCTCTCGACAGAGTTGCTGTTTCTTGATAGACAATTGCATATATTGCTCCACCAGGTCGTTTGTGGTCTTGTCGCTGTCCGAAGCCCCTGTATCCTCGCGCAACTGTAGCTGCTGCTTCAGCTGGATCGTGCACGAATATTCACGCTCCAACTCGCAAACCTTGCGGCGCAGAGCTTTCATCACATTCTGGTAAACACATAAAAGACGTATTAGCAGAGATCCACACTTTCTTGGCAGCATTTGTTCTCGCCTGTTGTCGGTAGTAGCTGTTCTTGACATGTTCACGCTGACGAGCGCGTTTGGCTTCGTCTGTCTGCATGGCCAAACGCATCTGCCCATAATTCAGCTCAGCCATCGGATCTAAACGCAGATCCCGAAAGATTTTCGATTGCGGAGACTTTCGAAGTTTGAGGAATGAGCAACAACTTAAACTTGGAGTGTTCCCATTATTGTGGTTGGTAATTTCTACAGCTCTCGGTCTTTTGCTTCTTCTACCGGCAGATTGCCCAAGGCTCGGTCCAAAATCCCCTGCACATTTGAGTCCTTAGCTACAGCTTTTTCCCACGCATCATTCGCCTTCATTTTCTCTACGCAAGCCACAATTGCAGACGGCTCACCAATCTCTTCTAGAACGCAAAGCGATACAACGTAGGCAGCGGTATTGAGTATTAGACCACGCGAGGCGGCCTGCGCCAGTAACACAACCACGTCGGCGTACAGGCCACTTGTACGAGCACGGACAATTGCACGCTCAAATGTCCAGGCGTCCCACGTAATGATGTTGCGATATCGCACTAGAAAGGCCTCATACGACAGCTTCGTGCCGTCAACGATGAAAGTAGTACCAAGTGGACTGTTGTCATCGCGCTTTCGAAGCTGCTGGACCTGCTTCGAGATCATATCGAACACACGTTGCACAACTCGTCGACTCATCGGTGGGTGACCTTGTGCCTGCCAGCGATCCAGACACACCAGCATTGTAGAGAAGTCCTCATTGGACTGGCAAATATTAACAATCAGCGCGTTCAAGTGTGCACGCTGGTTCGGATACAGCCTGTCAAAATGTCGCTCCACTTCCAGACGATCAAACACACTGACATCGCCAGATTTATCCCCACCTCGCTGTCCGCCGGCGAGCAGAGGGTATAGCAGCTGAGAGTAAATCTCCGGCCGCAACTTGACATCTTCACACCAGAAAGCTGTACGCATGAGCTCGAGGGCTACAGCTAGGTCTCCAGCATACAGACTCTGAAGTATGCCTTGAGAGAGCGAGTGTGTGGTGTAAGGAATGGCATTTGGAAACTTCTCAAATAACTCCATAGTTGTTGGACACTCGGCCAGTTTCTTGTCGGCATCGTTTCTAGTGCTAGCTCTCTGGATCTCTGCTCGGAACTGCGCAATACTTTTGAATAACTCACTCACTGTTCGATGGCTTGCTTTGTTGTTATTGAGTTGCATCTCCTGTAGGAGCTCCATCATGTGCTTGAAGTTGCCATCGAGTATGGCGTAGAGCAGCAGATAGTTGACACAGCTACTGTCTGTGTCTTGAACAGTGTAAATACGCTCGTGCTCCTTGGCATGCATGTACAAATCGGCAATCTCAAAGCGACCAGCATCATCTGAGGCACTCCCCACAGCATGCGCGAACGACCCTGCATCAATTGGCACGTGGTGTGCCGCTCCGTGCTGAAGTAGCATCTTAGCAGCGTCATACTGACCAGCCGCAGCGGCAGCACTTACTGCAATCGAAAGCCGTTTTGAGTCCAGCGCGAGTGCATACGGGAAACGATCCATGTATTCGATCACTAATTCCCCCATTGCTTTGACTGTGTACTTGGTATCTAAATTGGCCCTCACTTCGTCTCCAACGCTCTCTTCATTCGTTAAAGCATCAAAAAATATCTCTGGACGATACAAAATCAACCTTACGAGCATATGAGTAGACGAGTAGCTCGTATGCAATTTTAAGCGCTCCATTGCGTCAAGCAGTGTCTCCACTCGCTGTCGCAGGCCTTGGTCTGTTTCGTCCATTACTTTCGTTGTGCATTCCACTCGTAATAAAAAATTGTACGAATCTGGCTCATGGATCCCAGCCACATTACATTTGCCAATGACTTCATTCTGATAAAACGTTCCCATTTCATATGCACGGTCCGTGTCCAGCATTGACCAAAGCACAAAGCGATGCATTTGCATTCTCGCGGTTGTAATGCTGGGCCACGTAGTGGAAGCTCTCTTTATTGTCTTCACGAGACCTTTCTTTTCGTCCTCTAAAAACTCATTATAACCTTTCCATACCCGCACAAAGCGACCTTCACGTGATGCTTTATACAGTAGTGACAGATACAAATTTTCACTGAGCTTCAAATTGCGCGACCGCAGATTATTAAACGCCTTAAGTGCCACGTGATACCTCGATTTTGGGTCATTTATACAGTCAAGAAGTTTACTAATTGGCTCAATTTTAACTTCAGATGTGGGGTTCAGAGACGGTTTTAGTGCTACGACTGGCTCCGACACATTGTTTTTGTCTCGCTCTACATGCAAGAAACGAACGGACGATGAGATTATGGGATAGGAGCGGATGAAAGAGGAGTAGGAGGACACAAAAGAGCGACGGGGAAACGCTCGAAACAGCCGCATGCACTCGCTCACTTGACGCATTGTGGACTTTATCGGTATTTAGTGTGGTAACACCACGTTTTGGTACGGTGTACCGTATCGACCCAAAGTCGGAGTGAAGGTCTCACTTCAACTTGGAGCATGGCGTCCACCCCGGAGAACGTACGCAATCTCGCGCTGGGGTCAAAATCGCCCGCATCTCCACCTACTTCACCATTTGTTCTTCCACCACTACCACCACTGCCTCCAATAGACATCAGTCAGTCGCCTGATGCATTAAAACAAGCGTCGGAATCTGCTGTATGGAGCGAGACACGTCCGATGAAATTTGGTATGAAGATCGCCAACAGATATAGTTTATTTGACATCAATTGATAGCAAGAACAACTCGTTGCCTTTGATGTCCGTAGGTACTACGCAGAAATACAATCACCAGCATCAGTGCTTTCTGTCTTCTGGGGTCGAGAAATCGCGTGTTGTCGAAGAGACGCAGCGCCTTAAAGTGACCCTGTCTGGACGCACGATCTGGAGCATATCCCCAGAAGAGCTTTCTGAATTGGCAAAAGACATGGCTGAAACAAAGAAAGAGTCGGCTGAATCGATCAAGAAGTTGTCCTATGCCGAAGCCAGCAAGCGCTGTCTGTCTGGAACCGCACTAATTCGAGCAATGCAGCCGAAAGTGTTGGCACTTGAGCAGCCAATTCGCAGCTTCAAGAAATACTACGGACTTCCCAACATCCCATCTTTTGAACCACTGCACAGGCAGAATTTCATTTGCAAGCTGCATTATGGGTACCGAGCTTCCAGATTTGACGGTGTTTGTTGTCCTTCCAGTGATGATGCAGAGGCGTCGGAAGAAAAGGCAATTCCATTCGACAAGTTTACTGATACTGAAGCGGAGAACGAGTCGCACGATGTGCTGGACAATAGCCAAGTCTTTGGTCTTTCAGCCACGACGCCCACATTTTATCCACGCCAGACGACTGATACGAACGAGCTCATTCAAATGGTAAGATGGCCTCCGTGAAGGCAGCCATGAAACGGTCAAGCTTACGCCTTGGATCACTTGCAGTTGAAAGCATCACTTGCACCGAAGAAGGTCGCACCGCACATGGATTGGTGGCCGGTAAACTGGTCTACAGCTTTAGTTTTCCATGTTGCAGAAACAATGTTTAAGCGTGTGAGTTTTGCTTTTGTAGGGGGACTGGAAATGCACCAATTGCGGTAAGCAGAGCTGTTACAGGCTGCTTGTTGCCGCTAGTTAATCTCACTCCTACCATTTTGTCTGTCTGCTTCAGGCAACCACGTACTGTTGTCTAGACATATTACTTCGTTTTCAGGTTGCGCTGACCGTCTTTTCTTTCGAGTAGAACTTCTCGTATAGGGACACTTGCAAGCGATGTCGAGTGGGGCGACTAGAAGACGCTGGATTTGTCTTTCCAACTTCTTCGACTGATTCTTCGGCCTGAACCTACAGACGGCGACAAGTAAATTGCTTTGTGACGACTTTTTAATTGCTTTTGATCTAACATCATGTAGTAAGTTGAATTTGGTGCCTCCTAGTAGGAGTCCTTGAAAACAGGCTACAATCGAACATTATGCAGCACCGTCTTCCATTGCTTCATGAATAGCAAGCACTTCCTCATTTTGCACCCATTAATTCCCAATGCTACAGCTACCCAGTACCAATGGCCGTACTCATACCTTCTTTCATATTATCTTGAAGGTGCTACTTGTTTGACTGACTTAGTTGCCGTTGTGCTCGGCGATACCATCGTGCAGACTAACGCTCAGCTGCATCGGACATGAAGTTAAGTGCTGAACAACTGAAAAGCAATATTGATATTGCCTTACTGTCGCAAACGTGAGTAAACGCTCGGCGTGACCAATGTCCGACGTAAGCGATTGTATGTCAGCTTCATCAATTGCATAGCCCACACCAATTCTTGTGTAGGATGAAGCCGTTTCCTCCTCCTAAGCAGTGATATCCGTACCGACTATATCTCACTGCGATCCAGTACCTGCTTCCAGTCGTCGCGGACCTTCGTAACCATTTCTTTTCTGCTAGTTATCAAATCTTTCGGGTCGACACTTAAAACCCGGCAGTGATAGAACAAAACTGTAGACGAGTTTCTAGTACAAATGGCGTCGATTTTCTTAAATAGCTACTACATGTCTCGCATGTTTAAAGTAGTCGTTATAATCTACATTAGTAGGACGACTTAATAAGTATGGATGCGATGGGCTCATCCGAAACCGCAAAGCTTTGCTATAGCACTTCCTTCGATCGAAAGTGCCGCGGTGTAGCTCGCTCATTGTGGCGGAGACGCTTGATGATGATGATTAAAGTCACTCTGTCGAGGAGGTGGCGAGCAACCATCCGCCGATTTAGATGGAATCGTTGCCCGGTGCCACCACGAGGCAGCCGTAGAAGCTCTTTAGCAGCTTGGTGATCTTGCAGCCCTGCTTCTCGCAGCAAGTCATGACCACCGGCGGGCACTTGCAGAGCGCCTCCTCAAGTTCCAGTAGGAAGGCGTTTAGAAACAGTACACGTTCGCGGACTACGCTCTTGGAGTTCTTGCCGAGGAGGCGGCCTTGCATGACGGGAAAGTCAGTATCCACGAACACGCGCTCGAGGCAGGATGCGAGCAGGCAGTTCTTATCACCGCCACAGCACATGCCGTCCTCCTGCAAGCGAAGGCGCACGAGCTGCTGAAGCTGCAGAAAGGCCGAGAAGCGCCGGTATACGAGATCCTCGCCGCCATAGCGGTCGGTCTGCACTCGGATGGCGTAGTCAGTGTGCCCCGCGATCTTGCGGGTAGCTACGATGTTGCACCGCACATCGCCCAGGGCGATGACGGAGTTGGTAAGAGGGCTGGGAGGAAGCATCTTGATTGAGGAGGAGAGAATTGATCGAGTGTGCAATTTACAGCAAGTTCCGAAATGATCAAGCTCCGACGACGCTGTCCGACCCGCCGACTATAAATCGACTGATCGTCTGGTATTTAACCCTGCCACGCGACAAGGATGGCGGACTTGCTCGAATTCGGTCGACATCGTGCGTCATTGACCCGTCGCTGCGCTGGACGCTACGCACGACACTACCGATACAAACGCTTGAAACGGAAGTGGCAGCAGAGCATCTGACCGCAGCCTTAGCGGTCTTCAATGACGAAAAAAATGCATACTGTATTCAGATAAATTAAGCACCGTGACGTTTAAGGCAACCATGACGACATTGGTGGCAACTATGATGACGTTTCTACTTGATCAGAATTTACACCGTAATGGTTGCCACCAACAAGGCGAGCGCGAGTGTGGCCAGTTTCTTTTTGCTTTAGAATTCTAATATTGGAAATGCACTCCGGGTGTTCTACATTCATATTACTACAGTGAGTTCCGAAACGATGGGAATGAAATTGCACATTGGCGACAAATAACTAGTACTGCGCGATGATCGACTCCGCGTATCTTGCAAGCTTGGCGCCTGTTCCGCTAAAGTATAAGGCATTCGTTCGAAATGTAAAGGTACGGAGCCCATGCAAAAGCGACAAGCGGTACATACGCACACTATGCGACATATTAGCATACAGTTGACAATCGCAGATCGGAGCTTTCTGGTTTACCACTCCCGACATACGCCAGCCATCCTGGCTTCAGGCTTTCATTCATTATGTCACCTTTTAGACACACACGATTTGCTGAGCTTAAGGCGCAAGCTTTATCCGTGCCGGCTTTTAGGTGGAAAGTGCAACCCGTACGGTCCACTGTCCGATTCTTGAACCGCGATTGACTCTGCGCTGCCTCACTAATGCCATCACTTGCATATACATGTGCTTATACTAAGCTGGCATTGCACATGTACATCCAACGTACGGTAGATTGTGCTGGTATGTTTGGTCCTGGGGAAAGAAATGTAGTGTTTTGATACCAAGGAACAGACTCTGTATACCCGTTGTAGAGCTATCTCGCTAGCATTGCTACCAATATGTACAGTACTGAAACGATGCGAGATAATGTAGGTGTCAATCGTTGCGGCCACCGGCTATAGTATTGTACTGACTATATTTCGGCGCTAGGCAATGCGACATCATTTTTCACCAGATGATGGAAGGGTGCTGTCTGTATGTGCAAGTTATGCATTGCATACGTTGTGGCAAGAAAATTGTCATGTATTTCTTGAGTGAGGATTAAAAGGTCACGGATTCTGACGACTGTTAGCTGAAAACTGAAGCACCCCATCAGCAGATCAAATAGATTCGCTGGCGTCACTGTTGTACGACATGTGCCTCCGAGACACTACCCGAAGTGCAGTGTCTTTTGTAACTTACTAACAGTTGTTGGTGCATAACGCTTCTTACACAGAAAAAGCAAGCATTATGCGAAACCCTCGTTTGGGTGGTGGAGAGGTAGTTGCTGGATACATTTCACTGCGAGGGGCTGCTAAGGGATTCCTGCTGCTCTGAGAAGGGAACCTGCTGATCTGAGAGAGGGGTATTGCAGTAGCGAACCCACGTCAAAAGTCGCCACCGAAACATACAAAGCCTGCATGATTTGTTCGAACGAGAAAGGTCTTTCTGTCATGCATCCTCCTTCTTCAGAAAAGCGTTGGAAAGCTCGGTACCAAGCACGACATGTTACGGTTCCGTCAATCGGAGAGATGCTGTGCACGTTTCACAAAACATTATGTTTGGGACACGACGTTGCATGACGGATGCAATCGCATCGATCCTCGAAGACGCAATTTGTTTGGTCCTACTGAACGGAATCTGTTCGATCTTTAACGACTGCTAGCGTCACGCATGACAACGCATCCACTGTCGAGATAGATCTAGGGAATGTGACAGGAACCGCCACATTGGAGAACCGTCAACAAGATCGCGGGTTTGTGACGACCGCAAGATGGGAAGCACGACATCACTTGATGAGTAAGCGGGTACCTGAAAGTATCTCAAAGCAAAGCAATAGACACCCTGCTACTTCTGGTAGTACACCTCGCGCCTCTCTTGCTTAAGGAGTGGTTTTAATTCCCCCTAAATACCCGTTTTGAACGGAAAACGCGCAGAAGTCAAGTAGATATACAACGAAGTGTCATATATAAGGGAAAGAATAGCAACAAGTCGGCCTTAACAACAGCCATGGTTTAGGACATTCCTACCGAGAAAAAGCCAAGTGAGATACGCTACGACTTATAACACTACTCAACGCTCGCGAAAAATATTCGCGCAGATGTCACGCTAACCAAACGTCCGCGTTAAAGAACCACGTAACATAAGAGATCCTGAGAAATTCTGCGCAGCGCATGTGCAAAGTATGCCCCAAATTTGGGTATCTTTAAAGAATTATTCCGCTACAGGGGTAATTTTATGGATAATCCTACCTAGAGGGGTAGCTACGGATTGATATCAAATTCCACTATTTTTTTATTTCAGTTGTATAAGACTATGCCCAATCCCAATGAAGTCCGATTATTGCAATTTCAATTTGACTTCTTACGAAATCCAAATTATCTTTATAGCAATATTGCCTAAAAAGGCGACAATGATTGTATCACAACAATTATATTAATTTTTAAGTAACAATTATTGTTGATCCCATGACGAGGATAAAAATCGTAGCGATTGCCACCTTCTGGTGCCTCTCTGTAGCCGTATCTTCTGCTTCTGATGAGCTCCTACAAGCAATTAACGCGTCTTCGCTACTTGAGCTGCAAGATTCTATTGATACAGTGCTTGTCTGGTCCCAGTACGAGCGCTTCTTGCTCTCAAAAAGTCGTACGACGTCTTTCGTGCTCTACTTCACACCAGTTTCAATCTGTTCCAATGAGAACCACAAAGACGATGATGAATGGGAGGAATCGAGTGAGACAGCAGAAACATTTACTACTCCTCAAGAGAGTTGTGGGGACCATGAGAAACTGGTAAAAGCAGCTGTGGAGGTCGCGGCTGAGACATTGTCCCCTCAACTTCCCATTGTTCGCTCAGATATCCATACATGGTCCAAGTTACTTCACTATGTAAGATTTGTAACACTTTGTAAAGTACTATTCTATATTGTTTCTTACTCATACTTTGATATTGATAGCATTTGGTGTCATCAACGCCATCACTTTTGTGGATACCTGAACGTTCATCTGGTCGTTTCCAGCGCTATCCACACATTGAGACTAATTTTCTGGATCTAAGCGCCAATGGGTCGCTTTTTTCCAAATTAAATCGTGATGATGCTGACGAACAGCACAAGAACTTCGAGAATTTTCAAAATACGACTCAAGTAGACAAGAAGATTGTGGCCAAGGAGATTATTGCATTTGTGCATTTGTGCCAAGAACGAAGCGGCTACCTAGTTCGTAATGCACGTGGGATGCTATTGCCAGTCACACAAATGAGTCGTGACGATGACGCTTTGTCAGGGCTAGATATGATTCTGATCGTTGCCGTTTTGACCTTTATCGCTTTCATTGTTTACGAGAACCGAGACTTTGTACATGGAGTGGTCTGCATGCGATTCTTCTGGTTTGTGCTCTGCTTGGGAGTTATTTTTGTTGTGTTGAGCGGACTTTTCCATTCGATCATTCACCGCCGAGCCTGGTATTATTTTAGCCGAATGCACGGCTTTGTTTTTGTTTATCCAAGTGCGCGGCGGCAATTCGTGTTGGAGGGTCTGGTAAATGGTACTTATAGTTTCTGGTTGTCTCTCGCAGCGATGAGTATTACAGACGTTTTGCCGACATTGCGCTCAGAAGTGGCAAGAGCGGATCTCATTCGATGGTCGTTATTGCTTGTGGCAATATCGTATGCGGCGCTGAATTTTGTGTTCCTTATCAAGTACAGGTGGTTAGCTTAGTCAAGCAGTATTAATAGTCTCAGCGCGGTAAAGGCAGAAATGTTAAAGTGCAAGTTAGACATAACCTACGCTTGGATACATGGAATATTGTAGAGACTTCTATGGATTGTAATTGGTCTTACTTGGCTAAAGGTTGGATGGATAGTTCTCACTCGTAAACTGATAAAGTCACTGACGAAGCCCCGGCGGGGGTCGAAACGCGTATGGCACGCGTTCATATTCAAGTCATCCACTTCAACTATATTCTTACTTTCGAACATGAAAATGTCTTACATCAAAATGATCATAAGCACTACTTAGTCGTAGGCATTCATCGATTAAAATGTTCGCTTGCCATGATGCAAGCTGTAGAGAGGAAGTCGGCGGCACTGTGATAAAAGGATTCTGACATTGTTATTAGTGTTATCTTTTTCGTGCTAGCATGATGGACTAGTTGTTCTTGTTCTTCATCACTCTTGTCCAATCAATCACCCATCCACGCACCTGTCCAATCAATCAAACTCAACTGATCCTCAAACGCCTTTCTAAGTCGTCAGCCGTTTCCTCAACTGTAACTTCAACCGTGCCTTTTTCTAACACTCCTCCTCGGCTACGACTTACCGTCCTAACCGAGGCTGATTATATCACACAGCGCCGCGAGCTTGACTGCATCTAGCGCCTTCGTCAAAAGATCCGCGAGTTGTTGCTCCGAGCGGACGTACTGCGACACGATGATCCCGCGTCGAGCGAAGTCGCACACGAACTTCGTGCGAACATCGATGTGCTTGGCTTTGAGAGATGACGCCTCGCCTGCCAGCTGCTTCAGTGCCGCCTGATTGTCGACGTGGAGTACCATCGGTAGCGCCGGCGGCTTACCGATCTCGGTTAGCATCTCCCTGATACCAAGAAGCTCGCGCGCCTGCTCCGATGCAGCGACGAATTCCGCTTCCATCGTCGAGATCGAGACGCCGCCTTGCTTCTTCGACGTCCAGCTGACCGGCATGCCGTTCAGGCGGATGATGCCGCCAGTCAAGGACTTTCTGTCACTCTTTTCCGCCGCAAAGTCGGTGTCCGAGTACGCCTCGAGCTGGATCTTGCCGTCGAGGTGCTTCGCTGGTTCCATCCGAAGCTTGTAGTCACGCGTCCCCTTCAGGTACCGCGCGATGCGTTTGGCAAGCTTCATATCGTGGAGTCGCGGCTGATGAGTCTGACGCGTCGCCTTGTGCACGGCGAACGCAATGTCCGGCCGTGTGCAACGCGCGATCCACAGAAGACTGCCGACGAGGGACTGGAACCTCTTGATTGTTGGAGCCTTCTGCACCTTAGTCTCGGTGAGCAGCGCGCTGTCATCTGGTAGCACGTCGTAGCAGTCAGCCCCAATTAATGCTTTCGTCGGGTTTGCATCCTCGAGCCCATGCTCATGCAGGAGCTCGCCAATCGCCTCGGCCTGGTCGAGCACGTAGCCGCCACTGTTATCAATCGTGACACGCATGCCGAGGAACTTGCTAACGGTACTGAGGTCCTTGATCGACAAGCCGCCGAGCTTGACGAAGAATCGGTCGACGGCTGCAGCGTCCGTGCCGGTAGCAAGTAGATCGTCGACGTAGACGCCCACGATGACCAACTGTCCACCCTCGACTTGGTAGTATAGACACATGTCGGAAATACATTGCCGGAAGCCGGCTTCGAGCAGCCGAGCGTGCAGGAGCTGGCTCCAGAGTCGGCCAGCCTGCTTGAGGCCGTACAGGCTCTTTTGTAGCTGCAGCACTACTTCCTTCTTTGTCGCTTCGCCTACCATCTTGAGCGCGTCTTGATCGATTGTCATTGCCTGCGGCACCTGGAGTAGTATCTCCAAGTGCGCTTCCTTGTCAGCCTTGACATACGCGTTGGGGATGTCGCCATGCTTTGCTGGGACACCCCATATCGACGCAAGCGCCAATATCACCTTCACGGTCGACATGTCCATGACAGCCGCGAATGTAAGCTGGTAGTCGACGCCAAAAACTTGCTCGTTGCCGCAGGCGACCAGTCGAGCCTTCAAGCGCTCTATCTCACCGTGCGCGTCGGTCTTGGCACTTCGTGTGCAGAGTGTTGCTGCCCGGAGGTCTCTTGATCAAGCGCCACACGCCATTGTATTCTAGGGCTTGAAGCTCTTCGCGCATGGCCTTTTCCCAGCCTTCACGCTTAGTGCTGCGTAGCGCTTCACCGTAGTTCTTGGGATCGCACTCATACACATGAGCCACCACGCTGTCGTCGCCAGCTGGCTCCTCCTGATCGGCGGCCGCCTGTGCGCGTTTGGTAGCGCCGCGCGTCCGGTGAGCCGCGCGTGTCCACGACTTCGATTTCTTCTTGCGCTGCGTATCGTTGGCGATGCGGCATCGTCAGCAGACGGCGACTCTTTGCTTGTTGTTGCTGTTGCCGCTGGCTCCACGGCTTGATCTTCATACTCGAGCGCGCGCTGCAGCTGACCATTCTGCTCTGCGCTGAGCGTCTCGACGTTGCGCACATGCTGCGTGATCGTGACCTTGTTCTCCTTTTGGAGGAAGACGCGAAAGCCCTTATTCTCGTCGCTCCGCCCAATGATCACCCCGACTTGTGCGCGCTGCGCGAGTGAGTTCTTGCCTGGGTCACGGTAGACCGAGCAGATAGAGCCAAAGGCGACGATGTCGCGCAGATCCGGCACTTGCTTCGTCAGTACCTCGATTGGCGACGCGCGCTTCGCATTCGCGCTCGTTGGGCTGCGGTTGAGGATGTACGCCGCGTACTCAACCGCATCGCCCCAAAACGTCAATGGCAGTCGGCTGGCAAAGATCATGCTGCGCGCCATATTCAGAATCGTCCTGTGCATGCGCTCGGCCTTGCCGTTTGAAGCCTGCTTCCTCACCTCGCTGATCTGCCGCGCGACGCCCGTTCGCTTGCAGAAGAGGTCGACATTCGTGTATTTGCCGCCGCCATCAGTGCGTAGCACGTGGATCCGGCAGTCGAACTGGCGCTCAAAGAACGCGAGGAAGTGCTCAAACTTCTTGGCCGCCTTGTCCTTTGTAGGCGCCAGGAAGACGCGACAGTAGTTCGACTTATGATCGACAAAGCTGACAAGGTAACGATTGTGCAATCGATCCTTCGGGGTCATCGGACCCTTGAGGTCTGAGCAGATCACCCCGCCAACTCTGTCGATCGGCGAGTTTGATCCAGTGTCCTTCTTCGACTGCACGTTCCTTGTTTGCTTGCCCTGTGCGCAAGAGATGCACGTCGGGCGCTTGCGATCCGTTAGCACGATGCCGGAAGCGGGGTCTCTCGCCATACGCTCGACGGTGTCGTACGCGAGATGCCCAAGCCTTTGGTGGAAGTGCAGCAGCGAGCCGCTTTGCGTGTCCGACTCGGGTTCTTCCGGAGCTGCCTGGCTCGTCAGGATCGCCATGAGCACGTCGCTAGGCGCTCGTCGCTCGCAAGCCGCTGCGACTGTCTGGACGTAGAGCACATTGTGGTCCATCGCCACATCGAACGCGACTTGGCCATTGCTGCGTCGTGCCAACACGCGCGACTCGCCGTCGTAGACGAGCCCGAAACCCTTGATCTCGAGCTTACCGTAGGACATGATGTTGCGCGATAACTCGGGCGCCAGATACACGTCCGTCAGCGTCACATCTTGCTGCTGTCCTCTCGCGAGCACAGTCAGCACGACGCTTCCGACTTGCGTTAACTTGATGGTCTCCCCATCTGCCAAGTGGCACTCTTGATCGCAGTCCCTCGCGTCGCGCAGCAGGGATGCGTCGTTGACAAGGTTGCGGCTGGAACCGCTATCGAGTATCCAGTCGTCATCTTCGTCATCGCTGTCGTCACCAATCGCCATCGCCAGGCTTTGACCGGTGGCGCGCGAGCCGTTGCGACCTCTTCCTTCACCAACAGCTAGCGTGATGCTGCCGCCGTCTCTTGGGCCTCTGCCCCTCTTCCTGTCGTCATTATTCTTGCTGCGACAGTCCTTCTTCAGATGGCCGACCTTCCCACATCCGTGGCAAGTGCGTGTCTCCTTGCGCGACACGGACTCGTCCACGTGCGCGACGACCTCCTTCCCGAAGGATCTTCCTGATCTAGCTTCCATCTCGATTGCTTGCGCGAAGTGCGCGAGCTCTTCCGCGTGCAAGAGGTAGTCGATGCGGTGCGTCTGGTACTTCGCCATGAGTATTGTCGACAGCTCAGACGAGGCGTAACGCACGATGTTGTCCAGAACCTGCTGCTCAGCGCCGCCCGCAGCGTCGCTGACAGCGACCAGATACAAGTAGTGTTCTGGCCAGGATCTCTTGCTCTCTTTCTTCGCCGTGAAGAGTTTCATCGCTTGAGCGGCGGTTATCGTCGTCTTGAACGTGTCCAGCATGCGCTGCATCACGTACTGCAATGTAGGCAGCACGGCCCACCACGTGTCGACCTGCTTGCTGAAATACCGCTCGGCAGTGCCAGTGAGGTACTGCCCGAGCACGTCAGTCTTCACATTCTCGCTCCACAGGAAACCGCAAGACTCCTGTGCCATGTCGACCTGGCGCCAAAACGTCTTGCCCCAGTCGAAGAAGTCGGACCCGAGTCCAACGTACACCTCAGTGCCATCGAGCTTGCGGATCGCCAGCTTGCGCTGCCTGGCATCCGGAGTGCGATACTGCATCGGCATCACTTGTTGCCGCTGCTGTACTGGCTGCCCTGGAGCTTCCGGCATCGTCTGAGGCACTGGTGCCGGCTGGTATGGTGGCAATGGGGCAGGCGGCTGCGGCAACGGATCAGCACGCTGCTGCAGCTGCTCTCTCGCTCGCATCCGTAGGTCTTCGAGCCGCGCTGGTGCACGCCGCAGTTGCTGCTGAGACTGCCGATCGTGCAAGTCCTCAAGCTCCATTGCTCCGCCGTGGAGTCGCCGTGCGAAGTCCGCCCCGAGCTCTGATCGGAACAGCTCGCTCTCGTGAGCGCCGCGCATGCGCTCGTCTTCGTCCATGCGTGCTTGGGATGCTTCCATCTTCTGCATTCGCAAGTCCATGCCCGTGAGCATCTTGAGGACCCTCTCCAGTGCGTCAGGCTCAGGGCTCCTTGGGTGAGCGGTGGGAGAGACGACCGTAGCAGGCGCGACCGCGGCCCTTTCGTGACCGGTTGCCGGCAGCGCCTGTGCCGCGTTGGTGTCGTCGTTTGCTTCCCGTCTTGGGCTCATAACCTGTTCGCTTGCCATGATGCAAGCTGTAGAGAGGAAGTCGGCGGCTTGTCCAATCAATCACCCATCCACGCACCTGTCCAATCAATCAAACTCAACTGATCCTCAAACGCCTTTCTAAGTCGTCAGCCGTTTCCTCAACTGTAACTTCAACCGTGCCTTTTTCTAACATAAAACGTCATTAAATTCGACAGCAAAACTATGTTGTCATCCCATGGATACGAACATACCCATGATGTTGGAGCCTTAGGACTATCATGTTCTCTTTTTGGTATCTTTTTGGCAATCTTCAATAGGCGAGAAGCTCATGTCTGCCATAGAACTAAAAATGGAACAGTTGTAGTACTAGTATACAGTACTACAAATGCTCGATTACTATTTCTTAGAGTACTACGACATTGAAATAGTACCGATCGTCGAAACACAGTAATATACCAGTACAGATTATAAGCTGTTGAAAATGTGAAAATGATATACCAAAACACCTCGAAAAGACCTCATTAATCACTGCAGAGCTTTTCTTGACAACCTATTATTTAGTGAATATGGTCACACGTTTTGCACCTTTTGTTCCAAAGCTGATAGGGGTGAGCCAGAAAGACTTGACAATTGCAAGCGTTGCACGCCCCCATCATGCGAGACCTCTCCGCCAGTACGTCTTTATGTTGCTGGATGCCGTGCATGGCTTTATTCAGTGCCTCATATAGCGCCCTTGCCGCCACAGGCTGGCCAACTGTCCCACTTAGCAGCGCACTCGCTTCCAGATCCTGTCCGTAGAACTTGCGGTTCAAGTCATTGCGTGCTGCAATCACCGAGCCTAGAAGTGAAATTCCAGCATACAAACCCTTGCTCATCGAGTAGCTGTAGTTCGCATTAAGACCAGAGCTGCTGATCGCCGCGGCAGCGGCTGCCGATCGTCCGTACGGACCGACAGCAACGTCCAGACCTGCGCCCAAGTTCACTTGTGGCGAGTGGAAAACCTCAACGGCTGCAGGAGAGCCTAGAATGATCATGACCTCTACGATCTCTCCGCCGATCTGAAAGCCACCACCAAGTCCTACCGTACCGATAGCCGAGGGCGCCGACCACGATCCGTCTGGTAGACGTGACAATACAATCCCTGTACCAACCTTGCCAACTAGGACGAACCCAGCCTTGACGATTGTCATAATGGCCAAACCGTGTGCATTCCCAAGCATGGAGATCGGGATCGCCCGATCTCCTGATGCACCGGAATCATTCCTGAAAAAGTTACCAATGATATCAGCTGCATTTATGCACTCCTTCTCCAATGAAGGCGAGAATGGCACATGCAATCTGGGCTTGGATTCATGCAATGCTGTCTCGGCATTCGCTTTCGCGTATCGTGCCACCAGATTCTCCTGCAGTGGACGCAAGCGAGGCGCACAATGCAAACACACACGTTGCGGAACGGACGGATCGTAGCCCTTAGCGCCTTCAATTTGGTCTCCTTCTGGGATCAAAAGCATCAGTGGGGAGCAATTACCGCAGACGTACCGCCCACATGTACGACTACAGCACACAGAAACGTTAGTTTCCATTTGGTTTTACTGCATGTATAGAAACAACTTCTCTAATAATCTCACCATTGATGTCGACGATAGGTGATGTCAAAAGCCATTTCACAGACGTCACAATTGGGATGATCTGAGTATCGTCCCTTTAGAATTCCAGAGCCTTTGGAAGAACTGCAATTCTTCGTCTCTCCATTTGGCGCAACAAACGATGCGTTACAGCCGTTACTTTTAGTCGCCGAGCCGTCTCCGTCCACGTACACAACGGGAATGGCAGACGGTGTGTTGCCGTAGGCCTGCTGCTGCTGGTACAGAAGTGTCTTCTGGTCGTGCTCTTCAAACGACCGCGGCGGAACTCGCTGTTGATGGTTAAACTGCAGTGAAGGTTGCTGGTGGTCATTAAACTGCAGAGGAGGCGGCTGCACCTCTTTGACGGTGAAAGGCGCGCCGCATTTGGAGCAGAAGCGGCCGCTGGGTGTCAGCGCATTACAGAGAGAGCACACGGGCATTATTACTATGAACGATGGGAATTGATCTTGATATTCAGTGTCCAATTGCAAAGTGAGATGCGGGACATGAAGTGCATCCACCACCTGCAAAGTGGGAGGAATCTAAAAGAAGAAAACGTTACTAGTGGATCTTCCCAAACGTCAGCATTTCTGAGTAAGTGCAGCTACAGGGCCTTCACTTATTTGACGCCAATTACAAAGCGCTTATGCCACGAAACTAGCAGGTTCCTCATCCACGCCACCGCAGTGCTGGTGCACGAGCTTGGCGAACTGCAGAGCGAGAGCGTCAGCGTCCTCCTGGGTGTCCGCTTCGGCGTACACACGCACCACGTCCTCGGTGCCCGATGGACGCACAAATGCGCGCCCGCGCTTGTTGGCGTACTCCTGCAGAGCAGAGTCCAGCGCGGAGCGGAGCTCCTCGGGGGCAAGCACCTGAGTATCGTCCTCCTCGGCTAACTTGATCACGCTGCGGTCCGCGACCTTCACCTTTGTCTGGCGGCTGGGCAGGTCGTTGTAAACGGCATCCCAGTCACTGATACTCCAGTTCTTCTGCACAAGCAGCGCCTCCACGAACAACAGGTCGCACATTGCATCACCCGTGGCCTGGTTCACAAGCTGCGACGCCGCGAGCAGCTGCGATAGCGCTAGCTTCTTGCGCTCATCGTGCAGTGTGTTCTCCCATTTATGCAGCTTGTCCAGCAGCGCGTCCTTGAAAACTACCGTACCATGGCCATTGGCCTCGAAATACACAGCCATGTCGAACTGCGACGCCTTCTCGTGACAATACTTGACACCAGTCTTTGCCTGCACCACGTTGATGCCTAGAGCCTGAAGGTACTGAGTGGCGGCGCCGTTGGCATACGCAGTCATCACACAGCCAAACGTTATGCCCTCCTGCTCAAGGTCCAAGATATGCAGTTTCTCCGATAGAAACTCGGCAAAGAGACAGGCAATCTTATTGCCGTCTAGCAAATGCCACGTGCCTTCGTCATCGAAGTAGTGGAACACGATTCGGTCGCCATCGCCGTCCATGCTGCAGTATCGCTTGCCACGGTCGTTGTCTCGGGACATGTTCGAAGGCGGCTGGCGCGACTTTTCAACGTGCTCAGCTCCACATTGGAGGTTCAGCTCACCATCGCTAGGCGTGTTGACAATCTCCAGACGAAGCGAGTCGCCCAGATCCTTAGCCAACTTGACCACCTGTAGCGCACCAACACCGTGGGCACAGTCCACGTAAAGCGGCAGCCGTGTCTCCAGACGCTGGAACAACACGAGTAAAAATCAGTGTCACAAACACATCATCATACTAATATCACTTCTCGATAGCCCCGTACCTTGGAGTCGTGCGTGGCCGTAAGCTGCTTAAAGGCATCACTCAGCATATTGTAATAGCCGACCTCAGAAGCCCAATCTCCCTTGTTGTACTGCTCATAGTTCCACTACAAATGACACCATTATATCATCAATAGAGATTAGAACTCTATCTCTCCTTGACTCAATCTCTTTACTATACAAGTTACCATACCATACGAACAAGGTGATGCAGCTGCGGCGTCGTCTGCAGTCCAAAGTCAAGCACATTGCCACCAATCACGAGCGCTCCCTCACGTGCCAGCTCGACCAAATGTTCACTAGACGGCCGTGTATCTTTGGCAATAAAGATATTACCCGTCTGCTCCAAATCAATCTTCTCAGCTGCCACAATTGAGTCCAAAACCTCAACGACTTTGTCTTGAGCTGCATTAGCCAATTGCATCGCGTACGTTTCCCACTTTTCACTCAACATATCGCCCTTAGGATCGATAATCTTGAGTCCATTATCACTCACTTCATTATGTGAAGCTGTGATCATCACTCCCACGATCTTTCCCATGTTCTTGGAGCGTAAAACCGCTAACATTCCCATGCGATGGCACGTGGACATCAACAATCCCGCATCTTCACGGAAACCCGCAGTACCGTAGCTCAGCTCACGTGATCCCAGACGATCTGATCGTGGGTATTTAGTTATCTCCTCAGCCACACGTGGCGTCTTATCGAGTACGCTCACGTTGCTCATGATTCTTCTTGTATCTTGTTTTAAAGGTCTTTTGCTTCTGGCTCGGCTTCTAAGATTGTGTCTATTGAATCAGGAAGGGAAGAACAACGTGCTCGTGGATTGGTCAAAAATGAATTAACGCGATAAGACGAAAAACCTATGTTCTGGCATACATCGACGTGTACAAACAACAACCCTACGACTCGTAGGCATGTGCGCGTCACCACGTACAAAATATAATTTCTTACCATGGTGTTGAGATAGGGTGATAAATACTCTCCTATGCCTTCAGGCAATCGCTGTCTACGTGCCGCCTACCTGATCAAATACTCTCGCTCGTCTCGTGGACGTACAACAGTGCGTTGCTGCTGTCTTCATTGCAATCAGATCTTCAGACGCTGTCTACTGAGTGTGCTGACTGGCCGCCTTTTGTACGGACATTGGCATATTGGAAAACTGTTGCGGATCGTCTACCCCCTCATGTGCTGATACGAGAATGTCGTCGATGGTCTGAACGGCATTTTCTACGTTTTGAAATGCACCGACGAGGTAGTGCAGCTGGCGCAGCAGTACTAACAATACATCATCTGTTGCCTGCTTTGCAGCTTCGAGTCGTGTTTTGAGTGCCTGAAGTAAACGACAAGCCACCACAATTTACAATAAGCTTACTGCTTCAACGTGATACCTTGTAACGAAAAGTAACCAAGAGCTTACCATTGTGCGGCGATATCTTGCCAGACGACTGGATCTACAGGTGGAGCAGAATGTCCGCTCGCTCGTCACGTCGCCAACACCCCCATTGCTGCACCCATTCGGTCCGGCAGAGCACCGACCTCCCAGGTAGTATGCTTGCAGCGTGTTGTACTCGTCGGCATTAAATGGCAGCTTCGAGATGTCGGTAATGACCTTACGGACGTGCACCTCCATTGTGCTCTCGTAACGTGGACTCTTAAGCGACAGTCGCTTTTCGCAAGATCCACCTGATCGCGGAAAGCGACCCATAGATCCTCGCGACGGGATCCGAATTACACGCGGCGGTTGGTTGCTACTCGTCTTGGATGGAGAGCTGCCCCCATTGCCACCTGCTGAACCAGATGTACCGTTGCCAGGTCCGTTGTGAGGAGGAGGCAGCAGCCCAAGTAGTGCATTGGCACTTCCTGAACGCGAGCCACCGCCACTTCCACCTCCATTAACACTGCTAATACTACCGGACGACGAGCCTGCCTTGACGTTGCCCTCAAGCCTCTGAAACTTAGGGTGTTGTATCACTGGAGGTGAGCTCTCACCAGTATCGCTTTCTGCACCGGAATCTCGTCCCCCTGTTGGTGTTCTATCCACTACAGTGTTACTTGCGTCCTCTGTGGGTTTCCGCTTGTGACTGGGTGGAATTCCCGACGTGGCAGCTGCAGCGTGTGCTGCAGCGCGACCATCGTGTAAACTTTTCAGCACCAATTCGTTGCGGGAAAGTGCATTAAATTCCCTTCTACTGTCACTGGATGGTGTAGGAAGGGTCACCACGAGACTTAGATCCACGCCAGTGAGCTTGAATAGCACCGAGTGAACGTTGACGTTAATAGCACCAGCGATGCATGACGCTGCGTAGTTGTTGGCACCCTTGGTCGCTAATGATGCACCGTTCAGATTCGGATGCTGGTTCTTTTTCATGTATTGAGTGCTCGCCCAATCGTGACCATCCACAAGCAGACAAAGCAGTGCACGGCTGCGGGCCAGTCCCACAACACTCAGCTCGCGCAGTCCTAATAGGGACATGTGGGTGTAGCTCAAGTCCAGCACCCGCAGTTCCGTGTTCTGGGCTAGCAGCGCTCCAAAGGCACTGGCACCCACGTCACCCAACGGATTGTGATCCATGTACAAGTTCTGCAGTCGATTTGTCCCGCATAAAGAGCGAGCTAATGCAATGGCACCTTCCTGATCCACGCCATTCTTTCCTAATTCTAAAGTTGACAGCGCTACATGACCTGTAGCAAAAGCTAAAGCCAGATGACGCACTCCTGCACTTCCCACTTTGTTCTGTCCTAATGTAAGCTCCTCGAGCGACTTGTTTTGGGTTAACGCAGACGCTAGACTCTGCATTCCGGCCGCCCCAATGCCATTCGTGCCCAAATACAACGCTCTCAATGCTGTGTTGCCTGTGATTCCATCTGCTAAAAATCGAGCACCTTCCTCACCAATATTATTGCCACTCAGATGTAAACTGAGTAAATGGGTGTTCTTCGTCAGTGCCTGTGAAAGTGCGCGAGCACCCGCCGGTCCAATGTCATTTCCTGAAAGATACAAACTCTCAAGCGATGCATTAGTCTCTAGTGCTTGTGCCAATTGGGTCGCGCCTTTATCTGTCAGTCGATTAAAACCTAGGTCCAATGTACGCAGCCTTGAGGCGCCATGTGCCAACACGTCTCCCAATAGTCTCGTACAAACATCACCCAATGAGAAGCCACCGAGTTTGAGTACAGTATACGGCGCTAGGTCTCTTCGAATACGGGCACTTACTGCCTCCCAGTCGGTTGTCACCTGAGCAGCAGCATCAACATTCCGATAATATCTACCAATGTGACTATGAATGAGTTCTCGTGATGGACAGGCATTGGCTATTACAACGTCTTTTGTGTTATGTGCAGCGTTAGCAGCAGTGAGTGGCGGTTTATTCTCCAAGTCGTCGTTACTGCTGCTGTTGCCACTGCGATTCACGTTTGTCTTGTGCTGCGCCCGAAACTCACGCTCACTGTATTTAAAGCGCGCGCTCACGTCTCGCATCATCCAGCGGGAAAAAGCAGCACGCGTTGAAAGCGTGAAAGGGGCGACCAGAGACGGACTGTGTCTGTGTCTGTAGCTGGTGGCACTGGTCTCGGTACTGTAAATTCACGCTAATATGAGCTCAAGTAAGAGACGGTGGCGTCACTCGTCGCTACTGGCGCGAGTGTGAGAGTGTGCTGGCCACGGCTGTAGCGTCTGAAGAGGGGAAGGGCAAGCAATACAGAAGCCAAGTCTTTTCTCTGCGAAAAAAAGACGGACGGGGATTGGTCGTAAGTCAATCAGGAAATTACGGCCAATCGCAATATAGAATGCAGTGGAAACAAATATGATGAAGTAAACGTCGGAAAAGGAGGTAGATAGAGGCATTGCGTGTTGCCACGCTGTTGTAAGATACGAGGAGTGTTGCACCGAGTCTCAACTTACGAGTTGTGTAACATCGGAAATAGTTGACTATGTTTTGGGCCCTTATCCTGAATGCTCGTAACATTTGGATCATTATCAGTACGAGACAAGTCGTCTTTTGTGTCGAGTGTCCAGCTGTAGAGTGTAGAGCAAATGCTCAGTAATCGCAGATGCATGACAACGTTCACTCATGAAATCTTCACATTCGGATGACCATGGCGTTTGGACCGTAGTCGTGTTAGGCTTTATGATTTGACCTGGATCCTTGCGTGGTCTTTTCTGGAGCAATATAGGAGCTCCATGTTAATGGTAGCGCAGTTTCCACCTGCTAAACATGAGCCACTTTACCATGTCACTTCTCCGGGAGAATTGAAGCAGGAGCTGCTGAATATGTGTCGCGGAGCTGTACAGCTCTTTAGCCAGAGGAAGACTTTAGGCTGGAAGCCTCTTAGTTCTAGAGAACTAAATAGAGTTAAGGCTAAAAACCACTTAGTTCTAAGGAACTAATTAAACGACTTAAGAGTCACCCTGTTCTAAGGAAGGAGGAAAGAGACTTTTAGTCAGCAAGCAATAAGCTTAAGGTTCAGAGAACCAACGCACAGAGCGCAAGAGAAGCTAGAAGCTTAAAGGTTCAGAGAACCAACGCACGAAGTGCACAAGAGAACAAGTCAGAACGACTTCCGATCTTAAACTCAAAATGAGAACTGATTATATTTATGCTTTAAGATTTTATGAATAGTCCTACTCTAAGTACACTACACTAGATTAATTACTATAATAGTAATTATTATATGCAGACTTTGCTATTGGACGACGTATCATCTAAACATCTATGTATGATGTACTTAATACAGCGTTAGTGATTTATCGAATCCCAATCGATAAGATACGGTATTACCGAATACCGTATCTTAACGCTCATACATAATACCTCTCTAAAGAGAAGTATCTAAATGCATTATATGCAATAAACGGGGCATTTAACCGTAAACTATCGGAAAGACGCTACAGCCGTCGTGTAACCCCGTTACACCCTCCCCCACCAGACTGACGTTCCCATAAAATGTCATTCGACATCTATCCTCTTAGAGGTAGTGCTTTAGCGAACGTTAAAACCTTACGGTTTGTTCACGGCACATAACATGACGCCTCCTGGAACTGAGTCGCAGACTCTACGGGACCTTATCGAAGGCGACCTTGACGAAGCGGTTGATTACGAAAGTGACATCGTCTTTGTGGGACCCGATGGGTCCCCATTAGCCACCCTCACGGGTGAAGATGACACTCGTCATGCACCGAATCCGTTCCCTGAACGTGGTGCAGCAGATGCGCTAACAGCGTTACGTGACCCGCCTGACGTATCATCAACGGTAACGGTTACCAACCCACTCGACGAGCAGCAACAGCGGTCCATCGACCAAGAGGAAGGCGCCAAGCGCCGGACGAAGAATATGGCGAGACTTCAGGACCACCGACAGTACAGGTTCAAACCACCTACGGTGGAAGAACGCCTAAAGGAGGCATCTGGGCATTCCCTTTCTGGCTGGGGCCATTGGGCCTGAGGCCATTTCACCCGAGGATGTTGCTACGCGAACGGCCCTTCGACAACGATATCTGGAACATAATATTACTACGCAAAGCCAATACTTGGCACGCTTCAACAGGCAAGTGCGCGGTGCGCCAGTTCCTCCCATAAAGGTCGTTCCCATCCTTCTGTTTGCGGGGGAAACCGAGGAAGAAGAAGACACGGCTTTTAGCCGCTGGACGCATTATGCGCGACGTTTAAGCAGCATATGGGCCCTACGGGCAAGTGCCGATGTGGCAGATGTTCGACTCGAACGGAAAATGCGTTACGATTACGCTAAATTGAAGGCCCGGGGAAAATTGAATTTCCAACGAACGCATTATGTGTTTGCTACCCAGAACCCCAATGTTTCGGCTACACCTAGCTGCGAGTCCACGACAGGCCGAGGCCGCTAACTCGCCTACCCCCACCACTACTGGTCAGAAGCGTCATCGCCAACAGGCTGACCCTGCGCACGACGCTCAAAAACGTCCACGGCGTATGGGCAATCCTGCCTAAGGGAACCGCCAACTCCCATGAGTTCCACGACTCGGGATAACCCCGCCACTTCAACAGATACTGGTTTTGACCATGGCGGCGACGTTTCTGCAACATACGTTCAACATGGAACTGAATGTTCCCCTGTCTATCAAGCAAAGCCGGAGGAGGCCGGTGTATCGGCACAAGTTCATGCCAAGCTTCTTCAAGAGGTGCGGTCCCTCCGTGAGGATATGCAGTCGATGAACTCCCGTCTTGAGTCACTGGAAGAGAGCCGAATCCGAGTGCAGGGTCAGCTTGACCTGTTGGTGCAGATGCTTCGTCCCGCGACAATGCCAATCTGCTCGGCGCGAGCGCCTTAGTGTTTACTTTGGACGGATCCCGATATGGTTTCAGCATGCCGACGTAAAACACAGGGTGTGTACGCAATTTGCGCGGAAAATTAAGCGTATACGCTATGCCTTTCTTGGCAATGACCGTAAAGGGTCCGATAAAGCGCGGGAGCAACTTCGTCTTAAAGACAGCAGATACTACATTGGTAGGTAGATTTTTAGCATTTAAGTAATACTTGGTCTCCGACCTCATAATCATTAATACAACTTCTGCCTTTAGCATCTGCATATTCTTTTTGTTAATCTTGACTATCAGCCATTGCATCTTGCACATGTCGTAAGACATTTAGTCGCGTTGCGAGAAACGCGTTCACCTGTTTCTTAACAGTATTAGGGATGACATCAGCAAGCCTATCGGTAACTTCTACCCCACCAAGCCCTGAACCACTCGGTGGTAGCGTTAACGGAATGCGTGGGCGTGTGAGACCATTCACATAGAACGGAGTGTAGCCGGTAAAGGCGTGCACGGAGTTATTGAGTGCAAACTCAACTACAGGGAGCATAGAGCTCCATCGCTTAGGCGTTTTAGCACAAACGCTGCGGAGGATATCTTCAGCAACGCGATTTACGCGCCTGGTTTGACCATCGGTCTGCGGATGATCCGCTGTGGACATGTCAAAGCGTGTGCCCAGCACCTACAAGACGGACTTTTAAAATTTACTTGTAAAACAAAGATCACGATCAGAAACAATCGTGATCTTCGTTTTGTGGTTTTTGTTGATCGTTTGAGCAAAATGATCAACAAAAACCACAATACCTGTATTGCTATGCGAATCATTCGGTAGGCCATTAACAAAATCCATACTAATGGACTTCCAGCACCCAGTGGGAATAGGAAAACTAGCCAGCGGCGCTGCCGAATGGGGCGAGGGTTTCACCCGTTGACACGTTTTACACGTACGCACATATGTGCTCACCCATTTATATAATTTGGGCCACCAATAACCTTGGCATACCGCCCCATAGGTCTTTTCACTACCCAAATGGCCACCGATGGCGGTTTCATGTACCTCATAGAGGATACGATACTTCAGGTCCTCGTCACGAGGAACCACAATACGCGGAGGATCCGCCACGATAGTACAACAGCCCCTGATCGATAGAATATCGATGGAGACTCGCACGTAATCGTGCCGACAATTTAATGTCCGAGCCTTAAACCTCATCACTGCCAAGAGCATGTAGAAACGCTATACAGTGATCATCTTTAGCATACGCCGATCGGACGGGATCAATGATAGAAGACGACAACGTCGTAACATGAGCAAGCTCATAGTCAGGTCTGCCTGACAACGCATCAGCCAAAGCATTTTGCTTGCCCGGCTTTTATTTCACCTCGAAGTTATATTCGGCAAAGAATGACAGCCATCTGGCCATCCGCTGCGAGAGATGCGGTGACTGAGTCGCAGTGCGTAGAGACGCATGATCGGTATAGATCACAAAAGGCTTCGAGCCCAGCAGATGAACTCTGAATTTTACCAGAGCATACTTCGTCGCAAGTAGCTCTTTGTCATGAACTGGATAGTTCTTTTCTGCAGCTTTCAGCTAGCGAGATTCAAAAGCTATCACACGCTCACGGCCTTCATCATCTGTTTGCAACAGAGCACTGCCAATGGCAAAATCCGACGCGTCACAGACGACGCTAAACGGTCTATCAGAGTCTGGCAAAGCCAAAATAGGAGCATGAAGAAGGCTAGCCTTCACCGCTTGGAAAGCATCCTCATGTTCGGCATACCAACACCATTCCACATCCTTTTTAAGGAGATTGGATAATGGTCGAGCCATATCAGTGTAATTCTCGCTGTACTTGTGTAAGTAATTGGCAAGGACAAGCCATTTACGCAAGTCCTTCTGAGACTGTGAAACAGGCCAATCGACTATGGCTTTGACCTTGGCGGGATCCGCTCTTAGGCCCCTTTTCCAACGAAGCACCCTAGAAAGGTAATTTCTTCGGATCCGAAGATGCACTTAGATGCATAAGCATATAGTTTATTAGTGCGCATGCACTCGATCACAGCTCGTAAATGAACAATATGGCTCTGAATATCTGACCGCCCATGTTCAGCTCGACTATGGACAAAAAAGTCATCAAAGTACGTCTGTGCATAACTTCGATGGGGTCGAAAAAATTGCGTCACCAAACGGTTAAACGTAGCCGGAGCATTAGATAGCCCCTGGGGCATCACCAACCACTCCCAGAGCATACCGCTCGGAGTACTAACAGCAGTAAGCGGAATATCGCTAGCTCGCATAAGCAATTAGTTATAACCATTGACTAAGTCGAGCGCACTGTACATGGTAAACCGACCATATTGCTCTGAAGAACATACTTTCTAGGTATTGGCGTCTGTGCAGGTATAGTGGCTGCATTGAACTTAGTATAAGCATGGACGATACGCCACTTATCATTCGGTTTCTTAACACAGAAAGTGGGTGTCGAGTGTGGAGATTTGCTCTCGCGCACCATTCCCGATGCGTGCTTTGCACGAAAGAACTTGTCAATGACGTCACATTGTTCATTGGGTAAAGGCCACTGCCGTGTTACGCAGTGGAACCAAGTCAATTTCATGAAGTACACCCCTATCAGGTGGTGGAACCGACGGTGGATCGTGGCACACCACGTCCTGTAATTACCTAACTAAAGGATAGTAGGGATCTGAAGGGCCCATCAGAATAGATGCCCCACTACGTGCACTTAGTGCCGCCTTTGTATCTTCGAGGACTGTCTCATCGACAAGCGAGGATGAGTTCAGCTCGAGGTTAGGTTGAACGACAACCATATCGGATAGAGCACCAGCCTTCAAGGCTTGATGAAATTCATCCACAGTCATTTCGTCTAATTCTAAGAGAGCATTCAATGATGGGAGGGCCTCAAGGTCAACCTCACCATCTACATCACCTGTCACTCCGTTAACCAGGGTGTATAACTGGTCACTGACATTACTACGCGATAAAACATACGCTTTGCGTCTCGCAGCCGCCATCTGGCGACGCTGTAGTCTCATTGACGAGACCGTACCATTAAAAGTACTTGGGATACCATCATCCCCAAGATCAACAGATCCCTTGATCATAACCTGCCCTATGCGAGGGCCGATGTCAATATTGACATCCAGTGGGTCACTAGTATTAGTGACTTCACTAACAAGGTCATCGACCTTCACTTGCTCTATACGAGAGCCGATGTCATTACCGACATCCAGTGTCTCAGTAGTACTATGAGTATCACTCAACGGAGTACGTGCCGTTCCACTAGGTGTCACTGAGCTCTGCTCGATACAATTATTGTTGACATCGGAGTTTATCAGCTCATACACTCCAATGTCCAGCACACTAACTGAATCAGTTAATGGCTCGCGCCAATAGCACTTTTGTTTCCTAGCAAAGGTGGGTTCATGACTATCCAAAGCTTTGCTAGGAGCATTGCGCGTTGCGCCTAAGGTTTTGGATCTACAATCGATCCATGACTCATAGCGTTCCAGCCAGGCCATACCGAGAATGGGATTATATCTCGAGTCCAGATCTAGGACAAAACAGCGTTCAACGCTATTGAAGTCTAAGAACTTCACACCTAAGTTCAACGGAGCTTTAGGAACGGTGACACGTACACCTGTTGCGAGACGCACGGTTATACTGTCACCCTCTTGCGCTTCTAGCGCCTCAGCGTACAGCTGACTCTCTTCAAGAGAACGACGTTGGACATAATTACCTGATGCCCCTGAGTCAATTAAAATTGACCGTGGTTTCTCAAAACCCTTAACGATTGCCGACACAACCAACAAGTCTGGCTTGTAATCTTGTTCAATGGAAGAATCCACAGAACCACCTGGGGCTAAGCCCTGTTTACCTTTACCTCCTAAAGATTCAACAGAACTTAGTTCTTTCTCAGTAGGGCGCCCCGCGGCTACTGGGAGCTGACGTTTCCCCCTGCGGTGCTCGCCTTTTGGCTAGGAGCAGGGTTTCGGCACTGCCGATTTGAACGTTGCTTTCGCAACGGGCAACTAGAGCGGAGATGCCTCGTGATTCCGCACATGTAACATGTACGGATGTTAACTTGCTGATCAGCAGCTTGAAGCTCAGCTTCTTCAGCTTGTTGACTGAGGTCCATGGGTTCCGCCCTGTTAGAGGTATTTGATTGAAACCAGGGCAGATCATATCGAGCAGATTTAAAATTAAATTCAGCGTTAAACGCTATGCTTACTGCCTCTTCTAAAGTCGAAGGCTGGACACGGAAAACTTTCGTCCTAACGACCCCAGTACGAAGTCCTTCCATAAAAATGGTCACTCGGACTTCCTCTGCCAGAGTATCCTGCTGCATAGCAGCAATGAGAGTTCTTAACTCTTGGACATAGTTCGACAAATTCTTTCTTACCCTGTCGGGTAGCTAAGAAGCGTGAGCGCACACGATAAGCCTGATTAGGCGGTGCAAACACACAAGTTGATTGCTTTTTAAGCATTTCCCATGTGGGAAATGCGGTATTTACAGAGACATCGCTCGGTAGAGCTCACTCTCTAGCTCTTCCACCGAGCTTCGAAATGGCCAAGCCAACTTTTTGCTTATCTGACACAAGTATGGCGGTATACATTGCCATTTTAACTTCTCGGATCCAGAGGAGAAGATTTTCTCCCTCCTTCCCCTCAAAGATCTTTACGTTTAAAACAAGTGGACGAGCCTTTGGCTCTGCATCGGGCACAGGGATATACTGCGTAGACGCAGCTGACGCTGCCTGGTCATGGACCTGCCCGAGTAGCGTTGCTTCATAACGCATGAAGGCCTCAAGGCGAGCATTAAGGACCTCCGGGAATTGGGCCAAAAGAGCCTCGATATTTTGGCCCAAGTCCCGGAGGTCCTTAATGCTCGCCTTGAGGCCTTCATGCGTTATGAAGCAACGCTACTCGGATGATCAAGCCCTACCAACCCAGATAATTTATCTAGTGCGAGTCGTTGCGCCTCAGAGAGGTGATTTTGATTCTCCATCCTCACAGAGGGTCAGTCTTAGAGAATTAGGTGTATAATTGACTACTAGTGCTACCAAGTGTAGCGGAGCTGTACAGCTCTTTAGCCAGAGGAAGACTTTAGGCTGGAAGCCTCTTAGTTCTAGAGAACTAAATAGAGTTAAGGCTAAAAACCACTTAGTTCTAAGGAACTAATTAAACGACTTAAGAGTCACCCTGTTCTAAGGAAGGAGGAAAGAGACTTTTAGTCAGCAAGCAATAAGCTTAAGGTTCAGAGAACCAACGCACAGAGTGCAAGAGAAGCTAGAAGCTTAAAGGTTCAGAGAACCAACGCACGAAGTGCACAAGAGAACAAGTCAGAACGACTTCCGATCTTAAACTCAAAATGAGAACTGATTATATTTATGCTTTAAGATTTTATGAATAGTCCTACTCTAAGTACACTACACTAGATTAATTACTATAATAGTAATTATTATATGCAGACTTTGCTATTGGACGACGTATCATCTAAACATCTATGTATGATGTACTTAATACAGCGTTAGTGATTTATCGAATCCCAATCGATAAGATACGGTATTACCGAATACCGTATCTTAACGCTCATACATAATACCTCTCTAAAGAGAAGTATCTAAATGCATTATATGCAATAAACGGGGCATTCAACCGTAAACTCTCGGAAAGACGCTACAACCGTCGTATAACCCCGTTACAATATGTAAGCGATTATGATTCTTCCCCAGCGCAAAACGACAATGCCGACTAGGGCGGTTTTGTGAAAAAGCGCATTTTCAAAGATAATACAAAATTTTTGACGCATTACTGTACTCTACATTAAGTACTTCAATCACCAAAAGTGTAGACGGGCACTTCGTAAAGAAGCTGTTACGTACTACGCGGGCAAACCTTCAAGCAGCGCGAAGAAGCGGTTATACTGTCTTACCTCCGCGTTCGGTGGTGGTGTTGGTCGGCGCTAAGAAGCGCTGTACCAACCGTTGCCGTTCGCTTTGGAGCAACCGCGCAACGAACTGATAAGACAAGCGCTACACTTACGACACGCAGAAGCTCATACAGCTTCTCGTGCGCAGTGTGCGATGTTACAGTAATAGGTGTAAGACTGACTTATATTCGATAGAATTTAATTACATACAAATTTAGCTACTGATTGGTTAATTATGCAAAGATTGGATACGCGTCTCTTTAGAAGCGTATTCTTACGTGCGAGCTTAAAATGCGTTAACCTCGCTGACGCTTCTTCATCTGGCGCGCTTTCGACCACTGCAGAAGAGAAGGACAGTGATGCGCACGTGCTCTTGGACAAGAACACGAAACGTGCTTCAAATATTTGAAATATGTGCTGTCCGAAAAGATTCAAGAAGCCTCCAAGCAGAACGGTATCTTCACGCATGGTTCTAAAAACATCAGATGTATGTAGAATTTGCAGCATCCGGCGATGCAGATCGCATGTGTGCCGCTCTCAAAGAGTTAAGAGATGCGCTGTTCCACAGTTCAGAGCACGACGCAATGATGCGGATTGCCAAGCAGGCAGCACTGTCAGCTAAAGCCAAAATTGCTGAGCAAGTTGCTCAGAAGCATGCAAATTCACGTGGTGGATCCTTGTATTCCACGACGCGCCACTTGTTGTCGCGAAGTGGGAACTCAGGAGGAGTGCATGGTAGAAACGGCACCGATAGCAACTCGGATCATATTGGAGCTGACACCCCAACGGGCGTCTCTGTTTAGAAGCTAGCCCGTTACACGTTCAACAGAAACCACGAAAACTCCACAAATGCACACCGTGGTGCAAATAATGGCCAGGAAAGAGTGTCAGTTGGAAGTACACAAAGGAAGTCATTATTTACGAGTGCATTACTTCGATGCCATCAACATGTGGCAAAGAAAACGTACGACACGATTGACATTTCCTGTAACGGGCTAAGGACCCTTTACCGTCTTACACTAAAAGGGCGTTGAGGAAGCGATCCTAATCAACTCGTAAATATAACTCTGTTTTATTTTTGTTTTGTTTTAATTCGCAGTAAGTGCGAATATGTTCCCTAGCTCATGGGAACCACTCAATATGGAAGTCAATTTATTATTGGCTAACTATTGGGTCTGGCACCCCAATAATAAACCAATAATGAAAATGACGCGCAGTATCCGCTAATCGGATACTGCCCTATGCCTACTTATGTAATTATGTATTATTCCTATAACTACTCATGTAATAGGTTGCCTTATTACAGATTCCAGCCTGTCTTTTAAATTACTGAAGCCAATTGGGCGATAGCGGCGCGGGCGTGAAACCTGCTGTATCGAAACGATTCTTAGTCCAGTCATATAGCAAGCAGAGGCGCGACTTGTTAAACCGTGCATCCTCGTCCTTAATATATCAGCACTTAAAGGTACCAACAAGGGTCCTTCATTGATTCTCAAGGTCGCTGGAGAACTAAGCAACTTCTCAAATTGTTTGTTAAGCTGACATTTTTGAACTCTTGCGTCTACAATAGAAGTAACTACTGCGCGATGGTCTTCATATCAGCGTGTAATGTATCACATAAGAGTCTCAAACGCTGTCTCTTACGCAAACAAATGTGCGCATCGCTTCGAGTCTTGCAAAAGCTTCTCGAAACGTGGCGCGTAAAGCTTCCAGTCGAAGTTTATTGTCATGTGGCTGCTGCGGTCATTGCCGTCGTGGCATATAGGCCATCACTGATTTATATTCGCTTTCAGGTGCGACGGAAGGGTAACCTTTCGTCCACTAAAATGATCCAACAGCAGGCGACAATGTTCGTCCTGACTGTAACACTCCTTGATATCGGAGGCCATTGAGGTCGTCACATGGTAGGCCTTCATGGCTGCCAATGTTGACGACTCAACTTGTGCCTTCGCACGAGACACACTTTCCTGGTTTCTTGCCTCGAAGTCTGGCCTGTGCGATAACGCGTCAGCCAAGACATTCGTCTTACCTGGCTTATATTCAGTTTTGAAATTGAATTCAGAGAAGAATGTTAGCCATCTCGCCATTCTCGGCGAGAGGTGCGGTGAATTTATAGCGGTCCGCAGTGACGCGTGATCCGTATGAACCACAAAGAGGTCGGTGTTCAAGAGGTGCACTCGACACTTTACAAGGACATACTTAATTGAAAGTAGCTCCTTTTCATGCACAGGGTAATTCATCTCGGCAGCTTTCAAAAGACGAGACTGACACGGTCAACGCCGTTGTCATCCTTCTGCATGAGCGCGCTGCCGATTGCAAAATTGCTTGCATCGCAGACGACGCTAAAGGGCTTATCCGCGTAGGTCAATGCCAAGACCGGTGCCTCTACAAGAGATTGCTTCACTGAAGTTAACGCATCTTTTTGTTCCTTAGACCAAGTCCATTCTGTATCCTTTTTCAAAAGGTCAGACAATGGCTTAGTCTGCTCCGCATAATTCTTGCTGTACTTATGCAAGTAATTAGCGAGCCCAAGGAATTGGCGCAGATCCTTCACATGACGTGGGACTGACCATTCCTTTACAGCCTTTACCTTTTCTGGGTCTGCTCGTACACCATGTGCACCTACGATGCAGCCCAGTACCGGTATCTCGAGGACCCCTATTACGCACTTTTGCAAGTTCACGTATAATTGGGCGTCACCCAGAGGCTGCAACACAGCGTTTAAATGACGCTTGTGCGACTCTATCGCGCTCAGACCGTCCTCCGCCATACTATGCACGAATACATCGTCAAAGTAATGGGGCGCGTAGGCACGGTGCTGACGCATCACGCGAGCCACCACTCGGTTGAATGTTGCCGGAGCATTTTTCAACCCTTTGGCATCACAAGCCACTCCCACAGCATACCGCTTGGTGTGCTTACTGCCGTTTTGGCTACGTCGGTATCTTGCATGAGAACCTGATAGTAGCCATCCTTCAGATCCGACGCAGAAAAGATAGTTGACTTTCCCATGCAGTTCAACAAAACATCTTTCCGCGGGATCGGCGTTTGAGCCGGAATAGTGGCCGTGTTCAGCTTATTATAAGCATGAGCCACGCGCCATCCACCTGTTTCTTTACGCAAGCAGAAGATCGGGCTGCAGTGAGGCGACTTGCTCTCACGTACATGTCCCGCCTTGGCTCGCTTGTCGAAGAACTCATCGATGTAATCGACTTGTTCCTTCGGCAACGGCCATTGCCTGGTCACACAATACTTGGTGCCAGGTTCCAGGTCAGCCTCGTGCCTGATGCCCCTATCGGCCGGTAGGCGGCTCGGCAATTCTACTGGAAACACATCACGGTGTTTCCACAGAGCATCATATAACGGGCTGTCCTCAAGACATCCCAGCCTTGAGCAGCGAGCCGTTTCTTTTTGTCGGTCTCCAAGACGATCTCATCCATTGTGGATGAAGAGCAACAGTCCACCACGTTCTATTCTGGAGCTGGTGCGACTATCTCGTGGATCTTTCCTTCCTATAATTCGGACAGGAACAGATCCCACGTCATCTCCGAGAGATTTACTATCTCCCCGGCAGATGCCAAGACTAGCTGGAGCTCCTCAACTGAGGATGCCTCCAGCATCTTGTCTTCGACGACCTCGAACAACTCGTTCGTAGGTCCGTCCTCTTGGACCGAGACTGACCCAAGGTCACTCGTTTCGACGTGCCCTTGATCGTCTTAATACGTCTGGTGCTCGTTCTTCGAGTCACCACGACCTTTGACCTGGAAGAAGGTGTCGTTGCTGTATTAGCCAACGCACTCCTTCCAATCGCACCAGGCTCATGGCTTTATGTCGGTTCTTGTGACGCTTGCCTTCCTGTCAGCCCACCATCAACTGCCACAGACTCTTGGCTCTGTGAAGGACCATTGGACGCATGACAACTTAACATCGTCCCATTCATTACACCAGACTCTTCGAGCTGGGTAGAAATATGTGTCATCTGACTTTCTGTCAGGACACTTCAACTACTCCAGGCTCAACGAGCTGGGTAGCTCTCGGTGACGTATGACATACTGTCAACGGACCTTCAACTGTGTTGGACACATTATCAGTCACATATGCTTACCACTTTAGACCTGACCGTTAAGTATTGCATACTTAATGATAAGCGCGGGTAGCATATGGGCCTATTAGCCCGTTACATTCTTTGTATCTCACGGTGCTGATTGCTGATAGCTTCTTCACTGTTGCTGCGCGAAATGACGCTCTCGTCGTATCAAAGAGCATCTCACTTTTTTAAAGAGATTACTTAATTGCGAAAAGTACGGTTACGGTTTATTTATAAAGTCATTCCACATTTGAAAACTCAATAATGTTAACTAGGATCAATTTGTTTTGTTTTTCGAAAGTAGTTTGCTCGTGTGCACCACATTATTAGCACGAAAGAAAAAACATCCTTCTGGTCCTAGAAATTCATCACCAGTCCCTCGCCATGGCTCTGTCAGTGCGTACCAAAAACTTTATCTTGGGCGGCAGCCTCGCTACTTTTGCATCTGCTATCTTTGGCTACACCTTTTACCAGATGGGTCAGGTACGCTAACTGCTATCAACTTTTATATGCTCTTTTATCTGATGTAAGTTGCCCTCTACTCACTTGGTGTTGCTTTATTATGATTCTTACAGGACGACTTTAAAGACCTGGATACCGTGAAAGTGAATGTGCACAAAAGCGGCATCAAGCCCTCAGCCATTGGCAAGAACGACAAGTAGGTCGAGAAGAATGGTAAAGGACTAACAGTAATTTGAAGACGAGGATATACGTGCAGTTTTGTGTTGCAGTTTGAGTCATTGTTAGTGCTAAGCTAGCAAAACACATGCCAATGTTATGGCCTGAACTTCTCCTACACGTCGCATTAACCTCGCTCCTGGCGGCTCAACCACGACGATTGACTACTTGCCTCGGTACGATCCTAGCGTGGCTTAAAAACACGCGCTCAAAGCTTATCGGAATGCAGCAGTTCGCTGCGCAAGAACCTGAATCAATCAAAGAGTTAGTCCACGAGCCCTTTGCACCATTGTTCAGTTTAAACTGCATGATGAGGTCGTACCTTTGCCATGAGGCGCTGTGACTTGGTGGGCACTTTACTCTTGAGTTTACGAAGGTTTTGTGCAGTGCGGTCGGCCTGCTGTAGCTCGCGACGGGCTTCTTCCAGCACCTTCACCTTGGATTTGCTGCATACTTTCTTGCTCTTCTGTCGAAACTTTCTCCGGGCATGCTTGGACAACGTAAAGCTAGATTCTAGCGTCTTACTCTTGGTAGACAAGTGCTTGTTGGATGGGTGCTTGGACGATCTGTCGCTTGCAGAAGCGCAGTTCTGAAGGAAAAGTTTAGTCACGCGGGCTGCCATTATCGCTTGCTATGGTTTCTTGGCTACCAATCGTACAAATGCTGTATAGTAGGCTGAAACTAATAATACAACCTAATATAATTCAAAATATCATAATCTACCAAGAAACGATAGCATAAAGACTACACAATTTATCAACTCTTGGTGGAACACCAATTGAATTAAAATTTCACCTTTATTCTCCATCGTCTTAACAACAAGTACCCTCTCGTGGCTCTTCTTGTTTACTGACAACAAAAACCATGACGAACTGTGTAATCGAGCTATCAAGCTAATCAACAAGCTTACAAACGGCCACCAGCGCCAGCCATCGACTCCACCAGTTGGTCCTCCTCACGAGCAACCTTAGCGCCCTTCTCCTCGGCACCACCCTCGTGGAGCTCCATCAGACGCACCAAGTCGAACTTGGGCTTCTTCAGGATCTTGCACTTGCGAATGTACACGTTTTGAAGCGGGTAGATGCCCTGGGTAGCCTTCTCAATCTCCTTGCCAATGATCTCCGGCACAAATTTCAGGAACAGGTCCTTAATGTCGCACTTGGAGGCCTCATCCGTCATAATCGATGTCATCTTCTTACGGATAGCACGAATCTGAGCCGTCTTGGCGTACGTAGTCTTCTTGATCTGGTTCGGGCGCTTCTTCGTAAAAGCAATGCAGAACAGACGCACCAGGTAGCCATCAGTGGTCTTGACGTCCACAAAGGCCTCGATTAGTGTCTGCCACTTGCGGATCAGCGAGCATAGCTTGTCACGGGTAAAGTCCATGCCGTGAAAACCAGTGATAATCTGGTTGCCCTGGATCTCCTCAGCACAGAGACGGATCTTGCGGAAAGCCTGGTCCTCGTCCTTGTTAAGATCAGCAAGGCAAACCTCAAACACACGGCCACGGAGTCCCTCCGAAGCAATCTTGGTACCAGCCGTACGGTTTACCAGGGTCTTGCCGCAGTTGCGCTCCAAAAAGATAGCAGGGGCCTTGACATCATACCAGTCCTTGCGCGTGAACGGGTCGACACTGTCAATTGCAGAGACCATCACAATTAGGAACCGAAGGAAGCTGTCACTGCTCGATGATAGAAACTGGAGAGGTTAACGTACACTTTCTTCTTGCCACCCTTCTTGCCCTTAGTCAGGCGTTTGTTCTTTCCTATAGACAGTCACACGACAAGATGACGTGTTAGTAATCTGTCTTTTGTATTCCTTTCACTCTCTCTATAGCCATCGAGTCAATATTGCCAAGCACCACGTCGCCTTCTTCATCCCATTCCCCACTCTTTTGCAACGGCAAGTCATTAGCTGTGTCTGTTTTTGCAATCGTTACATGGCGCTAGATTCCAAATTTTCTGCTGACTGCTACTACCGTCTTTGTCTGATCTTTTTTATCTTCATTTTACTTGAGGAAAAGAGGGAAAGATAGGACGAGAAAGCGACGAAATGATCGGAAATATACTGCTCATTTAACACTCTCACGTCTGTCAGCTTTACTTACCGACAGCCATAGTTGTCTTTAGTTTTTTCGTAAAGGCGAAATGGAGCTACTACACTGTAATTTCGACGACAAATGGCTGGTGCTCCGTCCGCGGGCCATCGAATAAGCGGTTCAACTAAACCGGTTCCAACCACCTACCCTAAACTGGTCAAATGGTACATTGTACCCGTAGACGACAATAAGAAGGCGCTTTTGTCCTGGGATTATACATTTAGTGAATCTAATAATAATAATGCATTAGATGAAGTCTCCTATCTTCTTGTGCTGCGTGAGTTTCAGGTAGAAGTGTTGGAAGAGGCCTGGAGAAGAGTGGTCAGTGCATCATTTGCTGCTACGATAAGGTAATGCTGGAGATGTAGGAATGCAGTCTTACCGAAAGGTCGTTCTCTCGGGCCACCTGCGCATCATCCAGCTACAGCTAGTGGTGAGCAGGCAGCTTGCTATTCGTTGTCGGCTGAATATTCATCGTCTATTGATGCGCCAAGCAAGCAGGAGACACCAAGGTGTCTCCACCGCTTCGAATAACGGCCCGCCCTTCTACAGAGTCAGCTTAATACCTTCGAGCTTTTCCTCGGTCACCAACGCTATCACCAACAACCCTCAATTACCTTCGCGAAGAAGAGCGATCGGCTCTAAAACTTGTCGCTCAGGAGGCGCGAGGCGAGGGGCAAGACTAGCTTAGAAAACGCATTGGTCCGACAAGCTGCTAAATGATGCTTATGCTCAGCTGCAACATGCTAAGAAGCACATGGCGTGCTGCTAGTGGAAACAGTGTAAGCAGTAACAGGGAAAAATTGGAGACATGAACTCTCGACTGTCCAGAGCAATCAGCAGTTACTGAAGGAGTTGGAAGCTGCCGCAGCAAAGAAATTCGTTGATAAGCACGTGGCGGAGGCGCGGTTGTTACTTGAGCGAGAAAAAGAAACCATTTTTTCAGTAAACTGGACTGTACCCCGGTATGACTTCAACCTCTAAGAAGAACACGAAGATGGGCGATGGGAAACATCGTTCGTTACTTGTGCGAGCAGCTAATTCTGCCTCTGCCAGCGTGTCGTCACCAAACGACCGAAAATCGATGCTTGGTGGAAGTTTAGATTGCCGCTTATCTGTTGCTTCAGGAAGCTTTCTGATATCGGCAGATGCGGAAAGCCTTCAAAGACGAAAGCTTGGATCAAATGACAGAAAGCATCACCAATTCTCCCATCTAAGAATGTGAGATAAGCTGAACCATACATATCAAGTCGACCGCCCATCCTCCTCTTTCGAGTAATACCAGAGCGAAATGAGACAATATGGTTAGCTAAACACGTACTTGTGAAGGTATTGCTTTCGAGCAATCACCGCAAATGTTTAACTGCGCAGCGACAGAGCTCAACCATATAAACCTGTCACAATGTTTGTCTGTGTGAACGAGACCATCGTAAAAGCCACATGAGATCCCTATCAGCGATAACGATGGAACAGTGTAACACTGTGGCGCTCTGCGCATCAAAGCTCGCCGCCTGAGAAAGTGTCGTCTTAGCAGCAGGGAAGAATTAGGACAGCACAAACCGTCTACAATTGGTCATACCTTTGTACTGATGAGAGCTGTTAGCTGTCCTCGAGACTTGTTATGATTCTCGCGCAGCCTGTTGGGCTTGGATGACCTTTTGGATAAACTCATCAGAAAGAACGATTTTGTCCTGCGCGCTATTTTGAAGTTGCTGCAGGTACTGAACTGCATCAGCCGAGCTAGCTGTTGCTCCGTAATTTTGAAAACGCTCGTGCTCCTCCAGCTCCGCGCGGACATGAATAAGTAGGCGATTTAGGTATTGCCTGTGTGCCACGGAGGCTTGCTTCAGTACTAAAGTCAGCTTGGAGGGTTCAAGTTTATCAGTTGGAGCGGGCAGGTCCAACGATGAAGCAGGTGCCGGTGCCGGCGGTGGGGAGCTAGGGGATGGTTGTGCCACTTCCTCTGCTGTTACCGGCGGTTCAGTACCTCTATTATGTTCTAGCTCATCACCGAGCTCCGCTGCACTACCCGCATCGCTTCCTTGGGCAAAGCTGTCCCCGTCTTGAATTTTTCGTTGCTGCTGAAGTTGCTGTTCATGAAACTTTGACCTTGACATTGTTAGAAAAACTTGCTGCGGACGCGCGAAAATGCCGTGCTTTGGTTTACAGCGAAAGTAGTATCTTCCTTTAACGCCGCCATCGTTCTTGCCATAAGCTTTGTCCAGCTCGATACCCACCCACACTCCTTTGACGCCGATAATTTCACCCAAGAACCGCACAATACCGAAAAACTCTTTGTCTAGAATGCACACACGATCACCAACATCCAAGTTGAAGCCCGCTAATGCTTGTACTTGCTGCACTGGCGCTATATTATCATCTACGCTGGCATTTGACGCTGTGTCTTTCATTGAATCGACCACATCCGAGGACAAAAATGTCTCGAGACGTTTTTGAATCTTGTAATCGACCGTGCTCATGACGACTAGCGCATGTTTGGGGAATAACGTTTGGAAGACTTTAAAAAGCTCGTGCGCCTGCGTTCGACACGAGGAGCTAGCGTCGTATAAAGCATGACGCAGTCCCCTTTCCAGCTGTAGCACGTCACCTTTGTCCAGTACGGAACTCCACGTGACAAGCGCGTGGCGCAGACACGAGATGCAGCACAATCGGATGCGTTTACTTTTACTCTCGAGCAAAATGTCGACAAAGAGCCGCAGTGTGGCACCTTTGATTACCGTCTGTGTGACAATGGCTTCCAGACAGTCGCCGCAGTACGAACCACAGACTTTATTGCCACTACCGCAAACTTCTACAAGAGTAGGCAAGACATCGCGTAGGAATGGAGCCATAGCGTCCCGTGCAACGCGTGATATGGTCGTGAGCAGTGAACAGACCTCCTTGACAATCTGTGACCGTAAATCCTGCACCATGTTCTTAAGTGGCCTTAGTGTCTTCCATACTTCAGTACTGAGACTGGCAGCTACAGTACCAATAGGTGGATGGCTCTCCAATTGTTTAAAGGCCCGCTGCATCTCGTTTAGCGCCGTCATCCGTTCTTGCCAATTGTCGGAATTGCGTGCGACGCGGTCCATTTCGCGAGCTAAAGTCGTCGCTAGTGCATCCTGTTGTAAGAATATAAGCTATTGTTAAAAAAAAATGAAGAAAAACAGTGGTGTGAAGAGAAGAGGAGCGTACCTTGTTCATTGTGAGCAATCGAGTCAAGACAGATGCTATCTCTTATAAGCCACTGGAAATGCTGAAATATCTTCGTTTTTAGAGCAATTTTAGTGTCAAGAGCAATTTCATCACAGTTGTAGAGGACAAACAATAGAGCTATGCGCTATTTTCGCTGGATTTAAGATCTGGACCACTATTTAAGCCTTTATAAATTAGAATTATAATCAGCTACAAATTTTAATTTTGTCTGCAGCCCAAAATACTGTTTGCAATTTTGTGGACAATTTTCATTTGATAACAATCTACTTCAAAAGCTAAAAAACTGTATGTATGTATGTATGTATGTATGTATGTATGTATGTATGTGTGTATGTCTGTATGTATGTAAACGCGTTACGCGGGCCATCTTGCCTATTAATGATGGACATGTTGAAGGTAAGGTGCACTATCGCACCGCTGAGCGCCTGTTGGATAGACGCAGGATTACGGACATGATGACAGTTGATTATGGGCGAGTATGGTATAGTTAGTATAGGAGTGGCTTAGATGTAGCACTTGTTGGCGAACTAAGGACCAAATATATGTTAGTATTCAATCAACCACCTAGTGAGCACTACGCATCTGCTTTGATAGTTATGAGCCCAACGACTGGATCCGACGGCGGGCCAACCGCGCCAGCGCCAGTCAGCTTCGACGGCGGTTACATAAGGTCCGCAGGGTCTCCAGCGGTGGTTCAAGGCGCACCGACGGCCTAGGAAAGGGGCGACGACGTCAACGTGCGGATACTCGCGACCCTCGTCGACCTATAAGCACGTATGGCGCAGATGGAGGTCTTGCAGCAGAAGCTCGACGAAAGAGAGCGGATGATGGACGATTGAGTCAGGAATGTTCCGCTCTTCGCTTGCCAACGGTCGAGGCGGTGCTTCGTTGCATATCGATGCACTCGGACATACACCGGTGCTTCCAAGAAGTGGACAAGGTCATGCGAGCATGCTAAATCATGGAGCAGGTCAACATGCGGCACAGCAAGAGTGGCGGGCACCGCAAGCAGCACCACCAGTACGCGCACCGTATTCTAGCTTGGGATACGCGGCGGCTCAAGATTACGTGAAAAGGATGGAGCCGGACGCGTAGCGAGCAATGCGAGTTCCGGATAAGCGCCAACGACGGCTGAAAATTTGAAAGTTTAATGACTCCGATCATCGTGGCTTAGGGTCCGATTTCCTGGAATGGGGAAGAACCTCATGCGTCAGGTCCAGTACGCTCAAGCGGCATGTGGTTTTGAATGTTCCGAAGATGTGAAGACCGACTTGCTTGATCACTACCTGAGTGGTACAGACGAGCGATACTACAACAAGCAGGTCGAGACATGGTAGCACCAGAATCCGACGCTTGCACACGTCATGGAGCGGCTGCATCAGACGTTGAAGACATCAGTTACAGAGCCCCAGTCGATGAGCTGTTTACAGCTAAAAAGGACTTAAAGAAGAGCTGGTCCGAGCATACCTTTACTTGGTTGCTGTGAGTGATGCATGCGGCGGCGCTGACGCGCAGGTTCTTTACAACATCGTCCACTACGCATCAAGTGAGCTTCACACGGTGCTAATGTCCAGGTACGACGGAAATCAGGTCGACTACCTCGCTCAATCTGAAGAGCTTGCACACTTCGCGCAGTCTGTTGAGCTGGACACACGAAATGCTGCCTCGTTTGGAAAGGACGTCGTAACACACGTTGCTGAAAGCAAGCTACGCGTTGATACACGCACGTGTTATGGATGTGGAAAAGTCGGACATGTGGTGAAGTGCTAATTTTGTGATATGGAGGTCCCGGACTCCAGTTGGATTCAGAGTATAGGCCGTGGGTCAGGGACAGGGGACCAGAGAGACAGGGGCCTCAAAGGGGAGCGACCGTTGGTGGAGGACAATCCGCAGGATTCGCCGAAGAAAAATCAGTATCAGGGTACCGGTTAACCGGTACCAAAGGGAGTTGATCATGGCCGCTCATTGATCGACCTGGCCCCTCGTTGGTCGACCCGGGTCCCTCATTGGTAGACCTGGGTCCCTCATTGGTAGACCTGGGTCCCTCATCGGTCGACCCGGGTCCCTCATTGGTCGACCCGGTCCCTCGTTGGTCGACCCGGTCCCTCATCGGTCGACCTGGGTCCCTCGTTGGTTGACCTGGGTCCCTCATTGGTCGACCTGGGTCCCTCATTGGTCGACCTCGGCCCCTCGGGGTTCAGCGACTCCGGACCAGTTAATACAAGGATCAGACCAGTCGACGCAAGGAATCAGAGCTTCAGGCAAGGATAGAGTAAAGGAGTTAAAAGGATAGGACTATATTAAATACTACTCAATTTGCGATCTACTTGGCAAGTCTTCGTCGCGCTGTAAAGGAACTCTAGTCTGGCCACACGCCTGTTCCGGGGAAGGGATATATTTGGCCCCCCCCCGTTGAAGACAGGCGTGTGGTCCGACACAAGTGCGAGCTGAACCCCACGTGGCACGACTCCGTCACCCAAGAAGAACTTGCTCTAAGCTACTCACTGTTCCGGGAAGGGATAAATTTTGGCCCCCCGTCGAAGACAGTTGTGTAGCGAAGTTCAAGTGCGAATAGAGCTCCAGGATATATTTGGCCTGTGAGCTCGTTCGAGTAGCAACACCCCCCCAAGACCCGCTATCGGAAGCGGTCTCCCTCACCTCAAGGTCCGGGAGCAACGTAAAGGTCAGGTGGTTAATACCCCTGAAACAGAAGGAAAAGGCCAGGGACGACAAGCGCCCCTGAAGAATTTGGCTCTAAGTCCACTCTCGACAAGGTCGATCGAGTGGCCACCTACCGGCCCACCGAGTGAAGCATATCCACTCGAGGCCCCCCCAGGTCTACCTCCCTCAAGGCAGACATCTACATCGTCACCAAGTCCTCCGAAGAGTGCAACCCGCCAGCCGACGGGTACACAAGGTGAGAGAAGGTTCATACGCGGCATCGGGGTACCCCCTCCGACAGTCGGCAGTCCGGCACAGTGAGTGGTTTGGGGTCTCATCATACAATTTTGAGAACCCACTCCACCACAATGGTGCGCGTGCCCGGATCTTCGGAAGACGCGGGATTTCACCGCGAGTCCCAAGACGATAAAGATGTTCATGTCAAGAAGGAGCACAAGACCGAAGAGTCACGGGAAGACCGATCGCCAGTGACTCAAGAAGAAACAAACAAAGGATCGAAGGACCGACCGGGCCTTGGGAGGGGCCCGGTCAACATGGTCGAGGTTGAATTCATTGAAGAAAAACCTAAATACCCTCCCTATGTCCTCGTTGAGGACACCTTGGGTCATGACGCCTATCATGATCCAGAGGACCATCAGCCGACGGTGAAAACCGAGAGGCTAAGGTCCCCAAAAAAACAACAAAACAAGATCGCGCAATCCAAGCCGACGAAGTTCCGGATGAAGGCACCCGGAAACACCAAGTCGATAGGCCCCGAGAAGGAAGGACTGGCGTCATGGACAGACGCTGATGTCACGAGGGCCTACCACCAGCGCAAGCTGAACGCGTTCCTGGAGAGCGACCCCGTCGCGAAGATCCTGGAGATCCGGCAGCTGGGTCAACTCACTGGGCCGGTGTCGACCCTGCCACGGCTGCACTCCGTCACGGACGCGATCACAGCGCTGGTCACCATGCTTCGTGAAGCGAACATGGTCGCAGGTCGGTTCGACCCGGACGACCTGCTATCCCTGGGGTTCGACAGAATCACAACAACGTTAGAGCACATGCACAAGCGTCTGTCGATCCTGGTGGGTACCACACCAGCAACGGAACACCCACCTCTGGTGACACCTACACACATGCGGTCCAACGACAGCCAGATGACGCTTCAGGACATCACGGTGGGTCCCCACATGTACGGAGCCGCCGGCCACCCAGGGGCGAATCAAGACCCATCTCAACACCGGATGCCAAGCGGCCAGAGGGAAGCAGCACCGTGGTCCCCAGGATCGTCCTCAACTGGGTCGGTCACTAGGATGCCCCTAGGCCCTACTGGAGCGGCGCTGCTCCAGGCCCGAGCGCGCAGCGCGGAGCAGGAGCCAAGTGGTCTTGAAACGGCGACGCGTGGCAAGAATGAAAATCATTCCGATTTTCAGCCAATGGGAAATCAGCAAGAGAAAAAGTTGGAATTTGCTCTGCCCCGTGACGAAGATGCTGGGGGGGAAGGACCTACCTACCCGGTAGGCGATCTGCAGACCCTCTTCGACGCGGCGATGGCAAGATTTTTGAATGAACGCCAAGTACCGCGGGCACACCCTAACGGGAGTGTAGCAGGAGGAAGACCAGAGGCGCAAAGGACGACCGCTCACCATGACCAGCATCCAGGCATACAAATGCCAAGAGGCCACACGATGACCGACGTCGATATGGAATCCGTCGGTTCCTGTGAGTTCGACCCTGACAACATGGATTTGAGGGGACCTCAGTCGATGATGGCGAACGCAGCGCTGGGACAGATGCCAAATATGGTCCCTCGCATCAAACTATCGGCGACCTCGGACCTTAAAGAATTTCATGGAAGAGACCAAGACGAAGACAGAGCGCGCAGCTGGGTGTCGACGGTCAAGACAGCATTCATAAGAGACCAAGCACCAGATGATGAACGATGTCTCGTTTTTGGAGGATTGCTGACTGGACCGGCACAGAATTGGTACCGTCAACTGGGTCGCTCAGTCCGAGGAAACTGGAAGGACTTAATCCAAGAGTTCATGATTCGGTTCTGTGGTACGGGGGTACCGGTCGCCCGCCAGTACTACCATGCGAAGAAAAGGTCGGAAGAGACCCCGCTGGATTATCTGTACCGCCTGAATGTGCTTGGACTCAGGGCGAAGATGAAGATTAAGGATGGGTCGCCCAAGATTCAGAAGGATCACGTCGATCACTACATTTTGACGGTGGACGACCCAGAGCTAGCAGACAAGTTGACTATGCTGCGTCTGGCGGACGTGGAAGAATTGGAGGAAGTATTGACAGCATGTCAGCGGACG